TGGCTTTCACCTATTAGTATAAACACTATTAATATCAGACCATCTTTTCTGCAGATGTCTTATTTCCTTCTGGTCTTTGTAACCCAGGCTCCTTTGGTATGCTGACTATGACACAAATCTTTAGCAGATGTGCCTACTTAGGTGCAAAGCTTGAGTGCTGCTTTTTCTACTTTGAACTGTCTCAAGCAAGTGCATGCATGGAGGGGTATTTGAGTTCTCAGTTTAATTAATTGTGGTGTCCTAAACCAATTATTCAAGGCCTTAGTATTCATATTTACAAACCATTGGAGCTGTACCTGGCATTATTGCCTGACATGGACAGCTCTCAGAGAGAAATCTCTACCATCTTAGCTTTGAGTGCAAGACAAAGGATGTACAGAACAAATGTGGCATTAAGTCAGAGTGAGAGGAAGAGAGGATCATGAAAGGGTTGGAGTGAAAATTTGGAGCTCTAAATTAAACTCTAAACAGACTTCCCAGTAACCTTCTCTTAGAAGACTCACGTGAAGGGGTGCCATGGTACATTGACCAAATTTTCATTACATCTGTATATTCAGGATATTGCTAGTAACATCCCATGACACTCAATAGAATTATACTGGATTATGACATTTTATACAAACCATTTCAACTCAAGCTTCCTCACTGAAGAATATATTTGGGCTCTATTATCTAATGGGAGAGCACAAGTCCTTACTGATCTAGAGATAATGGCACCCAAGCCAGAGATTGGGGAAATAGCTACATAAGGTGGCTTATTAAAAAACAAAAGCAAAAGTCCTTTGATGTAATCTCAAGTTTGAGAAATGCTAGGTTAGAAGAATTTAAATATGATTCTTTATAGCAGGTCTCTTCTGAACCTGTAATTAGCTACTAATGCATTGTGATTCTGTAAAAGGGGAATAATTAATTTTGATGCCCGTGTGTTTGACCATGGAACATACTGTTCATAGTATTTTGCAACAGTAGCATTTTCTGTAATATATACTAAGAAGTGTATGGGCAAAAATAAGCATAAGCAGAACAGTAGAGAGCTAAGTGAGTAAGTAAATCTGACACACCACCAGCCGTCAGCATGGTGTGATCTCAGGCATGTTCTAGGGGACTGGGCTAGGGTTTGTTCTGAGGGAGGAGAACTAGAGCACCCACAGCTCCCAGATCCCACTTAATTAAAACCCTTTTGGGATGCTAACAAGCACCAGTGGATGAAGAGAAAAGTCTCACATGTCTTCCATCCTCAGCTCAGCACAGCTCCAGTTCCATTATCCTTAAACATCTATTAACATGATTGCTTCATAATTACCAAGGCTAACCGCCAAGCACTTTGCCAGGAAGCAAGACACTGCTTATCTTAAATGCTCTTCTGGCTTGTGCAAAATGGTCAGTAATTTTTTTTTAAACCTTCTGTATGTTCTTAATTGAAGAAACATCTCTAAAAATACTATCCAAATGACTACACGATAAGAAGAAAATAGCAAGTGGAAGGCACAAATCAAAGCAAATGAACAAAAAAAAATCTGCTGTAAGGGTGGGACAGTACGAGATTCAGAATCTACAGCAATTATCTGCAACAGGAGCTCCATAGATCAGAGAAGCACAATGAGACCTATTGACTTCCTTCCGGTCATGCTGTGCCGCTAGAATTTTAATTTCACAACAGTCTATCCTGTATGTTACCACAGACTCACACAGTAGTATCCAGTCAATAGGCTGATCTCTGATGCATCTCAAAGGTCAACTGCCTCCATATGTCTGCCTCATCGTCCATTCTTCGTGCTGTGCTCCAGGGACAGGGATTCAGCTAAGTGCTGAAGTCAGAGACTAACTGGCAATATCCCACACTGTCACAATGCTTTGGGAGAACTTGGAGAGCGAGTGGCATTTACCAAGAATATAGGTTACTGGTTATTTTCATAGTTAGTACACAAAAACAAACAGAAATGCCAGAGGTTTTTGTTTGTTTGTTTTCTCATGGTTTTGTAGATAAAGAAAATCAGGGCTCAGAGAGATTATATTTGCATAAGGTCAAGCCAATACCTAATAAATGACTAGGTAAAATCTGAGTCTATTCTCAGTGAGTTCTAAGTCTGTTTTATGTACACTACCCATGCTTGCTCTAATCATAAACAAACTGCTCTTTATAGATCACAAATGGGTCATTTACATAGTCTCAGCAGCCAGCAAAACACCTCAACTTTTATCATCACACTGACTTAGAAGTCCAGGTATTGTTGGACCTTTCAGACCATTTGCCTGCAGCAATGGAGGTCTTTAGTCTCCGCTGTTGTAAAGAACCTTCCATGCTTCAGCATTTGGTGAGGAAAAAAGCCTCACCGTGTCCGCTGGCTGCTTCATTTCAGATTCACTCTCTGGGTAACACACCTTTCTGGCCTCTTTTTAAAAAAATAGATTTCCAAGCAGTGATATAATCAAATATGAGAAACAATTTGGAGAGCCAGGGGGAACACTGGTCACACGGCTTCAGTACCTGTTTGTCATAACTCCAAACTAAATGGGAAACTCCAGAGTTGATATGGCAATCACTCATGTGCTCTTTTTAGAACATAACCAAAGCGCATCCTTAGGACTTTGAATTTGGACTCTACCTCACCCTCAAGTTGGCCACCCAAGGTTATCTATCCTGTTTCCTCATTATTAAAGAGACAGGGATGCAGAGGGAAGAGAGAAAAACAGGGCAAACGGCTCTTCCAATTGCTGTAAAAATCCACCAAATCCACCAATTCTGTATCAACTGCATCTCATTGGCCTTCAGAATGAATGAACAATTTAAAATTGAAACCCCAATGTTATGACCATGACATAACATTTTTAATTCCTTTGACTAAATACTTGGCCAGTGTCCATGATTTAGTTTTTTGTGTGGTAGAAAGAGCCAGTGGAAAAACTAACTACAGTCACCTAGGCAGACAGTGATAAAGGCCCAGACTTGGGTTTGTTTTGGTTGCTGGTATCTTAATTCATATCTACTAACAGGTGGAGGGGAAATCTTTTCCAGGAAACACCGTAATACAGCAAAGCTGCTTTCCTTCCTGCGTAGTCTGCTGCTGTATATTCAAAATGAAAATCATTCCATGAGTGCTGTTCCCCATACACATGCCCACAACACCTGTTTTCAGTCTTGTATCAGAGACATTATATAACCGACTATCTGGCTTGACCCTTACTCTGATAAAATAGGCCAGGATGTTTTGCTAGGTATTTCTCTGCTTTCATCCTCTCCTCACTGAACATTTACACAAGTGTTCTGGCACACTGTAAGCTCTGAGTGTGTATCCTATATTCTGGTAGCTGAACAAACACTTGTCACTTAAAATATAATTGACTTGACTTTCTGGGTTTTATTTCCTTATGAGCCAATCATTTCTTTGCACTGCTAGAATCCGAGGGATTTCAGTGTGGTTCTTCCTTTAAAGGTTCCTTGGTTGTGGTCAAATCTGTTGGCACTAGAGGGGAGATGTATGTAAATATTCCCTTGGCAACTCTAGCAGATCAAGATGGAGAAGAGAGAACTAGTGGTCCCATGTACACACACACGAAGGCTGACTTCAGCTCCTGCCACCATGCCCAGGGTCCTTATCAGAAGAGGTCACTTGTCAGAAAACATTAGCCCCACTCATTGTTAATTCCATCACCATGGCCTCATTTACAAGGACAGCCCAGTAATTTGCGCACAGCGCCTTTCAAGCCACAAAGTGCATGGTCACCAGGAGATCTGGTTGAAATACAGATTCAGATAAACAGTGGTAACTTCTACATTTCTATCAACTTCAGTATTCCACCAATGCTGATCACACTTCTGTAACAAGGTCGGAAGACATCTGCCTCCTCACATTGGACCAAGAAAAACCGGGCATAGAACACAGAACTGCTCACCAGGAGGCCCCCCACACTGCACACAGGAATTAAGCTCTCTAATAACTCTTACTGCCTAGACTTAGGTCCTGTTAACTCCTGTTCAGCTGAATGTCACACTAGCCTTATTGAACGCCACCATGTTATGGAGAACCTGCCATGTGTCTAAGGTTCTAATTCCTTAGGTCTAAAGTGGGCCTGACCAATAAACAAGACTCCAGTGAAGAGTAAGGCACGCCCAACTTTTTGACATTGTGCCAAAGTTCATGCTTAAGAACAACACAATTGAGCTGGAGAGATGGCTCAGGGATTAAGAGTACTGGTGACCAGGTTCGATTCTCAGCACCCACCCACATGGAGGCTAACATCTGTAACTCCAGTTCCAGGGAATCTGATATCCTCTTCTGACTTCCATGCAAGTGGTCCAGATATACATGTAAGCAAAACACCCATATACACACAAAATGAGAATAATTAAATCTTAAAAAGAACTGTATCATTTTTTAAAAATTACAAAACACTTGCAAAGTTTTAAGTCAAGTTTATGATTTTGGATTAGGCTGCATAATAGCTGTCCTTGGCTGCATGTTGCCCATGGGCCACAATGGGTGATTCTAAATCATTTCAGGTTCAGAGAAGAAAATATGTGCATGTTGTCTGAGAGACTGCAAAGACCTTTACCCTGTGGCTATTTATGTCCTTATAGGAATAAAGGGGGGGGTGAGGAGTGGGGGAGGAAGTGTGGGTGAGGGGAGCTTACAGGCTCAAGTGCCTGACAGCGTGATGGGAGAAACAACCTGCTACACAACTGAGACTCTGCTCACAGCCACTGAGGGTTAACTCTAGTATCTTGGGCCCTTTTTTCTCTAGTGACATGCACTAGACTTGTTAAGTATGGGCTGGGCTGAGGCTTAGCTGGCAGGATACTTGTCTAGCATCTACAAGGCCCTGGGTTTGATCCCAAGCAAGGCATAATAGAAAGTTTAGCAGAGTGCAAGCAATCTCAGTACTAGGGAGGTGGGAGCAGGAGGATCAGGAGTTCAGTCATCTTTAGCTGCACTGGGAGTTCAAGGCCAGCCTGAGATAACGTGAGAACCTGGAAAGAAAAAGGGCAAGTGTGCCTCACATATTCTATAAAAAAGTTTTAATTCAGGTATTATTACAGATACATTCGGCAATCAAAATTATTTTCTCTTCTGATCGAACAAATGAAAACTGTGGAGTTGTTTATATATTTACAAATAAAAATATATACAAAACAAGGAAACCAGCTAATAAAAATAAGGACGGAACATTAGTTGGTGTCATTAAAGTCATACTGCAAGTATGAAACACAAAGGGTAACTTTATAAATGGAATGTCCCGGGAAAGGCTTTGATTAGGTTATTGGGTCTTTGCAGGGACAGAAGCAGCATCTTCTAGGGTGGTGGCTTCTGCTGCTGCAGACACAGGCTCGGCTGCAGTGGCAGTGTCCTGCAGAGCAGAGATGTCTTCCATCTCACTGGAGGCTGCCTCAGTCTGACTGGAGCTCTCAGGCTGGGGGGCTGGAATCTCTTGACTTAAGCTGGCTTCTGGTGGACTGGGTATGACATTAGCTTGAGCAGCCATGGTCTCTTCTTCTGCTTCCATTTCTGTTTCTTGACTCTGAACTTCCTCACCTTCTTCCACCATTGCAGGTGGTAGTTGTAAGAAAGTCTAATTAAAAATAAACGAGAGTGTCAAGAGCACTGGCTTATGAAGCCGAGCAAGCTCTCATATCACTTTCTCGATACACTGCTTCTGCTACAGTTTTTCAAACACTGCTAGCCATTTGATATGACAAATTTGATACTTTTGAACAACGACCATGATTCTGCTAATGGCAAGGAATGTCTGCGTGTCACGTGTAAGTAAAACCCAATATGAAAAGTTATGAGTTTCAATCAGAGAATTTTTTGCTAAGGCTGCTAAGGAAGCACAGTGAGGTTTCACCTTCACTGAAGGAGTCTGTGAGGAGAGCTCATTTTGAAGACCAGGACATGGTAGGGAGGAAGGAAGGACAGAGATCAAGCCTCCAACTCGTTCATCCAGGAGAGCAGAACAGCCCACTATGCCTAGACTTTTCTCAATGCCTTGGCAGCCTGGAGTGAAACCATAGCTTCTTTCCTCCTAGATTTTGTTTAGCTAATCAGAAATTTGAAAACATTTGAAAAGTACCACCCAGAATAGCAATGGGCAGTCAGGGAAGAGCTAAGAGATGGAGATATATAATGTTCATAAAGAGACAGACTTAAAATCAGTAAGGTACTAATTTCCCCAAATTGACCCCAAACAATTTCACTTATGGAGACATTATTTCGATTACAGTGGGCTTTTACAGTGCTAGAAATTGGATGGCTCAGTCTAGATAGAAAAAGTCATTTTTGAAAAAGAATGGAACTAAAATACTCATTTTGCTGAATTTTAAGATCTGCTAATTCTAAGTTGCTGTAACCCAGACAGCGCGGTGACAGTGAAGGGTGGGACAGACACACTGAGTAGTGGAACGCAATGGGGTACAGAAGAACATTCAGAAAGAGAGGCAGTATTTGGGGTGTTTTTATATTATCTGACTAAGGTTACAAGTCGTAGTTCAAAAGAGAATAAAATAGTCTACTGAGGGAATAGCAGTAAAAATGCAGGAACACTACAGAACACCCACACATGGATGAATAAGTACAATACTGCATAGAACTTTGCCAGAAATGAATTCAAAACCTATCCTACTTGTAAACACCACAACCCAAAGGGTAGAGGGTAATCTTTGTCAATGGGGGCTAAAGTAAGTATTTTTAGGACATACAAGAATGAATTATAGGAAAATAATTTGATTTATTAGATATTAGATGTCAAAATTCAAAACTCTACTAAAAGCTGCTTTAAAAAGAAAAAAAAAATTAAACTTATAAAAACGTGTTTGTAAGGGACCTGTAGCTGGGAGACAAAAATCTCTGAGAGTGCACTATGATAATACTTGTGAACAGACTCATCCCCAAAGAGGACATTTATGGGGCAAATAACAATATAAAATAATGCTCAAATGAATTCTAAAAAACGACAACCCCTCCCCACTAGAAAACTGATTCCACACTGAGCTCACTATATTCCTAATATCCCCACTAAAGAGAAAGGCTTACTAAATCAAGTGTGCTGAGGATGCAGAGTGACCACACTCACATACTCCTGGATAGAGCAGCAAGTTCTATTTGAAAAACTACTTCGAAAAACAAGCTGCCACTTTAAAAAAGTTAAGCACACATGTAACAAATCAGTCAGCAACTCTCCTTGGAGGTAGAAGTGCAAAGTCTTTCACAATAATTACTTTGTAATATCCCACAATGGAAACAATCAAAATGTATACCAACAGGTGAAAGGAAGGGACCACTCCTAGCATGGACCAACAGGAATGGTTTTAAAAAAGGGAGAGAGGCTGAGAAACAACAGAATGAAAAAGCAAGACAGCATATTGGATGCTGTATAAGTATCTAGAAAGCAGACACTAGTCCATGGTGGCAGAAATCACAACCCTATGTGCTTAGAGAAGGACAGGGAGTCAAAGTGACATGAGAAACAACAGCTATGCTCATTACGTAGATTAAGTGATAGTTTTAGGAGTACATACATCATGATAAATACAGAATGCATCAAACCGTACATTTTGAGTGAGCGTACTGATGCTAATTTATTTCTAAAGACAGCTATTAAAATGACTGCTACATCAATAAGAATATTTGACTGTAGACTCCATGACAAATTAGTTTTAAGATCACTCCATATTTAGAGAAATGAGCAAACCTTGAGCAAACTCACCTGATTATAATGATGGGTAGTCTGTATCAAATGCATGTACATATTGTACACAAAGTTAGTTTTAAGATCACTCCATATTTAGAGAAATGAGCAAACCTTGAGCAAACTCACCTGATTATAATGATGGGTAGTCTGTATCAAATGCATGTACATATTGTACACAAAGTTCGCCATCTGGGGCATGTTCTTTATCACCTGTACTTCATGAGGTGGTCTTTCTCCATTCTATAAGAAAGCAAAAGGAGAGTGAAGAATCTAGTGAAAAGAAGAAACCCAGAACCTATCATTTCAATAGAAGCCCATTTCTGAGTCTATAAATACTACCAGGGTATGGAGGACATGAAATCCCCAAGCCAGAGTTGAGAAAGCACTTCATGAATATTTAGAAAAATGAAAGACAACAGAGTTGAGAGTCATTAAGTTTTTAATACAACTTTGGGCTGGTAAGTAAAACAGAATTTCAGTATGTGAATTGATATCAAAGAATCATTAAGATAAAGCCTCATGAAAAGAGAAAATAAATCAATACATCTAAAACAGTGATGTTCAACCTTCCTAATGATACAACCTTTTAATGCAGTTCCTCATATCAAATCATAAAATTATTTTCATTGCCACTTTGTAATTGTGATTTTGCTACTGTTATGAATCATAATGCAAATATCTGACATGCAGAATATCTGATATGTGAGATCTCTAAAGGGTTGTGACCCAAAGGTTAAGAACTACTTGTCTAAAAGCAACAATTTCCATCACTGTCTAGAATCCAAAGAGAATCTATAATAGTTCAGAATGATAATATTAGAACTATTTTTCCTATCTATGTGTTTCTGAAGCATAAGATGTTAACATTTATTATTATTAACATGGAGCCTATCAGCCATGGAAATGATACTCAAATGCCAATTTTTAAATTTTGTAGCATTTGTCAGGCTCTACTGAGAGACTGTCACAGTGCAGAGCCCTTACCTGCAGCACCCTGAGAACTAGATTCTCAGGAAGCAGTTTCTGAGAAAAATCACTCTAGCAGTAAAACAGTGAAGCAACTGAAGTAAACACAGATCAGTCCTTCTACTTCGGCCACTGCACAACTTTACTATTTGCAATCACTGATCACACACAAAGTCTTATCTATGAATGTACAAACAAGTTTCCCAGGATCCTACTTAAAGTAGCAAGCACATAATAGTGAGTCTATAAAAGAGACAAGTGTAGACCTGCAAGGTGGCCATCCAGGACGACCTCAGGGCTTGTGACGCCACCCCACAATCCCCCACCCCATTCTCTTTCCTCCAATTTTCTCATGGCAGCATTTCTTAAAAACAAAACAAATAAACAAACAAATAGAAACATCTTTAAAGAAAAGTGGCTATCATTACCATAAAACAAACAGTGAATTTATTTTGTTTTAAGAAGTTCACTGCATATTTAAAACAATTTCAGTAAAACTTAATGGACCTCTGGGACATTTCATTAAGTGAAAACCAAACAACCCACCCCCAAGTCTATAGCATGCTCTAAGAACATAAAGTAACAGTGAGAATATAATCAATCATGTATCGGTGCCTCTGTGTGCAAGAACATAAATAAATGAACCGCATTATACTTTATCCTACAGAAAGGAGAGGAAGAAAACTGGACAAAGAAGGAAGAGCCTACAGAGGAAGAGCAGTGACAAAGAGGAGGGAAGGGGGAGAGGAGACGGTTAAGTTGTATGTGTTTTCCTGCCCCACCACCCTAGCTAGAATCCAAGCTTTACAAGAACTAAACTAGATTTCTCTGTTAAGTGAAAACTGATGGACAAGAGAGGTGTGAGGTGATTAGAACATAAATTCTTGAATCACACTTCCTGTTTTCGAATTCTGGCTCATTTACCCACTGATGTATGACAAACTATTTAACTTCACCCTCAGCTCTGTACGTGTACACTTAGGACAATCAGAAAGCCTCCTGAGCAGATGTACTACTCAGATCAAATGTGGAGTTCATTCCTGATAGAGTAAGTTTCAGTAAATGTTAGCAGATATCATTTTTATACAATGCAGTTCTTTGGTGTAAGGAGCATTTCATACCAGTGATTGGGTATTCTCATTAACGTGGTCAACTCTAAGAGAAACCACTGTCCTACCTGGGGCACATTGCTCTACACAGTGATGAAAGGCCTACCTTTCTGGAGGTCGGGAAAGGCTCTGTTGGAATAATATGCAAATGCAGTGGGCGAGCAGTGAGCTGGCTGAAAGCAGGAGTCAGTTCGAAACAATTTTGGAAGAGGGATACTCTAGCGAAGATATAAAGGCCAAGCCTGGCTCTTGACATGGCTACCACCAAGCGACGGACATCCCTTTAGGAAATAAAATAATTAGCATAGTTTGAAATTAATAATATATGTATGCAGCCCCATTTTCCTTGTTTTACATAATCCACTAAATAGTCTCATTATAAGTTATTGCAATAGAAACCTTAAGAACTTAAAGGCATAAGACCAATCAATGTGTGTGATTAGTAAACCAAGTGAGTGAGTGCTCCATTGAAAACATCTTGTTAGTTAATGCATATTTGTGCACACATGAAGAACCAATGTACTGGTTTAAAAAACACAAAAAGCCCGACCAGAATCATAGAGGTTCAGGTGACAGTCATTAATTACTGCATCACCATCAATGTGACAAATCACCTTCTTTCACTTTTCTACCTAGTAATTTCCAGGCTCTATCAAGATAAGATTTTCCTTCCTAGAAAATGTACTAGTTTTACCTAGGAGTAGTAATTCCTTTTGCTTCTCTTCACACTCCCTAATGTAGGGTTATGAAGAGAGAAATAGAAAGGAAAATGTATACAATGCTGTCTAGGAAGAAATGGAGTGCTAGAGCAAGGGAATCGCTTACACTGGTTTTAAGGAATCACTCTACGGCTGTGTTCAGTTTCCTTGTCACATCTAGGAGGCTCTTACTCTGGATACAAGCAAGTAGACAGCACTGTCCAGGTCCCTCTATAAGAACATTGACTGTATTGGTACTGTAGTGGCTAAGAGGCTTTTTATAAATATCACCTCCATCACACAGGAGAGGAATGAAATTGAAACTTTGGGTATATTCAAGTAAAGGAATCGTCCCAATTATTTAAATGTTTCCCACACTGGGCTCCAAACTCTTCAAGGATGGAGATCACGAAAGCTAAATTTATTCTTACATATCTAGAAGCTAGCATACTGCCAAATAACAGATGGATAAAGGTGTTTTTAATCAGAAAATCTGGAGATACATGGTCATACTGAAACCACCTTCTTTTTAAACCCTCCATTCACACACCTTCTTAGTTCCCAGAGATCGCTATAGATTTTTTATTGTACATATATGGCTGTTTTGTGTGCACATATCTTAGTGCAGGACTGGTACCAACAGAGGAAGGAGACATTCACATATTGATGCTTGGAGCTAAGAGGTTTTAGGTCAACAATAATGGTTATTCAGACAATAGTTATGTCAGTTAGGAAAGGAAACTGTTTTCAGAAAAGACCTAGATCTATGCTTGATACTTCAATAAGCAAAAATAAGCTAACTTTAACACTATCACTTTGTAACAATTTCTTAAAACATTATTGTTCTTGTTACTCTTCCATAAAGATTATCAGCCTAATAGAATCTGAACTAAGGCCCAAAGAGATCTGGACTTAATGACAATTTATGAGAGCCTGAAGAACCTTCTCTTTATACTCATTGAATAAATTAAGACAGTGAACTCTAGATCTCCTGAATTTTGCTGGTAAGTCACATGAGATGAAGACTTATATAAAACCAAACGGCTGCTTTGTAATAAGAAGATATTACTCCCATAAATCTCTAATACATAAATACATCACAAAAATGATAAAAATAGGTTATTGTCTGTTTGGACCATTCTTAATCCTGGGAGAACAAATGGCTCCTTTATCCTCTCATGAAGCTGAAAGATGGTGGGGAGAGAAAACCAAAAGCCTTATGCACTGAAAAAGCCCCTGAAGAGGCTTCCTCCCAGCTTAGCTTCTTTGGTTCCTGATACTGTTTCTAACAGATCCAAGGCTATTAAGATCCTACCATGGAGAAGCTACCACTACAACATTATGAAGTAAGCAGTCAGTAGTAACAACACTGAGAACTACATAAGGGGTCTGATGTTATTCAGACGGAAAGTACTATAAGCCACCATAATGATTAATTGTAGCAATTAATTCAACAAATTTAGAACTACTTTGTCACTGAAGCTCAAAACTGAAATAGACAGTAACCTTTAGTAAGAGTATAGAGTTTGAACCTCACGCACCTCAAATGGCCCACAGCCCTGGTCCGCACTAGAGAAAGGAGGATGTAATCATTCTGTTGACCTTGAAATCTATCAACAGTTGTCACCTAGGAAGAAAAGGCATTATCTCAACAAAATGCTACAAACAAGCATCTCACCTTTAAAATTATCACAGAAGAAACCTAATCATATCAATTCTTGCTTGGAATTGTAAAACCAAGACAGTGAGTACAACTAGAGCATGGTAAGCACCCTGAATCACGTCCTTCCGTTACTCACACTCTGGTCTGCAGCACTTGTCTACTATAGCTAACAATTAAAGAACTGTTCTTGGAATCTAGAGCCTTCTTAGGCTGCCAAGCTTTGTTCTGCTTATTAAGTGGCATCCCAAATATTCAAAAGACTATAGCTAATTATCTAACTTATTATTCAATGTGTGTCCCTAGTATTTTGTTCATAACATTCTTGTCAAAGTGGAAAAAAAAATCTTCACAGTATTTTTTATTCAGCTGGAAAACATACATATGAATAGGAAGAGGGGGTTCATCAAGATTCTAGCCACCAATTTTAACTCCTAGGTCTTCATCCCTGCTCTATGAATTTAACAAAGCTTACTAATTCCCCTGACTTTAGGAAGTGTATAAAAACACTTCTTTGGAAGTGAACTTCAGAGGTACAAATTACATACATAAGTTTTGACAACCTATACTCCCACACAATCACTACCACTGCCACAATGCCCATCACTCTGGGCCCTGCTGTAAACAAGCAGGCAACTTCCCAGCTTCAGGCAGGCAGTCCCTGATCTACTTCCCTCATTTTCTGCTGGCTCTAAACAAGCACAGGAGTAGAACCATGAAGACTTACACCAGTCTGTCAATAGCATAAAGCTTCTGTGGCTTTTCTGTATTATACATAAAGATGCTCATTTTGTCCTGCTGCTGAGCAGCTGGGCTCCCATTAATGAATGTGCTTGTTAATGGGCACCAGAGTTCCTTTTACTCTAGGGATATTTAGAATAAAACTACATTGAATATCTTTTTTTTTTGGGGGGGGCATGTTTTCATTGCAGAAAATGGAACTGTAGGGCTATGTTAAGTGTATGTTTAACTTGATAGACTTTCAAACTACTTTCCAAAGTCTGAGTCAATTTATACACTCACCAGTGATGTCCCAAGTTCCAGCTGCTCTATGTCCGAAACTATCAATTTTTATAACTATTTTTTGTTGTGTTGTTGTTGTTGTTTTTCAAGAGAGGGTTTATCTGTGTAGCTTTGGAGCCTGACCTGGAATTCACTATGTAGAGCAGGCTGGCCTCAAACTCACAGAGATGCACCTGCCCCTGCCTCCCAAATGCTGAGATTAAAGGTGTGTGCCACCTGCATAGCCCGCTTTTACAGCTGTTAGTGTGTGTAAGTATCATATTGTAATTTGAAAATTTTAATTTAATTTTATTCAGAGACTCATGTAGCCCAAGCTACAAATCTGATATATAACTGGGGATGGCTCTGAAGCTCTGATCCCCTTGCCTCCACCTCACCAGGATTGGGATTATAGGCATGCACCGTAGTATTGAGTTTTTGTAGTCTGAGGGTGAAACCCCAGGCTTTATGAATGCTAAGCAAGCACTCTACAGACTGAACTGCATTCTCTGTTCCCTTACTGGTTTCTCATTTATATCTTCCTGACAGGTAATGATTGTAAAGACAACTAATTACAGGGCAGGGATATTTTAGTGGCTACTTGTAGATTTTGCATAAAATATGCCCTGTTCACTTGCCCATTTTATATTAGTCTCTCTTATTTAAAATGACTATTAGAATTGACATTTTGAAGCAAGTCTTCTCATGTGTAGACATTATACATGGAAATTCTGTTGCCATCCTGACCTAGAAAGCTTGTCTGTGAGACAAGGTGGAGCAATATAAGCACTTACAATAAATGCAAACCTTGCCAGAAAGATGATGCCACTACATTCATAAAACTACCTTGTTTGGCCTTCCGATCAATGGATTATTCCCACATCGTCTATTGATGATGTCCCGTATCAGATGCTTTTGTCCATTGTATGTTGTTAGAATACTGATCTTGTCTGCAGGGTAACCAAGCAGGCACATGTACATGAAGAGTGCTACTACATACTCTGCTTCTCCAAGGTTCTGTAATGCAAGCACAGCCACATTATATATTAATTCGTCTATGATTCTTCTTCATAAGTGCTTCAAGAGGCTTACTTACTCATCACTTACTTACTTTTCACTTACTCACATTTCAAGTGAAAAGTTAATAACCTTGATAGATAAGTGATTATTTTGGTATGTTGAAAGATAGCCTTATTCTAGGTTAATATTGATAAAACTCTGATGTCTAATATATTCGTAACACAGGACATAGAGGTTAATATTCCTGGAGCCACAATAATCATGATATATAGTCTGTACAATGTACTCTAACTGCAACTGTGAAAACAAACATTAATATAAAGGGGTCAATCAGCTGAAGAGCCCATACAATGTCTAGTGTAACTGGATGTACATGTAGCAGTTTTACAATTGACTGCACTGTGCACAGCACTTTCCTAGCCTCTTCTGCTTCCTGATGTTTCCTATGAGTTTGTTTTTGCTGTCTTCCTTTGCCCCTGATCTGGACTCATTTAGATGAGAAGATGTTTTCAAACTGGCAGTCTGGCTTAGTGTTAAGTTAGAGATTCTGGTTAAAGATGGGTGATACGGAGCTCAAAAACAAGGGCTTTACTGAACTTCAAAGTGAGAAATCTGACCCACAGCTATTTAATCCAGTTCAGTAGAGACCGAGTTCAAGCATCAGCTGAGAAAGTAAAACAAGAACATAAGCACATCATCAAAAGCAAAACACAAAGATAAGAAGCTGGATTCCAGGCCAAGGCAAGAGGAAAATTACTGGATGAACTTCAGAGACACCATTTATATCCAGGTTCCTGGTGACAGACAGTCTCAATTATCTCTTTCATTTAAATTCTCTAGTTCTTTGGAAGACAGGAGACAAAAGAAAGCCATATGACTGTGTAAATCTCCATTTTCTATATTGGTAGCAAAACACATTTATCTAAGGATCAGCTTCAATACAGATAAAAGAACAAACCAGGGACCGTGGAAATGACCTTATGTAATAAATGCTAAGGCTGAATAAAATCCAGTTTTGAGGGTTCAGGTATTTTTGGCAAGATTGGGGCACTGACTTCTCAGCAAACAGAAGCCAATTCTTATTTATGTGGGCAATGACAACTGCTTAATTCAGAGCTCTGCCTGAGTCTGCCTAAGTCAGATGTGAAGTTCAATGGGAAAACAAGTATATTTTGATGAACATTTAAGAGACTGGACCATGTAAGTCAAGGATGCTTCAATTTAGGGACTTTTATTCATTTTCTACTTACTGTTTCAGATATTAATATTTTAAAATGTAAGTTTAAATGCATACTGATCATTCTCGGGGGGAGGATAAGGTTTTCAATACTTCAGAAATGCATTTAACCCATAGTATTCATCATTTGAGAATACCTTTACTTCTTGATGTACTTAAAACTCACCCAGAGATAGAATTAACAAATAATAGAAATAACAAGTAAGGAAACAGATGAGTAACTTGGATAACGTTTCCTATCAATCCCATTCGGTGGTTCAGGCAGGGACTCAGAACCAGTATGCAATGAGGCGATGAGGAGCCACCAATCAACTCCCAAACTCCTTCAAAAGTGGGTACCAGGAAACATGTTTCTACTTTGAATATGGCTCAATGTGTTATCGTTTAAAGATCACATTTTTTCCTAGGCTTCAAGTATATGAGAGTAACTTTAGTTACATGTTAAGTCTTTACACACTCATTCAACTTCTTGTTAAGAATTACTAGGAGCGAGAACAGTGTTTTTCATACGTAGGGCAATTTATGTGCTGAGTTATTTTCCTACTAAAATTGCAAGATCAAGTACTGTGTAATGTAGTGATTTATTACCCTGGTCCTCACAAAGATTTGCAAGATCAGCAAGTGTCCCTAACCCTGAGCCATCTTTCCAGCTCCCAGAAAGCAACTGAGTTCTTTATACAGATTTTAGTTAGAATTTTCAAATATATTGCTTTAATTTACATATTTATTGCTTTTCTCAAATCAATTAAGACTTTCTTATTTTTTTTTTTTTGTTATCAAGGAGTCCCTTCTTATGATATCACTGTATACTTGTCAGTATTTGCTTTCAGTACTTTCCACTGACTTTTTAGTTATTCTTTGTCTATCTTTGATCCACCTGAAATTGATTGTTTCTGTGTAGTAAGGTGAGGCTGCATCCTTTCTTTTTCTCAATAGATGGCCACATGGCTCAGGGTTACTGAATTCCACAACACTTCAGCCAGACAAATATAAGATGAACTCCAATGCCACGCTGTGTTACCTGATAGAAGTAAGGGTTAGGCTCCGACTCTCCCACTCCCTGAAAGTCTTCCACATTGATGAGCTGGAAGTCATATAGCAGGCCAGCATTAGCTGTGCTGAACTCTGGCAGAAGCTGCACATGTGGCAAATTGCCCAAATTCTTGTAGCGCCAGTTATAGAGGTTACACAAGCTGTCCCAAGAGAAAGCCCCACAGAACACAAAAGATTAGTAAGATGGTATATAAAAGGACATTTTAAGGAACCACATTTTTTAGTTGCCAAGTTTGCTCATCTTTTTAGCAACTTTGGGCTACTTGTTCCAAGAAATCAGAGTCAGGGGGATGAAGACATTACAAAAATGGCAGCTCTCTTGTGCTCCTTGTAAACACTGCTGCTATGTCATAAAATACAAGACCTGGGAAAGCCTCTAAGTAGGGACACTGGGTGGACCTGGGAGGTGGCTGGCATTGCTTATGAAGTTAAGAACCAGTGATTTACTCTTGTTTACTTTTGCTTTAGGTTTTATAATTACATTAAGGTCACAATTTTTGGAGACAGGATGGAGTAAAGCCTTTTCAGTCCTTAATATCAATTTAATGAAGAAAACAATTCCTTTGGTCAACATATACCATACATAAGAGGCAATAGACATGGTTTATGACTTGTAGAGGACAGGTTCCTAGATCTTAGAGGAGGCTAAACTTTACGTAAAAGATGTTTCAGAACCTATGTCCTTAACTAGAAGTGAATCTTCACCTTGCCCTGGCTCTCCCTTGAGCATCAAGATCCACAGTAGGAACACCAACACGGACAAAGCGAGTGAAAAGAGATTGCTCCATATTTGAATACTTCTGAAAGGCCATGTTCTTAATGACTGGAGGTAACTGGTGGTGATCACCAATCATAATCCATCGTTTCAATCGGCTGAACCCATCTTGAGGATTCTAGAAATGAAAATTAAAGAAATATCAAAATTCATTACTGATCGGTTTCTAACTTACCAAACAGAAGACTTGTTTATCAGATGATTTCGTTAATTTACAAATTCTCAACCCTCACCAGCTCTATAAAGGAGCAAATTCACAAGATGAATTAATTAGCAAAGAAGCAAGGTAGCCGATGCTCTTGACTGACAGCAAGCAAGAGTGGGTGAAAGTCTGAGGCCTCCAACAGGGTAATCAGAAGACATCTTAAAGATTAAGGTCAGCATTAAACAAAACATAAATAAGGAGAAACATGACCAGAAACAGAGGTATCAAAAATATGTCAAGAAGTTTTGAAGACCTTGACAGTAAAAACCATACCATTAATAGCTTCATTTACTACTAACTTCAATTTCTTATTCTACATGTCCCAGATTTCTTACTCTACATATCACCCATGTTCCTGGAAATACATCCTGCACTGGATATAGTAAACATTAAGTTTTATATGATAGCTTATAAAAGCAATTTTGATAACTAAATTTACCTGTAAATTAAGCAGTCTCTAGTCTTATAATGGTAATTACATATTTTAACACTTCAATAATAAAGAACATCATAAACAAGAAACATTCTTAAAATAAAACTACTTGGTTTTAAATTAGGCATACAATTAAGAAAAGCAATGTATCCAGAGAACACCAGAAACAATTCAAACGAAAGAAAAGACAAGTAACTCATCTTCCCTCCAAACTACATAATTTTCTTGATTAAAACTCATCTTTTAAAAATGGTGATATATATATATATATATACATATACATACATTATAAGCCATGGATATTAATTAATCAATTAATCAATTAATTAATTAATTAATTGAGACAGGGTCTCACTACATAGCTCTAACTGTCCTGGAACTCACTCTGTAGATCAATTTGGCCTCAAACTCAAGAGATCCATCTGCCTCTGCCTCCCAAGTGATGGGGTTAAAGGTATGTGCCACCATGCCTGGCTTAAACCATGTATTTTAAATAGTCTCTCAGAGGGAATACAAAGCCATGAGTAGATTAAAGGGAGAGTTTATAGGAGAAAATGGAGCAATCAAATAAAGTAAAATCAAGGAGAGCACGAAACCATGACAATCAGTATCCTAAGTACAGCTTTCCGATGTCCGCAAATTCTTAAAGTCTGCCTCTGACCTTTATTTCTTACCTGTAGAAGAAGAGGTATAAAGGTTTCTATCTCCAGAATCTGAGCAGCCTCTTCCATTAAAATGTTGTCATACTGAAAAAGAAAATCTTGTCAAATGGTAGCTGAAAGTTCACACAGTTACCAGCATAAGCCTAACAATGGTCAAAAAGCCTTACTAACTTCATATTAAAATAGCAATGTATAAATTATGTAGTCAAATTCACAGCCTGACTATTCTCCAATTGTCCTTAATCTCAAAAGATGAACGTTTATAGATCTGTATTCAAGTGAGTTTTGGTCAGTACTGCTAACAGTGACAAAGACTCTGAAAATTCAAATTTATTACTCAATCGTTAGGTTCCACTTTAACTGAGTGATAAACATCGAATCCCCCTCATATTTATCATACAGTAAGTTATTTTAATATCTCATCTAATGGTACAAATGAAATCATCCTACTCTGGACAGACAATGGGGACTAGATACATGTTTACTATGTGAATAATATTTGTAGATAAGGATTTTGAAATACTACTGTCATAGCTGTAGATCTGCTTAAACAATTCTTTAAATAAGTGATAGTAAAACTGAAACTTTAACTATGATGAGCTGGTTAGACAATCAAATGACTGATGTTAATTGGCAGACATGGTATTCAAAAATTAAATTATATTTAGCTTCATTAATCATATGTTACATTACAACATACTTATAAAAAAGAACTTTAAAATAATACAAATGAGACCTTTCACACGTGAACAAATCCCCAAAGAAAGAAGCCTAAATCATCAAAAAAAGAAAAGAGTGAGGAAAGGAAGACCCAATGAGAAGATGAGCTAAGATGGAAGTCTTTACCTTGAAACCCAACTTCACCAAGTCATGTCGTTTCAAGGCAGCATGAGTACAGGTCATAGCAATGATTTTGGCTTCTTTTACCAAAAGGTACTTGGATCTGTCCAGTCCACTGCGAAGCAGTTCCGAGGCTCTGAATTCCTATGGAATGAGCACCAGCAAGTGAGAATTTTAGGATAAGAGTTTATGTGTACACAACCACAATCTACCTGATCAGTCAGTTCTTGAGACATTACTAATACAATACATAAATACATTACAAACCAGGCCTAATACCATAACAAAATAATAAGCTAAGCCTAATAAGTTGTAATTCCTTTTGTTATTTGAAATTCAAATAAAAGCTGATATTCAAGCTAAAATTTGGACCTTTCTGCATATAAGCTATTTACATTACAAAACGAGTAAAACATCAATTACCAATGAACCTGCATTATTCAACGTTCCTCTAAGAAAAGAAAAACTATTTCATATATTCCTACCAAATAGCAAACAACTGGTCATACAAGTGACTAAAGACTAAAAAGCCAGCCATGGGGATGAACTAATCTAGATTGGCAAAAGCAAGAAGACACCTTCACTCCAAGACTAGGAAGGATAAAACAGAGAAGTGGTATTGTCAGAGGCCAGGGACTTGGGCGACCCCACCAGCTGGAACTGTAGTGTGCGAGTCTAACAGAAACTAGAGTAACAGGAGATAAAATCAAAGCAGGGGGTACTGAAGATGAGAATTGAACTGTCTCTTTTCAACTCCTACCACATCTCTCAGGATATGGCTGAATCCAGCTAAAAGGCAGGTGACATAGAACACAGAGTCACTGAATCTGCAAGGATTGGTCTGAGGGTCAACTGTGGCAGAGGGTGGACAGGTACAACAGCATCAGGTTTAACCACACTTGAACATTACACACGCCTACTTCAATTTTATAACATTTTGTTTCTCAAATAATTTAAGCATTTATGATTCAGGTGAGTTGCTCTGTATACCCGTCTCTGCACTCCTCAAGGAGGCAGCTGCTAATATGTATTGAATATATTTTAATCCTAAGATGTATTTATGTAATAGCACTATAATTTCCAGGTATAAAATTGTTATCACCCTATATATCCATGTACCTACTCACAAGTATCAATATTTACTATCAGCTATGTGCCAGATGCTAGGAAATGGTATGGAAGCATATTAAGAAGACAGAGAAGAACCTTGCAGACACATCCCCCATGGAGGGATACTGCCTTAACCTAGAGACTGGAGAGAAGTCCTAGTCCCTACTTTAAATGACTTGACAGATTTACATGACCCCACCTGGATGGCATTGCCTTACATGTGGAATTGGGGTGGGGGGTATAGGAGGGGAGGGTGGTCAGGGTGCATGTGAGGGGGCAGAGAGGGTAAAAAGGAGGGAGGGAGAGGGAACTGGGATAAACATGTAAAATTTAAAAAAAAAGAAAAAGAAAAAAGAAACCCTGGTTATCAACCAATAGTTTTATCATTAAAAAAGAAAAAAAAAAAAAAAAAAACAGAAAAGATACAAAGTCCCTCTTCTTTGTACCTGGAGGAGTGACACCTTCTACCTGTTCTTACTAATGAAACAAGCTTGATGATGCCTCTTAAAAGACTCTTAAAAGGAGTATTTGCCATGGGGCTGCCCCAGAAGGGGATACAACTTCTCTATCTCGTGTGTAAAGATGGTCCTTGCTTCACTTTCATATCAGGATAAAGCATCTTGGCTAATAGAGGAATCTTATTTTGTGTCTACTGATCAAGAGGCACGAGGAACTAAGAAATGGAGTGTGTCAAATTCCCATTCAAGGAAGTACTGGTAAGTTTCCTGATGGAGAGCTGTGATGTCAACAGTTCAACTGGCAGAGTGCTGGCCAACTGTGTGCAAAACCCTGGGGTTTGAGCCTTATCACTGCATGATTTAGGTGTGGTGGTGCACATCTGCAATTCCATTACTCAAGAGGTAGAGGAGACTCAGAACCTTAAGGTAATTTTCAGCTACAGAGTGAATCTGAGATGAAAAAGAAAACCAAACTCTGAGGAAAACATTACTTTCTTAATGTAGTAGGATAAAAGGGATATAACTCATTTTAATGCTTGCTTATTTCTTAATTAAAACTCTACCCGGCATAATGTGCTAAGTGGAAGGCAGAAGCAGGAAGACTTCTGTGAGTTTAAGCTAACCTGGGCTTATTTATATTTATGTAGAATGCTCCATGCCAGCAAGGGCCTACAACTGCAATCTCTCTCTCTCTCTCTCTCTCTCTCTCTCTCTCTCTCTCTCTCTCTCTCTCTCTCTCATACACACAGTAATATTTTCAAAATTTTTTCTTAAACTATTTGGTTTGCATTATCTACTTAATTTACTTCATTAAAAAGATAAACCATAAACTTTTCAAGAGACATTAAAACAAGTTGAGAAGTCTTACTTCAAGCTGTGTGAAGATTTTCTTAATATGCCTAAAGCACCCTTCAGCAATTTCCATGTCTTCTTCGTAAGATCTGCCTTTAAAGATGGGTTGAGGTGCATTCGCAAAATATTCATGAAATGGGAAGAATGTGGCGACCTCTGCAGCGTCTGGCAAGGTGCTCCCTGTATTTTTCACTTTGCTGATGTATTCTTCCCAGCGTGACATTACCTACAGGAAAAACCCGAGTTGTACTTTACTGGCTAGATTATGCATTAAGTAAAGCAAATGAATCTAGTGAAAATGAACTAAGGCAGACTACTCTGCAACACAGTGTATGTCCTGTTTGTTTCACAAAAACCCTAAAATCTCATTCTGAATGAACCCAAGTGGTTTGTGCAGCCCCTGGTGAGAGATTAAGGCCATTCTCTCTTATACATTAAAAATTTCAATGTTATAGCATTTGTAAAATATATAAACACTGTTACTATAATGAGAACAAGGAACATAAAATCAGGAACATAAAATCAGCATGATTTGATTATGTCTTAATTCACTTGAAATTATTAGTAATTCCAATGACTTATCATTTATTCACTTATGTGGTTTCCAATTTCTCAATGGTTTTCAGGCTCAGAAAATTAATTTTAACAAATTCACAGCCTTAAATTGAAATCAATTAGTTCTAAGAGACACTTTATTTCTGGGCATCAGAAAGAACAATATGCTTCCCCTTGTTAGTTAATAGAAGACATAATAAAAATTATGTCTTTTGTACTTTGCTATGACTGGGTAGGTAGAATATTTAGTTACATTATTTAGTGAGATAGAGAGAAAATGAGAACAGTGAAAAAGAAGGAAACTGACTTCAAATGCAGCAATAGCAGCTTTAAGTCAGAGTTGCTCGTAAAGAACACTGAACCATAAATGAAATATGCAAACACAGGGCCTGGTAAAATGGCTCAGGGTAAAGGTGCTTGCTACTAACTCCACAAAGCCATCCTCCTCACACTCAAAATAAACATGTAAATACAAAACAAAACACCAAAAACAAAACAAACAAAAATGCAGCGTATTCCTAATAGTGTGGATGCCGCATATTTTAAAGTACTAAAACAACAACAGTAACACTTCCAAAGAAGTCTCTAGAACTCAGGCCACTCTCCACTTGAGATGATTACTGTCAAATCCACCTTCAGTCCTACCTGGTATAGGAAGAAATAGCCTGCAGTTTCACAAGTATATGAAGCATCTCCTGGAACCCCCAGACTCTTTTGTAATCGTTTGACTTCTTCTAAAAGTTCTATTCTTCGAGCCAGGACATAATTAACTCTTCCATACCTAGAATTATCAAGATAGAATTCAAGAAACTGTAACAGAAACTATAACTGATCAGAGAGAAAGGAAAAAAAGAAAGCCCAATTTAATTATGAATGGTGGATACATTAAACTACAAATGGTATATCTTGGGCTACACCACAGGAAAGTTATTTAGAGTACATGTATGCAAACATGTTAACAGTCTGAGTGGAGAGAACAATCAATTAAGCAAGCTATCACTGTTTTGTAACTCTACCAAAACGTCTACATATATTATAATAGTGCATTCTGGAACAGGCTAGGAACACAGAGTGGACAGAGCGGGTACTGGGAACTGCTCTGCTGAACTAAGAGCAGAATGTTTCAGAGGCTTTGAAAAGGAATTTGAAAATGCTTTCTATGTTATCTGTATTTTTTTGGCATATAGCCTGGAACTCAAACCTAGTTAAGTGAGTGAGAACAGAAGTCTGGGAGTACCTTGTCCAAAGATATGTGGGAATAAACCTAGTGGAAAGAGAATTAGACCAAGTCTATGCACACTCTTTTCACAACACCTCAGTGTCTGAAATACTGATCATGTGGCAGGCTTGACAAAGGAAGAGTTCCATTTCTGAATTTCTAGGTCTTCCTCTTCCAGTGTGCAGACCTCGCCTGAAGCAGCAAGGAGCAGGGGGAACTGGTCTATATTATATTTCCCTTTCCTTTCTTCTCCCCTTCTTCTTCCTTCCTCCCTCAACAGTGTTTTAGCCCAGGTGGGCAGAAATCTAGTCTCCGCTTTCTTTGCCTTCCCAGTCAGGGATGGGGTCAGAGGCTCTCACCATTACACAACCAAACAGGGTGTGTGCTCTGGAGAATAAAAAGTTGAAAAAGACTCACACAGATATGAGCATATGATATGTAATGTAACTTTTTTCTGTTTGCTTAGCTATACTTCAAAACTTCTCTACAATAGACACTTTGGTCATAGCCACAAAATAAATAAATAAATAAATAAATAAATAAATAAATAAATAAATAAAAATAAAAATTTAAATTATGACCTCCAATTGACTGCAATTCTCTTAGTGTTATGTTCACTGAACTCTGAACAGCTAGATTTAGCTCGATTTAACTCAATTCCCCTCTACCCCTAACAGGGTTTCTTTGTGTAGCTTTGGAGCTTATCCTGGAACTTAACTCTGTAGACCAAGCTTGCCTCTTCATCCCAAGTGCTGAGATTAAAGGAGTGTGCCACTACCGCCTGGCCTCATTTCGATATTTAAAGTTATTATTATTACTATTTTTGTGTTCACACACACAGGTGTAAGGCAAAAGGACAACTCTATGGAGTTGGTGCTCCTTCTACCATCATGTGGATCCCAGGGATCTAACACAGGCCTTCAGGCTTGTATCTTCAGGTGGGAATCTCCTTACACCATCTGAACTGCTCCTACTCTATTTTTATAAATGGCCCTGGCATGAGGAAACACCTATGGGAAGATTTCACAATTATCACCAGCTGATCCAACCCTAGAATATGGGGATAGTCATTTATAACTAAAACTAAAGTGCACTCTGCCTATACTTTCAGGTCAACATACAGATTAAATAGCTGACACTAGAATCTTTTGAATTAAGTTTGATTATCCACATCCCCTTTCCTTGGCATTGTTTCAATAAGGTGGAGATGTGAAAGTTCTTTGGTGCGCGTTTCCACATTTACCCCATTCTCTTACCTGCTAAAATCTTTCTCTGTCTCCAGCTCTTCTTCTCCATGACCCAGACGCAGGAGGTGCCGCTCATCTATATCTAAAGCCATGATTTTCTCAAACAACTGGTTCAGAGCCTGGGCAGTAGGGCAAATGGATAAAAGTGGGTTTAAAAGACTTATGACATTCTTTGAACTAGAGCAAAGACTAGTTTCTATAAGGATACAGTAATGTCTAGTTATGTAAGAATCAAAATTCAAACGGAAGAAAACAGGTTTACTATTAGGCCATTTATAAACTTTAACAAGATTATATTTAATACTAAATTCTTGTACTTGCATTATGTGCACTTGGCTAAATGAGAAACTAGAAATTATAAAAGCCATTGACATCTAAATCTCTATGTCTAATTTATAAAAACAGAATGCAGGGCATTGGTTCAAAGGCTAGTCCTCCAAGTGAGTTTCATGTCCCCCAACAGTATTCCGAGTAGGAGAGAATGGAAAATAATTCAGCAATTGCTGAGAAAGGGCAGTGAGATGGCTGAGTATAGAGCATGCGACAGTAGATTCACTAAGCAGGCCAGAGAAAGAGAAAAGTGCATCATCCAACTCTCAAGCCCAAAGTCCAATTCTCTCTATACAATGAGCAGAGAGCACTTGCTGCCATAAACTGCTCTGATGAAAACCATTTACAACTCACTTCTCTCTACCTCTGAAATGCTTATATTAAGGGTTCTCTCAAATCCTTATACTTATTCTCCAATCTCTATGGTTAGGGAAAAGTTTTGTATGAAGCAAAACATTTTGCAGAGAGGTAAAAGTCTGATAATCTGGGAAGATACACTAAACAAAGGCATCATTTACAGTATTAGCCACTGGTCAGCATTCATCCTCTTTTATCACTAGTCCAATCCTGCCCCTCAAGCTAACATACATACCCAGGCTCCATAATGTAACATACATCCTTTGCTGCCAAAATTCTAGCAGACTTAATGATGGAAGGCATTACTTTTTTAAGTTTAAAATCCCCACTATCTATCTAGCTTTTCATAGTATTAAAAACTCAGAACTTAATCAATAGGACTGCAGTATTATTTGTTATCCATACTAAGAATTGAGACAGAATATATATATATATATATATATATATATATATATATGTGTGTGTGTATATATATATGTTTCAAAAAAAAAAATTCAAGATTTCCTTTTGGGATGGAAAGATAGTGAAGAAGTGCTAGGCTGAGACAGTGCAGAAGACCTGGCAAGCAAAACACTTAACAAGTCAAATGAAAATCAGCTATTTGACATTGAATTTCTAAGGACAACAAGGGCTTCTTTGGTATTTCAGCAACAGACCTTCTCCTAAGTAGCATGCACTGTACCAAGTCCTAACAAGGCATGAGACAAAACTTAGTCAGAAATGCTGTGAGTACTAACACACTTTAGATCTCTGTACCTGAGGAATACCCATCCTATTAAATAAAGACATACTACCAGTACGGTTAGTAAATACTTTCATCTCAAAATGAAGTACAGAGTATGGGCATGTGCATGCAGACAACACAGACAGGCAGACAGACACACATGAATAGTCAATTACCTGATTAGAATGAGTAACAATTAAGGTCCTCTGTTCTGGAAAATTGTGGTAAATGTTGGATATGATCTGGACTGCAACATCTGTTTTCCCTGTACCAGGTGGACCCACAACCTAAAAAAAAAATGATGAAAACATGTCAAACACTAAGTTACTACATTATTAGAAAATAGAAAAAAAAAAAAAAACTTAGAAAAAAAAATAAGAAACTTCACTGGATGGACTGAATGCATAATAATAATAATAATAATAATAGTAGTAGTAGTAGTAGTAGTAGTAGTAATAGTCATCATAGAGGTAGTAGTAGAAGGAGACAGAGTAGACAGGATAGAGAAACCCAACCTCAGAAACTGATACATCTATGAAGAAACTCCAGAAAATATAAATTTTATTTCACTGACCTCCAAAGAGAGAAAAATATATACAGATTAATGGCTAAAACAGAAAGTCTGAAAAAGCCTGTTGAGAAAAAATCACCTCAAACAAAACAAAACAAGCAAAAATAAAATGATGAAAAAGAAATATCATATAAACATGCACTCTTGGACTATAGCAGATTTAGACTAAAGGTAACAACTGAAAGCTAAGAGAAAAATTTGCACATACTTAGAAATTAAATACAATCAACACTGCCCATTCTCTGTAAAGGGCCAGAGAATAAACATCACTGAAGAGTTTCTTGACCAAAAATCTGTTGCAAATACTTCTGTGGTTACAGCAAAAGGAGATGGCCATATTCTAATATGTGTCTCTATGAACACTGAGATGAGCAGCAACATCTCATGCATAGAATGTTGCAATTACTTAATACTCAAAAGTCAGTCCGTATGCTTACCATAGTTAGTCCAGGCTGCATCCCAGCCCGGATAGCTTCTATTTGTGTATGAGTGAACTGAATTGTATTACTGCAAATAGACAAGTAAATAAAGTCAGTTAGAAATTCAATGACATTTAGTGAAGACTCAGATAACCATGGACAGAGAAGTTTAAACATCTACTTGTTTATTCCCTGCCTCTCAGATAGTAATTCTTATGGACAGAGCAGTTGTTTCCAATACATGTAGCTTATTCTAGGCTTCATGTGGCCAGCAGAAGTTCTGGTTCCCAAGTGTACTGACCCAGAAGTCCCAGCACACATCCACAAAAGTCAGTTACACAGGAGCTCCATGATCACACCCCAGTAGTTGCGCAATGTTGACTTTTCACAGTGCCAGAGAACATTTCCTTTTGAAATGCAACTATAGAAGTATCTAAAATTCAGACAATTGACAGAACCAAAGGGAAAATTCTCCAAGGTTTGAAACAAACGTATCCCAATGGTTTAAAAGACTAAGAGAATTTAAAAACAAGCTTGTAACTAGGGTAGGCAGTGAGATTACCGTTTGGGCTGGTTGTAAGGGTAGGGGCCTCTATTAGGAATGACGTGAGGTTCTACAATTAAGGTCTTTGCTTCTTCGGTGTCATCTTCTTCTCCGTCTGCATCTTTCCTTTTCTTCCCTTTTCCACTTCTTACCGGGAAAGTTATTCTACAAGAGCAAAACCACCATCTACTTTTAAAATAAGAACTGGTCCAAACTGAGAAGGGGAGTGGACATGACCTCCTATTCCTAATCCAGAACTATCATCAACCACTTGAACAGGAAAAATTAGTTTTCTCCAATGGAGTCTCATTGGGTATACAAACCTCACTTTAGGGTAGGCGCCAAGCCCAAGCCCAGCTGTAGATGGGTCCCACAAAATAAATTCAATAGGATTCTCTGGAGATTTTTTTTCCCTCATAATGCTGTATTTGGGCTTCCCCCCTTTTTATTTTTAATTGTCTATTTCACATATATTATGGTTCCAATTTTGTGTTTTTATAGTGTGTCTTTGTATATGAGTTTTCCATACACTTTGTTTTTTACTTTTTTTTAATGTTTTCTTTATTCATCCCCACCCCGCCTAAAGTCTGTTTTCTAAAGGGAGGAAAAGAAGGCACGGGGTTGGTAGGGTAAGGAGGTGGGGAGCTTCTGGGAGATGATGAAAGACGGGAACTGTGATCAGAATACATTGTAAGAAAAAGATTTATTTTCAATAAAAAATAATTACTATCTTATATATGACATTGTAATAATAATAAAAAGATGTATAAGAAAGATCTGTGATTTCTTTCTACATAAACTTTGAAATAAAGGCATATTTACAATTAATAAAATGGATGCTAAGTATTCTGTTTGGGGAAAAAGTCATCCAATTAGTGGATAAATCAAAGAAACATTAAGTACTTGTCACACACCATAAAGTGCTTCATTGGTGTCCATATATTCAGAAGACTTAAGGAGACTGGTTTTAAGTAACAGAGACTCTCAGAGACTCATAGCCAGGAAGGAAAGACTTCTCAGAAAAAATGAAGTACCAGTGGAGGCCAAATATAAACAACCAAGCATTGCCAGAGCATGAAATACAACAGAGAAAAGAAAGGCCAGACAAAATGGAGTCTTGTTGTGGAATCTCTAAAATACCAAGCTTTAGGCCAGAGGTTTAGTCTGGAGTCAGAAGCCAATCCTTTCAATGAATTTCCTAAAATTGAAACAACAACAATGTATTCTTTTCCCAGTCTTCTTTCCCATTATTAAAGTATAGCCAGAGCCAAAGGTTTCTGAGAACCGATGTGGAGAAGTCACCTTACTAGTAAGCAGAGGCACTCACTTCTCCAGAGAGGGAGTGAATGGCTCTATCTAGCAAGAGGCATCTGAGAGAGTTCAAGGGAGAAGCAGAAACTACAGCACCATCAAGACTGAATGGCCTAGAGATGCAGAAGTCTGAAGAGACACATATTGTTCCTAATAGAATCTATTATACATCATAGCAAGTTATGAGAATAATCAGATTAAAAACAAAAACAAAAAACAAAAAAAAAAAAAAAAAAAGAGGGAGACAAAAGTAATATCTTTGTAATTAACAGACGTTAGGGACAAAAGAGGAAGAGAAGGTATGGGTATTATGAAAAATATGTTGTAAGTATCCTGAATTATCATTATATTTGTATTTAATAGGTATGTGGAAGTTGTGTACTCTAGTTTCCAGTTAAAGAAGCAGGATCTGAAATATAGGTATAGCTATCTTGGTGTACAGCCTCTAATGTTTATGAACAAACTCCGGCAGTAGCCAGTGGCTGCAAGCACCTCAGTCTATTCCTACTCAAGAGCTAAAGCCATCTGACATTAACACAACTCTGTTTTGAAACCATGAAACTTAAAATGCTCCAAATCTTAAACATTTGGGGTATTTAGACAATCCTCAAAAAGTTTTGAATTTTGGAACATTTTGGCTTTTGGAATTCCAGATTAGGAATGTCCAACTGGTGATCTCTGTGGAAATATTTCAATATCTGAAAAAAACCCCAAACCTAAAATATTTCCTGTTCCAAACATTTTAAGTAAAGCACATTCAACCCGTATTTAAAATCTGCAAAAGGCAGGCAGAGTTAAAGAAAATGTTAGCCTTTCAGAATCAAAGGGAAGTTCAACATCACATGTCTATATGGTAGCAGTTAAAAACATACTAGAATATGTGTGAGATGTACAGGCATATTTCTTTTGTCAGCTACATATTCATATAGTTCTTTCCAAATCACAGACACTTAGTGATCTCTTTTGAGACATGAAGCTACTTTTAATGCGGCCTTAAAATAGCTTGTACTTGGAGTCAGGAATAGATTCACATATAATAGTCTTATCCCAGTGATTATTACAGCAAATATAAGGACTGCCAGAATGAAATCCAGACACAATGCTCAAAACTCACGTAGTCAACAGTGCTGATGCTAGCACAGATGGACTACAGAATGCTGCCAAGAGCACAGCCATCCTGACATTACCTGAAAGGGGGTATTTGTAGGGCTGGGTCATTCACAGTCACTTTAACATTATGACCAGGAAAGCTGGCTTTTAGATGTTCAATGGAGAGAAAGGTATCATTGAAATCCAGGGTAGCAATCTGATTGGGCATTTTTGAATAATGGGCACTACTTGGGTCCCCATAACCTAAAATGATGTCATGCAGCCAATCCGGTACCACGCAGTCGGTATTCATCAGATTCCGAATAGTCTCCAACACAGCCTGCCAGTAAAAGGACAGAAAAGCATCGTGTCAGTTGACATCTCAAACATTTGCACTTCACTGGAATGCAGAGCTGACGGCACCAATCCGGAATGCCCATGTGTTTCAAGGCAAGAAGCTATTTTCTGATGACAGGTGCTTGGCAAGACTGAATCAACAGCTATATTTTCAGCTGATACCATACACTGAGTTAAACAAAAGAACTAAGTTAGCAAGAACAGTTTATCCACTAAGAATTCGTTTAGACAGAATGACATAAATGAGTTTGCCACTTGACTCCTATTGAGCATGGTGAAAATAAGATTTATGTCAAGCTAATACAAAAGAGAAGAAAAAGAAGAAAGAAAATTACAGAACAGGGCCTTAAAAACAAATGCTTCCTTATAAACTCGAGTTTTTCCCTCTCAATAGTACGTAGCTCAGTGAAAAGTGAAAAGCAGCACAACTTATACATTGAAGAATCAAAGAACTGGGACTAAGCCAGGCAGTGGTGCTACAAGCCTTTAATCACAGCACTTGGAAGGCAGAGGCCCAACTTGAAAACCAAAAGCAAAACAGATGAATAAACTGATGAACAAACAGACAAAAAAAAAAAGAACTGGGACTACAATAAAAGGGTATTGTAGTAGATAGCACATATACTGTCAAAAGAATTAACAGAGCCAAGCACATCTTTTGAGTATCTAAAACCATTCTGATAAAGTAACATATCTCCATCTGGAAATTAGGAGGCAAGGCTTAATTTCAAAGAACATAGTAACCAAATCAACTTTTTCTAAACTCAGGGAGAGGTGAGCGATGGACAGGTCAATGAGTACTTTCATGTAGTACTGACAAATAAGATGAGAATTCTGCCATCTAAGGAAATTCTAAATCTGTAAGAGAAGAAGGAAGACATGGATCCTTACAAGCAGCAGCAGAATGTGACAATTAGTAAAGCATCTTACAATATACAAACGGAATGCACTATAGAAGATGAGAGATGGATTGTGGGGAGATGGACTTGGTATTAGGAAAAGCTTCAAGGAGGAATTATTTTAATTTAGTGCAACAAATATTTTATGCTTTACTTCATCATTAACGGAAAGTCATATACACATTTTAAGCAGCAGAATGTAGGTTCCTGCATGGACCCTTGAGGAACCTTGACCAAGCCTGAAGCTGTTGGCAGGAACTTCTTGCCCCAGAGTTGTTGTTGGTACTCTTCCTGTTTTGTTAACACACATCTGTTGGGGAGGAGCTAAACCTGAAACCTTGTACTCTTGACCCTGTTGTTTTCCACTGTGCTTTGAGTCAGTATATATAAGCCCACCCCATCCCCTTAATAAACAGCATTCAGCATTCCGACATTGCTGTTGAAGGAATGACCCGCTGAATTGTCTCTTATTTCAATCTCTAGGCCTTTCACCCCATTTGCGGAACAGACTGTAGCATAGGCACTACAGCAGAATATTAAGTATCGGTGTTCAAGAGAATTAGGAAATGTACATAAACAGAATTACAGAGAGACTAGAGAAAGGGGGGCCATTCTAATGGTCCCGTCAAGCAGTGGGAGACCCAGATTAGAACAGGCTGCACTAACTGGAAAGCAAATGAAGCACAAGGAAACAGCAAACAGACCCCACAGGCGGGGTCACTGCTCCCCCTCTCGTCAGGATCTTAACGCCTCCTTTAATTCCCTTTTAAAAAATCACTTTGGAGCTGGGCAGTGGTGGTGCACGCCTTTAATCCCAGCACTCGGGAGGCAGAGGCAGGTGGATCTCTGTGAGATCAAAGCCAGCCTGGTCTACAGCATGAGTTCCAAGACAAGCTCCAAAGCTATACAGAGAAACCCTGTCTGGAAAAGCCAAAAAGGGGGGCGGGGGGAGGAAAAAATCACTTTGGGCAGGCACCACTAACCTTTCATGTAAATTACCTATATTTTTTTACTTTCTTGATTAGTAGTTAAGGCATCAACCATGTTTATTCATCTCTACAACTCCCATATCACTAAACACAACATCAGACACACAAGAGACACTAAATAGAATGGCACATAAAGAAATACTTTGTAGATTTCAGTCATATGAATGAAATTCACTTACTGAAAAGTAAATGTGAGACTGTCCTTGGTACTGTACAATTTGGAAACAGACCTCTCTTAAGTGACACTTAAACTGAGTTGCTTGTGTGAAGTGAGGAACAAATTGTAAATATACTTGAGGAAAATCACCTAGAGAGATACCATGTAAAGTCTTGGGTTATTTCAAGAACAGTGTGTGTGATCAGTGTGGCTACATTGACGTAAGTAAGGGGATGGAGGACATGACAGGGGAAGCCATGGGCAAATGATGATGTAACGACAGTGGAACGGATTATTAAAAACTCTTTAATGTGATGAGAAACCATTAGAGAATGTAGAACAGGGGTACCGATATATAACTTACATTTTGAAAGAACCAAACAGAGGGTATGGAGAGAGTAAGGTATGGGAGGAGCAAAGGGGAATGGAAGCAGGGATGTGAAACGAGGGTGCCTGCGTATGGCATCAGCAGAGATGGTGACCCACTCAGTACTGACAGACTGCTTGTGGGGTGGGAGGAAAGCAAGTCAGGGGCTCCCCCACTGCATTTGTCCTCAGTAAAAGAAGAAATAGAGAATACATGCAAGTTTGGGTCCTTATATAGAGCAGCAGAACAGAGTGATAGGACTGTGTAAACAATGAGGCTTGGGGCAGAAATGAAGGAAAGGCACCCTGCAAAAACTGGAAGTTACTAATATTGAAACAACTTGAAATAATAAGTGTTGCTCTTAGTTCCTAGGAGTGATTTCCAGTGATTTACATGTGAGCACATTGACCATGTACTTTCTATCCTCCTTTACTAAAACTCTCCTTCTAAACCATGAAAGCAAAAATTAGAAGTCCCTGTGACTCCCTGTCCCTAATGAGTGAAGTGTCTCAAAACATTATATCAGAGAATCATTCAGCACTGATATCCCACATCTGTACTCTAAGACATCTGGAAGTATACCTATTTTTGACTTAAAAAAGAAGACCCTGTAAATGATGAAGTCTCTCTCCTCATTCTGGGCATAAACTAAGCACTTCATGTAAAAAAAAAAAAAAAAAAAAAAAATCAAGAAAGGAGATCATCTTCAGAGTAAAACCTGAATTCTTTTATAAATTTCTTCAAAAGCCAAACGGATTTAGAAATGGGTTTCCTTAAATGTCATATTTAATCAATATAATATGAACTTAAGACTGCTGAGAAAATTAAAGAGGTAATATTGTCCTTATACCCCGTTAGCCAGCATGCATACTTTTCCATTTTAGGATTACACTATTAGGATATAGACTTTTAGCTACAGAACAGAACTTACCTTAAAGTTATTCTCCTTCGGTTTCCTCCTCATGATGACATTGAAGGTGTCATATACATCTTCAGCTCCATTTTGTATAGTATTGGTCATATCCTGTTGATACTGGTTTGGGTCCAAAAACACTCGAAATGTCCTTGACTCTCCTCGAAGATTGGGTCTGGGTTCAGGTCCTGAATTTTTTTTTTTTTTTTAAGATTTTGTTAAATGAAATATATATGTTTAAATTAACTATCAAAGTACATGTTAAAAGTATTTCTTTTATAGAAATGATAAGCTACTAAACTTACCGCCAGTATCCCTCCATGACTAAACTGCCCTCTACTTAGACAATTCAGATTTGAAGTCAAAAGTATATTCCTCTTTTTCTAAATTCTTATCATTTCTTACAACTCATAATATGCGGAGGCCAGAGGGACTACAATTGTGTGCTACCACGCTTGGCCTGCTTAGAAATATTAAAAATCTTATACTTTCCAGAATCTAATATAGAAACTTAAAAAGGGCAACTCATTTGCACATAATAGTTGTGCAATTTATAAGATATAATGGAAAATTCAATACAATTAACACAGTTTTTTTGTATGCCTTTTTTTTTTTTTTCAGTGCTGGGGATTGAACCTAGGGCAAACATAGCACATGCTAGGCTAAGTGCTCATCACCACAGATATTACCTATTCTATGAAGTAAGTACCTCACACAAATCTGTGTTTACTACATAAAACAAAAGTTTACCAATAAAGCCAACACAGAAATGTAACATTCTAGACACACATTCTCTCAGATCAACATATCACCGTACCATCTTCGATGACTCGCCCTTTGTCATCAAGCATGCCCTGGATTTCACAGCCTCTGACGTATACCAAGCCAACTTGTTCAATAAAAGGTCTCCTCCTGTCAAACTTAGTACCATAAGGCTTTGTGGGACGCACAGTAATTAAAAAGCATACGTCGTGTTTGCGAAGACCTAGTAAAACATAAAGGGCATTTTTTAAGTATTAGAATTACATTCTTTTTGGCCTTTCATTGGCAAATTAACCTCTTGGAAGGATAGGAGATTAAAAAAAAAAAAATAGACGTGATGACCAACAATGTATTTTGGATTATAACATAATTATGTGTTTCCTATAGATTTTAATATCAATATTTCACAGCAATAATGAAAAGATATTAAAGATATTAAAAATATATTAAAATTAGAAACTTCTGTGTCATGAATTAATTACTGAGTAAGACTTCCAAGTCATGTTACAGGTCCAAAATTGGATGTTCATGACCATTCTTATTTTTAATTCTTATTAAGTCACCAAAAATATGGCTGGCATATAATTCATCTGTATCAGAGTCATCAAATTTCTACCATCGCTTTCAGCTATCCATCAGCGTCATTCCCAGCAACCTAAGTGCACTGCCTTAAAACAGGTTAACTCAAGAATAACTCATCAAAGCACAAGAGTACTTTTATCTGCAGATATCATCCACAGAACATGGCTTAACCTACAGTTTCAGTCAGCAAATAGGGAAAGCTTTCTAAATGAATGAATGTCAAGAGACAAGAAATTGGTATCAAAGTTCAAGGCTTCTCCACTGGCTTCCCAGATCCACCAATAACACTGACACAGGAAGAAAGGGGGTATTAAAGTGTTACACCTCACAACATGGAATGTTCACTTATCTTTGTTTCTTTTTCACATCTATTATTTTTAGCCACTGCATGATAGAAATGAAAATTTACAAAGTCTATCTACTTACAATCTTGGAAAAAAGACATACAAGACACCAATGTGAATAGCTAATGAATTGGAAACATCATGGCTTTTTTCGTAGTGTTTCCCTGTAACTCAAATCTTTAAGGTAAAAATTAGATGCAAAGGGGCAGAAGAGGCAATGAGAACTATAAGGAACAATGTTCTGCTAAGTCATGCTGCTATATAACCTTGAGTCTGAACAACTAACATCTAGGCTTTAGAAACAAAGAAGACGCTCTGAGAAGCCCCCATCAAAGCAGGAATCACTTTCTGACATCAATTGCAATGGATGACTGAGTATCCTTCCAAAATCAAACATTACAGCAGAGACGCCTTCTAGTTATACTTAAAAACCACCCTACAGTGAGTTTGCCTCTTTCTTCTTGGGCATTTGTAACCACCCTGTGTTTTTAGAAGCAAAATCCAATATCCACTCTCTATATAGGGTAATAATGAAGATAAGGACCCTAGCTCCAAACCTTGAGGGAGGAGAGGTCTCTAAGTTTTAATGGAAACATTTCAAAGCTATTCTGTTTGTAAGACAACATTCATTATAGTCCTCTTGTTTCCTGCTTTCATCTTTCACCAATACAAGGGCTGAATGTGGCCCTGGCCTTATGAAACAGCACTTCTATTTCCATTATGTGCTAGAGTATGAATCACTCATCCCCAATACCATCAGAATGCAACAGCTCTATTTCTCATTCTACCAGAGGCCTATAGAAATGGAGGGTGTGAGGGAAAGAAAAGGAAAAGGGATGGGGATGAGAAAGCAATTAAGAAATTACTTACACACACACACACACACACACACACCTACCTACCTACCTCCCGGCACTCCAGGTAGTAGTCCCTAGAATGGTGGAGGGAGGGCTTTGTCAGGAGAGAACATTCTCATCTCTAACTTCACAAGACAGACCTCTCATCTGTAAACTCTTATAACAGGTCTTTAAAAATCACCAACCATTACTCTTTCTGGGGATGCCAATAAGTCACTTTGTTTTACTGCCCAATGTGTAAATTAGTGTTAGATACCCCCTTAAGTTTCAAGGGGGTAGTAAGTGCAAGACCCTCTCCAGCCTTGTGAATTCTCAAGGCACAGTAATCACAAAAGTGCACAATGTTCTAGACATATAATGGAACAGACTGGAACTCACAGAAAGATAACAGTACTCAAAACAATCTGTCACAAATGATACCCACTGAAAGAGTCATTTGTTAAACATTTGGCCACCTTCATTGCTGGATTCCTTCAGAATTCCTTTATAAGTCTAACATATGCTCCCCATGGTTACTGCTATGCTGGGAGCTATAATTTCTGAAAACTGATCCATTATAGCACTATCCCTTTTCTTCTAACATTTGGAGAAGGTAGCAGGAGATTAAAGTTTCTGGCTGCTACTTCATACTAAGAGCAGCAAGTGGGAAACCTTAGACAGCAGGGAGTGGGCAGGCATGTGTGTGTGTGTGTGTGTGGGAAGGTTGTGCCAACTGTCTATCAATTCAGGGGCCACTTCTTACAGGGGTGTTAGCAAAGTTCTAACTCCTTTTTGTTTAATATTTTTGAACATGGTTTCCCCAAAAGCTAATTATGATACACAACTCTCATTGTTAAAAGCTTATATATTTTAAAAAAGAAAATAACTGGTTTACTTTCTTGCCTATTATCACACAACACAGCTCCAAGTAAATCTAATTTCACTGATTCTTATCCATCTTCCTTCTTCTGGTAAAATAAAGTTTCCTTCTGAGCTGCTTCATTCCATGTCTCTTCACCAGATTCTTCCAATCTGCCTTCTTCATGAAGTCCATGTACCTCTCTTCTACTCTGGCTGCTTTCATTTTTTTCAAAGTAAGACTTTCTCTACTTACAATGCAAATGTGTGTGAGTTATATCCGAATCTCCTTCAGGATACACTAATGCTTTTATACTGCTTCTACAGTTCAAGAAAATACTGTACTAAATACAATTTCCTCTCAGTGTGCTTTGTAAACTGCAATCTTTAGAATGCTCTGACAGTTACTATTTTGTATTAAAACAATGAGATACTTAAAATACTCTTATATGATCCCTAGTATTTTTACTAATGAAAACAAAACAATCAAACAAAAACCAAAGACAACTTTATATCAAATTTTAAGAACAAAACTGAATAAAATTTTAGAAGGACAACATTTAGTAAGAGTAGTTTGCAAGGCTCTAAATCAATGGTTCTTAACATGTGGGTCATGACCCCTGTGGAGTCACATATCAGATATCCTACATACTAGATATTTATATTGTAATTCATAACAATAGCAAAATTATAGTTATAAAGTAGCAACAAAGTAATTTTATGGTTAGCGGTCACCACAATATGAAGATCACAGCATTAGCAAGGTTGAGAACTACTGCCCTGAATGAGAAACTATAAACCAAAGAGTTAAAAGGTAGTTGTCACTTCTTGAAACGCCAAATTACCTTCCCATTCATCCTTGATGTGGTCTCTGACATTCAGATTGATGGTGACATCTGCACGAACTCGGGTGGGCCAGTTTTCACCAATGTTGGGTTTGGCAACCTCAACTACAGTAAAAGCCACAATGGGCTGAGCCATTCGTGCCCAACCACCAAATACTACACCACCATACTCAGACTGCCTGAAAAATCCAAAAGCAGTGGATGATTACACAAACAAAAACTTCACAACTATACACAAGTAAAACTTGTAAGAATACATGTTTAGCTCATGGTTAAGTGCTAGCTAGCACTGGTTACTAATGGCAAGGGCCATTCTTCTTCAAGACTGAATAATATTCTATACTGTACATGTGGTCACACATATTCTTTACTCATTCACCTCTACACAGGCACAGGTTGTTTCACTATCTTGGCTGTTAACAACTGCTGCAACGAGCATGAAGATCACACATTTCTTCAAGACAGTGATTTTGTGTATCTACAAGTAGGATTACAGGACCATATGGTTCCCTTTTTAATTCGGGGGAATGCTCACACTGTGTTTTATAATGGCTGTACCATTATAGTCCCAACAACAATATGCACAGCTTTCATTTTCATAGTAACCTTGCAAACATTTATCTTCCTTCTTAACAAAGACAAATGATTATCTAGTGGCTAGAACTCTATTTACTGATGGTTGAGGCCTGAGAACTGCTTGTTTAAAGCTGCTGGTTACCATTACATCTTCATTGCAAACATACCCATTTAGGATGTTTGCCATTTTTTTTCTTAATTTTTTTTCATGTGTTTGTTGTCCTTATAGTTCTGATATTAACCCATAATTAGATATGAGTTGCGAGTATTTCCTAACATGTCATGGATTTCCCCCTCTTTTGTACAGAAACTTGTTAGTTTGATGCACTTCTACTCACTAGTGCTATATTTCTGTTTTTACTTCCTGTTTTTGGTGTCATAACCCAAGACAAAAAAACCAAAGTGTTGGTCTCGACCACCTTTAATCCCAGTCCTTGGGAGGCAGATGCAGGTGGATCTCTGTGAGTTCAAGGCCATCCTGGTCTACATAGCAAGTTCCAGGACAGCATCCAAAGCAATACAGAGAAACCCTGTCTTGAAAAACAAACAAACACAAAACCAAAACAAACAAAAAAGCAAAAATGTTAAGAGCAATGTTAAGGAACTTTTCACTATTTTCTTTCAGAAATTTTGTGGTCTCAAGACTTAAGTTTAATCTGTTTGAATTCATGTTTTACTAATAAGGCAGTGATCTGACTTTTTTTCTTTTGGCTTTTGAATGCAGATCTAGTTTTCCTCTATTAAAAACACTCCTACGTCACTGTATATTCTCAATACAAGTGTCATATACACATAGCATCATTCCTGTTGTCTTTTTGTATATGTCCCTGCTTTTTTATTCCCCCTTTTGGTTTTCTGAGACAGGGTTTCTCTGTGTAACAGATCTGGCAGTCCTGAACTCCCTCTGTAGACCAAGCTAGTCTTGAACCCAGACATCTGCCTGCCTCTGCCTCCCAAGGACTGGGATTAAAGGTGTGTCACTAAAAGAGTCCCTACCACATGTCTCCCACCCCCTTTTTAATGTCTACGTGCACTATTTTGATCACAGAAGCTTTGTAATATAATTTGAAATCAGGAAATGCAATGCCTCTTGTTTCACTGTCCAAAAAGACAGCTAATCTGTCTTTTCATTTACCTACTAGAGTCTCCTTCCCTTGGAGAACTCCTCTTAGCTTCTCTTTTAAGATTATTATTCATCTGGTGTCTCCTTCATTTCTAAAGGACAGTTTTACTTCGGGTTATTTTATCCTTTTCCTCTCTTTTAATAATTTAAGCTGTTAGCATTTTATCTTTTGTTCTTTAAGTTCTTATATAATACTTAAAATACCTTTTAGAACAAACTATCATTTAAAATGCTTAAAAAACACATGGAAGAATCTTCATTGGGATATATTACTTTAAATACTTAAAATATTTAATCACTAAAAAAGACCAGAGGGAAAGTTAATTGCTAACATCCAGCAGCAATTCCTAAATACTCATTTCTATGTTATTTACTGTACATTAAAAGTTAAAGTTAATTTTTATATTCAAATGGTGTATTTGGAACATAAACCAAGGCAGCACTTCAAAATTTAAATTTAAAGTTAATTCCAAAAGTGACATTCCAACAAATTTAATTTATATCTACTATCAAGATTATATGCTGTAACTAAAAACAGTACAACTTTGCAACAACAGGGAAAACTTAAGTTTGCAATGGTTAGCACTGGGACAGCTCCTTGAGGCATAACAGTGTGCTTAAACCCTTGTAAAAGACTCACTACCACTTGTTACCCCACTATAGTTAAATTAACACTGTCTTGTGGAAATCATTCACTGTAAATGTACAACTCAGGAGTTTTAGTAAATGTACACATGTAATCTACCACCACAATCCAACGTTAGAACATTTGCTTCATCTCTGAGTTCTTTTATTCAACAGCAGTCAGTCTCCATGCACACCAGGCAACCACTACTCTGGGCCCTCTAATCTTATTTCTTACAGAGCTGAAACATGAAAGTTAAAAAAGGACACACTTCTTTCTGACACTTGGAAGCACATCATCTCTTACTGATGCCCAGTGGCTTTAGGCATGTGAAGACATCACCTGAAACAAGTAATGTGCAACAGACTCGAAGCTTTTTCTCTTCTACCCTCAGCAGCAATTTCTTCATGGGCACCAATGGTAAAACTTTAGAACCATTTATTATTTCAAATGTGAACAAACTAACTCCAAAAGTAACATTTCTTTCTTGTATCAAAAGAAGAGTAATTTTAAAAAATCCTCTATTAATAGAGAATAAAACCATGAGTAATTGTTTGTTTTCTTTGTGTGTGTGTTTGACATTTAAATTAAATGTACAAGTGAATTCTATTTACTTAAGTGCTAGTTAATAAACCCCTATTTTGCAAAATGGCCAAAATTAGGCTCTGAATCTAGGCATATCAATGCAAGGTAACAATAAACTGTAAAGGAATTTCTGGATCAAGTGCTCCCACAGTGTCCGAACAATGGGCAATAATTTCAGCAAAGCTGTGGGCAGGGAGGAGCAGCCAGTGGATATACAAATTTCATAGTCTTAGCCTACTTACTGACTCAACTAATTATTAAGTCAAAAATACTTTGTTTTGGGTTTTATAGTCTCAACCAGAATAACTTCTCACATAATAATTAAAAAACTAGAACTGTGTATAAAATATGGAAGTGAAAAAAATAGATCATAATCGCAGTGCTTATGGCCGCTCTCTATGGTGAGTAAAAGAAAGCTGGAAGATACCTAAGGAGGTTTACACTCCAGAAACCATTCGGTTTTACACATAGTCAGCATCATTGTGAGTGTGTAACTACTATGCAAGAAAGGTAGTGAAGATTCACTTCAATCAGTTTTATTCATTTACAACTAAGTACTTTTAATGTATGTGACTTATTAAAAAAAAAAGTGAATAAATTTGCTCAAAGTCATTCAAGGATAAAATTCCAAAATTAACCTTCACAAATCTCATAATGCAACACTATCTACTACAACTAGAACAAAAGGCTTTTCTTAAAGAAACTCTCCAGACAAAGCAGGAGGTTTAAACAAAACCCTTAAGGAATTTGACCTATAAGTGACCCTACCAATTTAGTTAAGTTCCAATGTGCTGCTCATAAAGTGTTATGTAACATCCCCAGCCCTAGACGGTTCCTCTAGGCACAGACTCACACTTTTAGCTATAGCCATGGGAGCAACTATGATGGAGGAGCAATCCTTTATTGTAAACATCCAAGACTAAGAGTGTCCTCTGCTCTATGAAAGACTGCTGGCCAGGACACATCCTCTTTTTACCTTGTTACTAATATCTAAGCTAATCTCTTCTACATTGCTCCCCTTTCCAGCCTAAAATGACCTATGCTCCTAGCTCTCCAGTCACGCCTCCAGGTACTCAGATACACAGTTTACATTTTAACATTTCTGAAGTAAGTTATCTTCATATTGTTAAACATACTGAGTTTCCTAAAACCGTATATCAGTACACACATTGCTTCATTACAAATGGCACCAATTTACTGACCACGGCTTCATTCTGCTGACACTGTCCTCGATATCCTGTCTAATTTCATAAGTTGATTCCAAACGGAAGAGATTAAAGTTCCTCAGGAGGTAGTCATGTAGAGTTAAAAACTGCAAATTCAACTTGGGGAGAGCAAGACAGCCTTAAAAAGAAAAAAAGAATTGATGACAGCATTGTTCTTTGAATCTATATACAAAAACCAAACCAGCTACTAGAGAAGCAGCTACTGATGCCTGTGAAACACAAGCACATCTTCACATTTCCATTTGCACTGACATTAGCAGAGACTACCTTTTGAGAACTGAGAGTAAAGATACAACTATTCATAAAAGTAATCTGCACATCAGTATTTCACATGCAAGCAGTGCTTCTTAAATGTTCCCAAAGGTACTTAACTAATAGCGTAAAAGCCCCTTCTTCTCATATTCATGCCACCCAAATCCTGAAGTGCTAACATTCGCATAAATTCACCCTGTGACAAAACTTACTATGCAAATCACTACTAATTATGATGATGTCACTTTGCCTAAAGAGACCTCCAAACATTCCTTTGACTAGACTTGGCCAAGGCACGGTCTTCATGTGATTCCAGCCCTTCTCTTTTCTGAAAGTGACTGAAGTCTTACTATTATTTAGAGATCCAGTATTCTACAACATTACCAAAATGATCCTTACAGCCATAATACACTTAACTGACAAATCACATTTTTGTAATCACCATCTACAGTACCACAGCAGTAATGTAAGAACTGAAGACAAGAAGTGATATGCAAAATATTCATATCATTTTTATTAGTAGACACTGACTTGCAACCTGACACGGTGTCTTTCAGGCACAGGCTGAAGGGAAGGTGTCTCATTTCATTAAAAACAAAAATCTGTTATCATGCAACCCTCACCAAATTAAAAACAGTTACACTGAAAGGAATAGGTACCTCCAGGCATCCTCGTGATATGTGTGATTCCTGGCTTTCATATATGATCTCCTCCCTCTGTCCTCCTAGTGTAAGTACTTCCCTAGTTAGGCCAGCCTCTGCTTCACTACATGGATTCCCATTGTGGGGTATTTGTATATCTGAAGATGTATTGCTGTGATTGGCACACTAAAAACTGAACAGCCAATAGCTAGGCAGGAGGTATAGGTGGGAATTCTGGAGAAAGGAAGAGATGTGCAAGAGATGCTAAGAGTCACTGAAAGGAACAGGAGGTGGAAGATGGAAGAGAGGTAATGCCACATAGATTCATATAAATGGTTTAATATAAGTTATAAGAGACAGTTAGGAACAAGCCTAAGCTATAGGCTGAGCTTTCATAGTTAATATGGCTCCATGTCATTATTAGGGAGCTGGCTGGCGGGACAGAGAAAGACTTGTTACATATGGCATCCAATGTGGGGGCATGTACTTCCAGACTGGACCCAAGGAAGCTTAAAAAGCAGAGTTCCAAACACACAAAAACAGAACCAGATGTGAATTCCTAGTTCTATAGTCTCTCAGGCTGGTCACAGCACACAAAGACACAGCTCTCCACTTCTGGCTGCAGGCTGGACTCAGTCCCCAGTGATATGTGTCAGCACCATGCACTAAGCTAAGCCAAGTGTCAGCTGACATGGCAGTTTAATATTTGACTCACATGGTCAGAGAATGCTACAGTTGCTTAGTAAAGCCAGGTCCAGACACAGGACCTCTAAAAAGGTACAGCATGTTTTAAAACATGCTCAGATGCAGAAGAAAGAAAAGAAAATGGGTACAGTCATAGAAAAATTAGTTTAGTTTAAAAATAACAAAAGCTTTAAAGAGAATAAGGTAATATATATATATATATATTTTTTTTTTTTTTTTTTTTGTAAAGCCATGCAAAGATAGGAAATACATAGGGCATCTGGATCCTGTATATGGTGTTTTGTTGACTTTGAATGCTAATGAACTGAGAATGACAACCACTGAGAGACATTGGATTGTGGAATTAAACCACCCTATATACTTTAGATATGTCTGAGCTTCAAAATGGAAGTTGGACAAAGTGTTGCATAGGAAACAAAAAGCTACAGATTCCTTCAACATTAATTGAGATCAGATTTGACAGGAGAACACCTGAAGATCTTGGCTACAGATATGAGGGAAAATGCTAAGAAAGGCTACAGGACAGGTAATGTGGAAGCAGATCCCTTGGTGTGGGAACATCGCTGAGACTGGATGAGACATAATAAATATTGTCAGTTATAGAGACTTCATGACTTATTATTACATGCCATCCTTTCATATGGGTAGAAACTTATATTACTGTTTCATTATACAGTCCAAATGGACTTAGGAAGTTGACAGATGCCTTTTACAGTGTTCAATATAAAACAAACAAACAAACTCTTTAGCTGACTTGTATACACTGCACATTCCATATTTGTGTTACTACAGATAAATATGTTATCTTTAAAAGTTTATGTGTTTCCAAAAAAAAAAAAAAAAGACCAGATATCAACAAAGACAAGTAGTTGAGGTGATCCATCCTCTCAGAATGCCTCTGTTGTAGTTACCTCAAAATTTTGCATCCAGAACAACTTCAAAGTTGCCAGGTGAGATGGTCCAGTTTCACAGACTATCTAGCCAGAACTTTAGATAAGACTTGCATTTTCCTATCACACTGAGACTGAACAACAGCTACCTCTCTGAGGACTTGACCATTATCCCAATTTTCTTAGAGTGCCCTAAAGATGCCATCACTGGATAGAGAAGCAGGAAGCAGTCTAGAGAACATGATGTCCACAGTCCCAAGAGGTGTGGTGGGTGGTGTTTGGTCATTCCGTGGGTTATGCATGTTTGTCACTGGGGAGTTGGTTATAAGTTGTTATTGATCATGGTCAGAAAAAAAAGATGAAAAAAAGGAGATTAGATTCAGGTATCTCTTTCTGAAGGGAGGAAAGAGAAATAAGAGTATAGAAATGATGGCATAAAGGGGTGAACTGTTGAGTCTACTTTTGAACAACAGCTAGTCTCAAATATTTTACTTTGGTATGGATTTCTTATACTGATTAAAATTTAAGGTTATTTTTGTTATACTGTATATATGTTTCTATTCTTGTTTAAGGTACTGTACCTATGCAGCTCCTTTAAAAATGTAAAGCTTTAGTCCTTGAAAGCTATTTAGGATAACAAAGAAAGACAGGTTAGTTAAGTCATCTATACCAATCAAACTTAGTCATGTTAGGCATGTTTTCAAGGCCATACAGAGATATATTTTAGATAGATAAGATGGCCTTTAAACACTTCAAAGATCTTCAGAATATGACATTTAAAATGTTTTAATAACAGTAGGCTTTTCATGACAATGAGACATGTCTGTTCCTGACAGCACCAATTCATTTCAAAAAAGATGATGGGCATAGAAGAACCTCCATATTGGATTTGCTTTTATCATGGCAGAGCTAGCCATTTGGGCAAGCAATTAACCTTACCTCAACTGCTAAGAGTATACTGCCCAAACTGGACAAGCAGGGCACAAAAGAAGGAGACTGCCAAACTTAGCCAAGACAAAGTAGGACAGCCCTTCAAAATTCCTACTTCACAGAAAAGTCTGACAGATATTCTATGCCTGTAGGCTGTAGATGTCCCGATGTTGGAGAGGAACCTTAGATGAATGCTCAGGCAGCCAGCTGTTTCTGTCATTTCTATATTTTGAAAGTTGCTTGCTCTGTACTTCCTGTTTACTTAAATAATACTATATCCTTCTCAGGTCTTTAATGAGATTGAAGACCAGATAGTTATAGTTTTCCTTATTACCAAATTCAGATAGAAACTTACATAGAGATAAAGTTTATAGTGTTAAGAGACATAAAAGTTTATTTGTTCATCTAAGAAAATGTTTTGAGCTCTAAAAAGATAGTTGTGGGTTGGCAATAAAAGTTAGGATGAGAAATGAATTAGGCACAAAAGTTTGGACTCACCAAGATAGGATAGATAATGGAATATTTTCTCTGAATTTGCCAAACACAGACTGAATATTGTAATTTAATTCTTACCTGATAATTGTTCTTATTGTATGTAGCTTTACTTTGTTAGAGTTAAAACCTTTCCTTTTTATTTAGACAAAAAGGGGGGGAATATTGTAGGATATCTGTACACTGTGTGAAGATGTATTATTGTGATTGGTGTAATAAAGAGTTGAACAGCAAATAGCTAGGTCGGAGGTATAGGTGGGATTTCCAGGGAGAGAAAGAAAAGAGGAGGAGAGTCTAGGCACTCCAGGTAAAAGAGGTAGAGGCAGGAGTTCAGGCCAGCCTGGGCACACACGGCACATTTCAGGTTAGTCTGCAGAGAATGACTCCTTAGCTCAAAATAATAAAAACAAAAATAAAAGTTAAAATTCCCAAGCATTTGTTACCAACTGCTGCTATGTATTTTATGGTGGTCATTACCTGGCTTTATATATAACTTTAAAAAAGACTCTAACAGAGCTGTTAAACAGCCTATCACAGTGATACAATGATAGCTCTACTTTCAGCATTCTTAAGTCTCCTTAAAAACAGCCTTGTAGTTTAATAATTGTATTTTATACTGGGCAACATATCCTAGGATACAGTTTAAATTTAAAGTAAATCACTGTGCTAAGCATTCAAAGTTCTCACTCTTTTTTAGCTTCTAATATAACTTTAGAACAAAGAGAAGAATCCTACTATACAGAAGAGATCATTGTGGATTTCAGCTATATAGGATGAAATTAAGTTCCTATCACATCTGATGCTGTGTATTCTTTTACCTACCTTCCCCAGAATAGTACTCAGTTGGGACGATGTTTTCATCCCATATAATTTTCTCAGTTGGATACAAAGGCATCTGATTCAGCTGCTGAATTTGAGAGATGCGACGTTCATGGCGCGATACCTGAAGGAAGGAAACAGGTTTGTGCACAACATGAGTGACACTACAGTTTACTCAGAGCAAGCAAGAAAAGACACTCACCATTATGCACAGAGTGAATAATTCCTGGCCTTTCAGTCACTAGGGCACTTTAATGACAAGAATAAAGAGGTATAGACGCTCACCATTATGCACAGAGTGAATAATTCCTGGCCTTTCAGTCACTAGGGCACTTTAATGACAAGAATAAAGAGGTATCAATCAAATGGACTTGAATCAAATCCCAGCACCTACTATAAGCTTCTTAATCTTAGTTCCCTTCTTAATGAAACAGATGATATGTCACTGTCTATCAGGGTTCTATGAAAATGAGATTGAATATTGTAAATTGTATCAAACTCCCTGGTACATGCCAAGAGTTTAAGAACTATATAGCATCTATGAAAAAGTGAAACAAACTCCCTCAACAAAAATACTGAGTCCTAAATTTAATTTCCACACTTTTACTAAGAATCTCATATAATCTGAGAAAGCTTATTAATCCCCTAGTCTGAATCTTCTCCACTGAAACATGAGAGAGTGAGCTGTACTTTCCCTTCAGTAATGATCTCTACATATGCTTAATATCATAGTTGTGTTTCTCACATATAAAAAAGTCTGTTTTCTAATTAACAGTGCCAAAATGACACTGGTTTTTCTGGGAAAGATCCCTGGGAAAGGTCTGTATTTCTTTGTTTGTAAAAACTTTTATTATTGGTACCAAGAGCCTGACTCAAAAGAAGTTTTACATGGTCAGGAAAGAGCTCAGGGAGTTTTTAGGAAGCATCTGCAGTTATAGACAGTGACAAGTGACTTGTAGGAGGACAGGCAAAGATAGCAATGTAAGACACACACTTCAGGGAGTAAACACGCAAGTAAAAAAAAAAACTATTTTCCATACTGGAACTAATTTAAAATGTTCCCCAAGGCTTTGTCCCCAACCGACACGCAAACACCTGTCACTAAGCTTTAAACACCTGTTACAAATAGTTTCTTGTCTCTGTTTCCCAAATTTAGCATATCATCATCTTTCAACACTGCAAGATTATACTCTACATTATGTATTAAAAATATAAGTTGGAAAATAAACCACAGAGTGGTATATTTAGTATGGTTCAATATGAAGAAAAAAAAAATCAATAGATACATGCTTATTTATTTGTTGCTTAGGCACGGATGTCTGAAATGGATGAACAGCTACTCAATCTTACATCAGTAAAGGAAAAAAGAAAAAAGAAAAAAAGAAAAAGAAAAAACCCACAAAAAAAAAAAAAAAAACAAACTTCAAACTATCATTTTAAATACTTTTTATCCGGCCCCTACCCTGGAAAAAAATAGGAAAACTGGCCAAATCAGGCTGTCAAGAAGGCAGTGAACATGCTCATCAGACTGCTAGTGGCAATCTACATGTTTTGGAAGATAACCAGGCAGCCTCTTTTTTCAATGTAGATAAACACACACATCAAATAACCAGTTCCTGGTTCTGAGTAATGCTCACATATGGGTGTGCATGCGCACACATACACACACACACGTGAGCACACACACACACAAAGAGAGCAATAATATTTATAAAGGTGAAAATTGCCAACACCATAATTAGCCATTAGCTGGTGACATGTTTAAATAGCAGACAAATTCTTCCCTCCTTAACTTTACTGTGGAATTGTACATATTTATGAGATAAAACAAACCTTCTCAAAAAACCCAAACAATGACAGCAGCAGTAACTGCAAAAAGCGCCAGCTTCAACAAAAACTATGTTTCTATAAAGCAACACAAAACTAGAAAAAATAACAGTTTAAAAATTGAAGCTCCTCATCACCAAAACTGACTGAAAAATGCTTAGACTTCTTAAGCCACTTAGGGATAATTTATTATGTTTCTAAATTACTGAACTCACAGCATCAAGGTTATGACCTAATGCTGAACGCATCATGTTTGAATAATAAACCTTACAATAACCATGTGACCACAGTTATTCACATGCACTGTGTCTAATCGTGGTCTCCATTAACTCTGCACCCCCCAGAGCATGAGTCCACTGTAACACAGACTTTGGTCTGTAATATAATGAGTTCCTGACATAATGGAGCTGAAAGGTATAAAAGCGGTGAGAAAAAAAGAAATTAAAACCAAGCCTGACCAAAATCAATCAATCAATTAATCAGTAATCAATCAATCAATCAATCAAATAATTCAAGGTCGAGGTAAATTACTGAATCTGTACTCTAGAAGTCAATACTGTTTATATCTCTATGAGAGATTCAAAAAGGTAGTAAAAGTCACAGGAGAAATACTGAGAACATTATTATTTACCAGCAATTCTAGAAGAAATTCTTTATCAAAAGTTGTGTCTTCATTTTTAGGGAGAGTTGGCAAGAGACAGAGGTACGATGCCACCTGGTGGAGAGTGTTTGAACTGCAGAATGAAGAATATTTTATTCAGATCAATTTACTTTTGAAACAGGTTCTCCTACTTTTATCTTAAAAAGTGTTAAGTATAACTTTAGGGCATAGACAGCAAAACAAATGAACAACAACAACAAAAACTGAAAACAGGGATTAAAACCTCTGAAGAATTTTCATGGGATCTGAAATTCACTGAAGGACTGCACAAGGACAATACTTTTTTTTGTTTGCTGCACTAACTTGACACTGAAGGCCATGGCCCAACAGTTTGGGATGCAGCACCTCCTCACTCCCACAAGCAGGACTATCCAAAGCCAGTTTCATGAAGATGTAATGGAAAACGTTTCTACCAAAAAAGTTACCAACACTGGACTCTTAAAAGACACATTTTTAAAAAAGTATGCACAAAATTTGAAGTATGTATTTTGCATGTAATTTTCTACTTGAAAGAATGATAAAATTATGCCTATTTTGTCTTTTATTAATAGTATTTTTCTATTATGAACCAAAAATGTTTTTCTCATATCATTTTATATTACGCTTCTCTTTTCCATTCCAATCCCCAGAACTGCTTATCTATTTTCAATCTTTTTGTTTTTTCCAGGCCAAATAAGTGATGTAGAACACTTAACTGCTTTTTACATTGGCTGTGTAATGCACTGAAAATTCAACAGCAAAGTAATCAATGGGTACCACTGGTAGCATGTCTGTAGATACTTAGAAGGTCATTGACTGTTTCAAGTACAAAGTAAATATAGAATAAGCTATTAATCATTACTTTCCAAAAAATTACAGTAGTAGATTCATACTAGATAGTATTATTGATGTTATATAAATTAAAACCACAAAAATTTCCTAAGTCATACCTCTAACAGCAAACATGAAGCTTTACTAGTCTGTTATATTCTGTTTATGGCTAGTGAGATTTGGTCAGCTTAATGTCCTGCTCAAAGAACAATGGCCTAAGTTATTATTAAAAATATTTTCACCCCTTCCCAAGGAAAGATGTTTAAGTGACTTAAGAAATCCTAATGGCTAGAGATAAGCACCAGCTGTGAGGTTAACAGAGGGCCACAACACAGCCTAAAGTACTATAAAAGGAATACAAGCAACAAAGAAAAGAAAATATGAACAGCAAGATACTAAAAGAGAATGCTGTTCCTTTCATGTCGTCTTACCTGAGAGGCCCAAAAAACTTGACCAAGGAATCCCGGGCATCTACTTCTGCCACATTGGAAAGAGCAAAGTCATAGAGTTCGGGGAAATGTGCAAAAGCAGCTCTCTAGAAAAAAGCAAAACCATCAACAGTTAACGCATCAATGCAACCACCTATAATTCCTAGGCCATATGGGGGAATAGTATGTTGTTTAGTCTCCATAGGCTTGTGTACTTTCATTTCTCTTGCTGCTGATATCTAGCTTTGTCCCATTATTGTTAATTAAAATTCATGGTATTATTTCATTTTCTTATATTTGTTGAAGCGTGCTTTTTGTCTTAATATGTGAAATATTTCGAAAAATATTCCATGAGCTACAGAGACAAATGTATGAACTTCAGTGTTTATGAAGAATACTTTGTAGATAGCTATTAAATCCCTTTGATTTGTGATTTCAATAAGTAAATAAATGAATAAATATTCACTACTCCTTATGTTTGTCGTCTATGTGATCCCTGCCTCATTAAACTAGAAGCGTGTTATATAATAGGGAAAGCATCAATTGTTCTAGCAGGTAAACAACATCATCTGTGGTTAGTGCTCCCTCCCTACCACTGCTGGGGAATGAGCAAGGCCTTGTGCATGCTAAGAAAGCACTCTACCAGAGATACATCCTCAGCTTTCTGTGACTCCAACACACGAGAAAGGCATGCATGTAAGCTTCCTTGACAGGAAACCCCATTTTATTACTAAGAACCAGCCAAACACTACTAAAAGAAAGCCCCAGGGGATGCTGTACTGGACAAGCTGAAAATACAGCATGCTTCTAACTGACTAATCTTTGGGAGCATCCCGACCAATCTAGAGTAAACAACAAGACAGCTGCACTGTGGTAATTTGATGGGCTGAATCAACAATCCTTGTCTTCTCTTGTGCCTCTGTGTTACAGAAAAGAACCAGTTCTTGTACCATGGGAAATGGCACAGAAGGTCACCAAATATAGAGGTAAGCATGTCATGAAATTGCTACAAACAACTGCAAAGTGACCCTAAAACCAAGCCTGATAGTAAGGGACCTACACTAAGAAAAGAATGAGCTAGTTCTAAAAAGAACACATCAAGAATGGAGCCTCTATCAACAGTGAAACAGACAAGTTCCTTGGGCAATCATCACACCCGCCTATGCTAAAAGAATGGGCCATATGCACACAGGCTGTGGCCACTTCAAGGACAGAGGCAAGAGGGCAAACGTACTACTGCTCTGCAGAAGGCAAAAATAGATGTCTGAGCTCACTCATCTTCCAGAAAGATGCGGCACCGCAGTGCTCTATGTCACCCATGTAGCATTTGGGAAAGGACGATAACCAGTGAGAGCAGGACTGAGTATGAAATTAAGCATAACATTATGACATTGTTATTCTTCAGAGACACTGTAAAATAATTTAGCTTATTTAAACTGACCAGCCAAGTGTGATAATTAATCTAGAATGTCAACTTGATGGGGTTTAGAATGAGCAGGGAAACAAATTTCTGGGCATGTCTATATGAGATTATCCACATTACTTTCACGGAGGTGGGGAGATCCACCATAACTCTGTGCAGCATCACCCCATGGGCTGGGGTCCTGGACTGCATAAAAAGGAGAAAATGGCGGGACACCAATCTTTACCTCTGCTTTCCCACTATGGCTGCATGTGAAACCTGCCTCACATGCACCTGACACCATGGCTTCCCTGACAAGATGAACTGTTATCCTTGGAGCTAAAAGCAAAAATAAACCCTTCCTTCTTTAAGTTGCTGTAGACTAGGTGTTTTACCACAGCAACATGACAAGTTACTGGTACACTGCTATGGCTGTAATCCCAGCACTCAAGAGGCTAAGGCAAGAGGATTATAAGTTCAGGCCAGATTGAACTATATAACAAGGCCATTTCTCAAAAATAATAAATAATCAATGACTAAATGAATAAATAGTGACAGAAAACAAAGGGACTTTTGGTGCCTATTTGGGCCCCCAAAATTTCATTCCTATGGCATGTATTTATTGTAAAAAAAATGTATAATGCATAAGTATGTAAATAAATATATGAAAATGACACCTAAAAATAAAAATATGTATCATAATTCACCCTGTCACAGGTGTGTGTGTGGGGGGAGTGTCTTTGTGTGTCCCTGCAAGCATCATGGCAGGCAGGGAAACAAACCTCGAAGAGATGAGAACGAAAATTTGGCTCAGCCTGACTGAGTCAGTTTGGATCAAACTTCTAGAGAGTCTAATCCCAGGAGGTTTATTGTAAACATATTTATAAACACAGTAGAATTTGGAAAAAGGTTTCCAGACAATAATTATTCCAATCCTGGTGTACGATAAAGCTTAATACATGACTACACAGAAACTCCTTTGCAAAGCACATGTGACCATGAAGATGGATTCTATAGCTTGGGAGCCTAAGATCTGGTGTGGTCTCTAATGGAGACTGTATAGAGGTCAGCAGGCCATAAAGTACATGACACACTTCCCCTTGGGACAGGTTCTATTAACTGGGAACTAAGGTCTTGGCAGGGAAAGTCTAGAATAACCATTCTGGAGGATTTGGGCAATATCTGGCTCTACATATAAAAAGGTCACCAGGTCATTTACATCATCTATTCTCAACTTTATGGGTGAAAGGCAGGTTTTTTACTACCTCTACCGAAGAGACGCCCTGTGTGTTTAAATTCCTGGTTTCCCTAGTGCTTATCTGTTAGTAAGAGGACCTCATATCCTGTACATATAGGCTGACTCAGATTGTAGAGTATCAAATACCGGCGCATAGACTGACTTACAGGTTTCAGATAGACTGTGAAAGTCATTTTTTCATAAATTCAACCAAAAATGAGCAAGTTTAAAATTTGAAGATGAAAACAATATTAATACCACTTTTATTTGAATATTACAAAACCTATGTTATAGAATGACTCAACAGGAAGGAGCATAAAAAAAGGTATACTGCATTTTATTTACCTGTAGAGATGTAATTCTGTCATAGTGAATTGTGGTCATTTCATTCTCTGTCAGAGCATTTCCAGTCTGGTCATTAATTTCAAAGCCAGTATAGAACTTCAGCATGTCTAAAAGCTGGAGGAATTCATTAAAATTAATACACTATTTGTTAAAAATAATAAAAAAATATTTTCAGGGGTTAAAAATCTTATAATGCAGCATTACACAACAAATACTTAAGAACACACCCAAATATATTTACCTTATATGAAAATAAAACATGTTTTATGACTAAAATGTTAAGCCTAGTTCATATACATATTCTACTCTTACAGAGAAGAAATTACACTGCAAATTCAATACAACACATGAATTTTCCACATTAGATTATCCTGTGGCCAGGTCTGTGAGGGACTGCCTTGACTGATGACTGATGTGGGAGGGCCCGGCCAACTGTGGGTGACACCATCCCTAGGCAGATAGGTCTGATGTGCTTAAGAAAGCTACCTAAGCCTGAGCCAAAAAACAAGCCACCAAGTAACATGACCACATAGTCTGCTTTGGTTTCCTACTTGTGCTCTTGCCCTGACTTTAAGGATGGACTGTAACTTAGAAATTTAAGCCAAACAAGACACTTTCCACTCTAAGTTGCTTTACATCCGTGTTTTATCTCCACCACAGTGAAGCAAACTACAATAGCATATAATTACACATCCTTCTTAGGTATCTCTATGGACATCAAATCACTTTAGCTTAGCTCATGATGTAGAGGCCTTGCCTTCTGCACATGGAAGCAGATCCAAGGAGCATTCACTTAAATTGTATTACTTTTAGTCCTAAGCTGTGATATATATTATAGTCAATCACTAAGAGTTTAATATATATGGGAAATCACTGAACATTTTTTTTTTTTTTTTTTTTGCCTGCACGCCAGAAGGGGGCAAATTTTTTTTTGAATGGAAAAAAAAAAATTAGAAGTGCTTAATAAGACATGAGATAAAAAGTATGTAACACACATAAAACCCGTAAACCTGTATCTTCATCTTACTCTCACCAGAAAAACATAATTATAAATTTGTTAGATCTTTTCTTTCATTTGACATTACAGGAAATCCAAAGTATCAACATGTTGTCTTCTTAACCAAAGCAATAACTGAAATATATTTGCCTTCCTATTCAATGAACCAGATTAGGTGTAGTACTTCTGGAGTCTGTCCGAATTGGCTCTGTAAACCAGGCTGGCCTCGAACTCAGAGATCCGCCTGCCTCTCTTTCCCCAGTGCTGGGATTAAAGGCAGGTGCCACCACTGTCTGGGGCTGTAGTATTCTATGCTATCAATTGCTTGTAACAACAGGCAAGAGCAAGCCATGGAACTAGAACACAATTCATTTGCAGTTAGTGCTTATTATCGATTATATTCCACAGTATTCACATAAAATTAAAATATGTGAACACACGAGAATATATTTCCAAAGCCATAATTTAGCTCAGTAATAAAAGAACATAAAGTTAACATACAAGTTAGGTAATTACTAGAGTTGTATAAATGTATTCAAGTATGTACACACATTCAAATCAATATTCTCCAATTTTGCTTTGGCTCATGCCCTGGTACTTCCAGCTGCATGTTAAAGCAAAGATTAATTTAAGAGATTATGAGTATCAGATCCACCAGGGCTCACTTGGGAAAACAGATGGCCATCCTCTTCTCTGTGAACAAGGCTGGAAAGGTAACAATGAACCAAAAGGTGGGAGTCATCCAGGATGGTATTAAACCAGCGCCTTGTAGGGAGCAGGGCCTGGGAAAGATGAACAGCATAGTATTCGTTTGGCATGTATTCTCTGCAGCTAGAGATAAAATCTACTACTATTTCACACAAAGTGGACATCACAAAATACCCTCCTGGTAAATACCAGACACCTGGTATATAAAACAAAGTGTCTCACCTATGCTATAAACAAAACTAAAACAAGAAACACTCAGAGGCAATGTTTTTCCTTTTCAAAACAATGGTGGCACAACTTAGAAGATAAAAATATTAAGAGCTGATACAGGAAGAATCTCACAGATCACCTTGTCTACAAATTTTTAAGCAAACTTTACAGGAAGTTCCAGTAAACATTGCATATAATTGTAAAAGCAAAGCTCTTCTCCATTCCTGTGCCCTCTTCCCTTATGGCAGTAAGAAAGACAGCAATGAGAAATTGAGACAGTTTGACAACTTCTTATCAATAACATCATTGTATAGATAGAGTTACTCAGATCTGACATAGTGAGAGGATTTAAATTAGTCACTTAGAGTTAACATATAAATAAAACTCTGAAGAATGATTGTTAGTCTAATAGTTTTAATACTCATTTCAAACCAATGCACATTTTTTTTTTCAATTTCCTACATTAGAGAGGAAAAGGAAATGGATTTCTCTGAACTACATCAACTTTATATCAGAACTTTCCATAAGGATCCTGTGCCTAACAGTATGAAATCTTTAAAAACCTTAATTTTAAAAAGTGAAGCAACCCATGCCAACAGGACAGCTAGCACAAAATCTCAAGGAATCAAATCCTGGAACTTCCTTGTCTACATAAAACCCTGAAATCGGAACAGACCAAGGGCTGTTTCAAGTAAGTATTTCGGATGTAGTTGTAGCTTGATCTCAGACTGCTAAAAAATACATAGCAAGTCATATATATATATTTCTTACCTCTAGGTCAATCATAAGTTCGATGAACCTTTCACAGTAATGAACTTTGTCCATAGTGACAGCCTCTAAACATGAGAGAAACATGTTAGAATTTTACCATTTGTGTGCTAGTTCTTAAAACTGGCAGCTATTAAATTTTTCAAAGACATGCCATCATTATTTAGTTCTACTAATATTGAGAAAAATGAAGGAATCTAGATTGGGTCAGAGTATATTTTAATAATCTGATGTGTAAACAATGGTGTGTAAATTATTCATACCTTGAAATTAATTCTATGTGTATGAGTATTTGCCTACATTTATGTATGTTCACCATGCTTGCAGAGGACAGAAGACGACATCAGATCCTCTAGAACTAGAATTGTAAAAGGTGAGCTGTCATGTACATGCTGGGAGCTGAACCTGGATCCTCTGCTAGAGCCGCAAGTACTCTAACTCCCTCCAGTCTTAATAACTGTAATGTCTTTTTAAAAAAAATCAAAGGCAGTTTTCTTTTTAATAGAAGGCAGTTTTATATCGTTTGCTTCATTTTCTTCAGTATCATTATATATCAAACTCATAAGAATTCTCATTAATAAACACACGCATCATGTATATGTATATTATAGACAATATAGTGTATATACAATATACAATGCATACATACACATATGATGTATACACCAAAGAAAAAAAATTTCCACTGTACATGTATGACTTTGTAATTTTAAAAGGAGATTATATTGGCTTAGAAAGTGTATTAACTTTGACATGAAAATGTCAATGACATATAGAAAATATAAATTTTTTAAAAATCTTAACACTGATGGTATTCATGAACATAATGTTCTATTTTGTTGAAAAAATTAATTCTTAAATAATAAGAGCCTTGTGAAATAAAACACTTTCTGGGTGTAACTTTTTATTTTTTCTTAATACCAGGAAATGGCCTACCACTTACCCTCTAAAATCATGGTGTCACATTGTTTTTTACATAGAGCTATCTATAGAAACCAACCCACAAATGCTTAAAAATGCATTTATTTATTTGTAATATGCAGGAAAATGGAAGGTTAAATATTACAGAAATTTATACAAGTTTCCACCTCTATGAAAATGTTAATTGTAGTTTTTTTTCTCAAGAACTTTTCCAGTTACTATCTACCTATTACCCAGATGCCAAATCAGTAGATTTTAATATCTAGAAGAGACATTAAACATCTACTATAGATATTCATTTTCTAAGTAATAAACTAAGGAAAAGAGAAAGAAAGCTGATGAAGATGGAGAACTAGAACCTGGTTTTCTGATCTTATTCTAGGTTTAGGGCTCTTAGGAATAAAGCCAGGTAGGTCAGCTCATACAATCTTAGCACTCTGGATTTTGATATAAGAGGAACACAAGGTTCAGGGCTAGCCTGAGCTATATAGTAACTTTCTGGCCACTATGTTCTGTACAGAAGGATCTAACAAAATAACACACAAATAAAAAGCAACCTCTCCAAAACAAAAACAAAAAAAAAAAAAAAAAAAAAAAAAAACAAAACAAAAAAAAAAAAAAAAAAACAGCAAAACCCCTCAAAGCAACCAATAAACCTATAAGCCAAAACTCAACAATTGATTAGAATGTAAAGGCCCTATGATTGACAAACTAAAGAATTTAAAAGAAATATGTTTAAATTAAATCCTTTCAAAAACTAAAAGTTGATGACTGTTTAAAAATGTCTTTTGGTCTAAAACTAAAAAGTTATAGCTTGAAAAATTTGCCAATGGTCAGGTTAAAATTAGAAGACAAAGCTTGGTACATAAGCTCTGCTCTGGCAGGCAAAGGTGCACTTGGCAGCCTAGTCCCTATACTTGCATGAATTTGCATACAAACACTTCTCTGAATGATGTACCTACCCATATGGCACCTCTAGGACTCTACCTTCATTGAGTTACATACAGGTACACCCCGTTACAACAAAAGAGTAAGTTTATGTTCCTGGAAACAACCATCAAACTTGAATTAGTTTTTATTTGACATATTCCCAGTTAGAACTGGATAAGTAACATAGGAAACCAATCCAGTCTGAACTAGTGTTGGGTGTGTATATAGTAAATCAAAGCTGTGTCCTCAAGTTAACTTATAAGGTGAATCCCTTATTTACCCCCTTATGCCTAGGCATAATTCAGTATATGTATGATTAGATGTGTTACTGAAAGAGACATGTGCAATAGAGAAATGATTGTAAGAACTAATCTAACAAACAAAATAGAGAACCACTTTCCTTTTGTCCTTTAGTAACCAAACTCTCCTTCTCTTAACCCCATTAAAAAAAAAATGCACAAACAATAAAATTAGGCTCTTGGTAATCTTCACTCCTGTGGTCCACTGGTCCCTGCAGTGTACACTGATCTTTATTTTAAATGACATTTCCTTGCTACTTTTGCTAATCTGTATGAGCGCTTATTTCAACTTCTTGAATAAGAGGCTAAGAACCTGGAAATACCTGATCCTGACTATAACAATCAGTAACACATATACGAAGAAAGAAAATTAATGAGCATGACCATAAGTTCTAAGAACTATGATATACAGTTGAGAGATCAAACCTAAGGATCCACAAAGTAGGAGCTGAGATAAAACCCAAAGGTGCCCATGATTTATTTAATAAAACTGTAGAAAATTCAAACCTTGAGAAGTACTAGATATTCAAACACAAGACATTTAGAATTCAAACAGACCTGACCAGAGATGGAAGCCAACCCCCAAGCCAATAGATGCTGAGAACAAGCCACAAACTACTCTGAAATCTGAAAGAGTAGACTTAAACAAACTGGTCAGAAGAGAAAAAGGAGGCCACAAGGATGGGGAAGGCATGGAGTAGGGTGCTCAGTCACAGACCGCTTGCCAACCAAGTGCAAAGTCATAGATTCAATACCCCACAGTACTTTAATAAAGGGAATAATTCATCAAAATGGCACAATAAAAGACCTTCAACTTGACTCAACCTAGAGCTATCTGGAAGAAGGAATTTCACACTGAGGGACTGTCCTGTGGGTATGACTACGAGGGAATGCAATGGAAATCGCTATGAGATTCCATTCCCATCAAGTCAGAATGCTATCACCTATGTATCAAGACCGGTGAGATGGTTCAGGGGGTAAAGGCACATGCCACTGAGTCTAATGATCTGAAGTCAACCCCAAAAACGGACACTGTAGGAAAGAACTGACTCCACAAAGCTATCTTCTGATTTCCTCACTTACACACCCAAATAATCCCACAAAATCAAGCCCAAATAAGCATACAAAATGAGTGAATGTTGACACGGGCATGGCCTCAGCTTCATGGGAGTGGCAAAGTCTTCTGGTGAGGCTCAGAAGGATGGCAAAGTTTTCCTCAGGTCTTTATCTTCTAGGTATCTACAGCCTCAAGAATAACCCCCTAATGAGATTGCTCTTACTGAGATTAGTTAAGCCTGCCTCCTTGATGCAATCACATAGTATAAACCCTGCCTCCATGTTCAACTGTATATAATAACATGTTGAGCTTCCAAGTGGTGTGGATTTGTTTTCAGAGAGTCCAGTACACACAATGCCAGCTGTTCTGTGTCTACATGCTTGTCTTTTCTTTGTTCCCTTGCCACCTGAGTCACATTAGTCCCTAGAGCCATACTGGACATGGCACCAGATGGATGGATGGATGGATGGATGGATGGATGGGTGGATGGATGGATGGATGGATGGATGTTTAAAAAGCAAAAAAGGAAAACAAATACCAAAAACTTGCTGGCATGGATGTAAAGAAAGATGAACTTTCATACATTACTTAGAGAATATGTAAACTGCTACAGCCACTATGGAAGTCAATGTGTAGAGGTTTCTCATATTACAAACAGAACTACTATAAACCAACCATACCATTCCTTGGTACAGACCCAAAGAACTTGTAAGTCCTACTGTTGAGACACTTACAAGTGGATATTAATAATGCACTGTTCACAACCAATGATACCCATCAACAGATGAATGGATTGAAAAAATACAGTAAATATGCTCAAAAGAACTGTATTTGGCCATAAAGAAAAATAAATTTATAATACCTGAAAGAAAATGGATGAAACTACGAGCTGTTACATGACATAAGCCAAATGCAGAAAGCAGAAAGACAAAAACGACATTTTTTTCTCATACAGAGAGGTATAAACTTGTATGTATACATATATGTGTGTATATGGGTGCATATGGGTATGTATGTGAGCATGTATCTTATGTGTGTTTAAATCAACCCTGAGAAAGGAAAAGATCTTTGGAGGGATGGGGCCAACTGAACACATGTGACATGAAATTTGAAGGTAAGATATTTGGGGGAAGGAAGATAGATCAGCAAGATAGGGACAGAAGGAATGAGTGAGGGCAGTGAAGAAGGAAAATGAATGACAATAAGTACATATGACAATTGCAGGATGAAACCCATAACATTGTATGCTAACTTAAAAAGATCAAAGAAATATGGATAAAGATGGACTTGACCCATCTTATTTTGTAGCTTATCATCTCAAAAATACTTCTTATCCCCCCACTAAATTATTAGCAATTGAAAACACTATTCAGCACTGTATTATAAAAAAGCAAATGAGGTCTATAAACACTTTATTCACTACTGTCCCTAGCATCCTGGAGAGAACTTGGGCTTGGTAAGCAAAATGAACGAACTAAACGGACATTTCAATAACCATGTTGGTGCTTCAATAACCCTCCAAGGCAATCCCAACACTCAGGCTGGCAATATACAGGATATAGAAATGACACACATTGGCTATTACAAATTTAAATCACTTTAAGAGCAGTGTTACCATAGAAGTGAGTAAATTCCAGGAGGGCAACTACATAATAATGTACAGTGAGCTGAGTAAAGGTGGCCAGTTACCAGAAAGTGGGATGGACTTCAGCACGGAAATAAACTTCTGGATGAGCTGGGAAAGAAACCGTCTTTCTTGGTAGGCCCTAAAAAACAAAACAAACAATCATAAAAGAATAAAATAAAATAAATCTAATGTTAAATTGACATGAGCAACTTTATAGCTTAAAAATCAAATTCCTAGTGCTTCCTGAATTATCCATCAATTAACAAACACATCAGGTACTGGATAGTTGCAAAAGCTTATGGAAGCCCTGCCAGAAATGCAAAGAGGAGTGATCAAATACTTGGGAATGGTGAAGTGAATCAGTGGTTAAAGTACAAGCCTGAAGGCCTAAGCTTGGGTCCGTAGCACCCATGTAAAAAGACGGGCATGAAGGCTGTGCATCTGTAATACTAGTGTGGCGAGGTAGAGACATGAGGATCCAGGCAGGTAACTACACATTCAGAGAAAGACTTTACTTAAAAAAATAAAGTAGAACTACTGGAATCCAGTTGCAGAGAGGGAGGAGTGATGAGCAAAGGGGTCAAGACCAGGCTACAGAAACCTACAGAGATAACTGACCTGAACAAGGGGGAGCTCATGGACCCCCCAGACAGATAGCTGAGAAACTAGCATTGTACCGACTCAGACCCCCTGAACATGGGTCTCAGTTAGAAGGCCTGGGCAGTCTAAGGGACCTCTGACAGTGGAACCAGGATGTATTCCTGGTGCACGAAAGGACTTTGGGAGCACATTCCCCATGGAGGGATACTCCCTTAGCCTAGAGACAAAAGGGAAGGTATAGGCCCTATTCCAAATTACTTGACAGATTTTGATGAGCCCTCCTGGAGGCATCACCCTCCCTGTGGTGTGGGTGGGGAATGGGATGGTAAGGGGTGTCAGGGGGGAATGGGAGGATGGGAAGGAGAGGGCACTGGGATCGAAGTGTAAAATAAGAACAAAAAAGTAAAGAGCAATAAAGAAAAACACCTAGCATCAGCCTCTGGCCTCCCAAGCACACACATGTACACATTGCAGATCTCTAAAAATACTCATAATAATCTAAATGAAAACATTTATTAATTATTTGGATTAAGCACTATATAAAAGGAAGCAATGAATTAGTGTCATGACCCACAGCCTAATATGGGGGAAAGCTTTGTTCACATACTGTTCTCTTGCTTCTGGGTCCATCTTTTCATCATTCTTTTTAATCAAGTTCCAGAATTTTCTTAGCTTTGGTGTCTTTTTTAATTCTAAGTCCAATCGTGCCTAAAAGAGAAATATATTTATGATGATACTCATATTGACCATTAGCTGGTCTCTGAATATATGAGGACATGAGATAATCTGAAAATAGTAAGGCAAGGAGTAAAAATGGAGAAATGAGTTGTATTTAATTATTATTTAATTCTATATTTTTAATAAAAATAAGATGGAGAAACTTACCATTAATAATCATTGTTATAAGCTCAATAACTTATTTCTAAAATTAAGAATTTAAGGCTGAAAGAATGTAAGCATGAATGCTTATAAGCATTATCACTGAAATAAAAAAATCTAAGTCTATAATAATGAACAGAAAAAGTCTGGGCATGTAGCTCAGTAATATATGCTTTGCTTAGCATGTCAAATCTCTTGGAGTTCAACGCCAAGTGCTGGGATGCAGGGGCAAGTCCTGCCAAAGGGAACTAAGGAGTAGCTGATTGAGCAAGGTGTGTACCTATATGCTTGGCACTGATAAAAGGAATGTAAGGTCCAGGCCAGGCTACACAAGATCCAATCTCATCAAACAAGCAAAAGAAACAAAAAGTGCTCACATCAACAATATTCTCTTATGGTATTATCACTTTTTTACTTAGTATTGTTTGTATGTGTCTCACTCTACCAACTGGTACTATTTATCACATTTTTACATCTGGATGTGTATAGAAACAGGAGAAGGAAATAGAATTCTACATAAAGCACCACACTTAAACTTGGGTAGTTTTTAGTTGATACAGGTGATATGTTATTCTACTATGTACTTCATTCAATTAAAAAGTTAATGGAAAAGTAGAAGTCGTTAATCTTAAACATGATCCAGACCTTCTATTGCTGTATAAACATCCTAAGCCTGGAAAAATAAATAAAATCCACACATGACTAACAATTACACTTTGCTAAATTATCCTTTTTTCTTCAAGTTCAATAAACAGACCCTCACTTCACTTTACAATATTAAAATTAAGTGGAACATATATTAGGATGCAGGCAATAATCCTTAAAACTGTAAAAGCTACATTTATAATAAGTTAATATATAGTAAACTCCTAAGGAGGAAAGTAGATTTTAGCTGACACATTTTTTGTGTTCACGCTAAAACCACTAAGTCTGAAACCACATCTATCACGGGTAACGGATCCATGGAGAACATTCTGAAATAGGTACTTACAGGCTGCAAACCCATCCACATAGGGAGGGAGATAAGCTGCTGGACTTGACTCCTTATCAAGTCTACTTCCTGTTTAAAGCAAGAAGAAAACAAGTTTACATATACTCCAGTAGCTTTACCTAAGTTCTTGTATAAATATTTTATTTCCTTTTAAAGTCTTGGGAGAAAAACATGTCATCACTACTTTAAAAGTGCTGACTTTTACTACTCAGAAGTTCAACAAGGGACTAGAGATGGCTCAACGATTACAATGGTTAAGAGCACTTGCTGTTTTTAGAGAGGACCAGGGTTTGGTTCCCAGCATGAATCTGGAGAGGATCATAACAGTGTGTAACTCCAGCTCTAGGGGTATCTGACATCCTCTTCTAGCCTCTGTTGGTAACCGCATATACATGGCAGGATACACATACACACATACACACACACACACACTCCCCTAAACAAATTTTCACATTTAAAATGGCAGTTTTCACTATTTACAGATTTCATATTCAAAAATACACCTATTCACAAAAATATCTTTGATCCCCAGATTAATACTCCCTGAAGTAATCACAAAGAGCACAAAACTGCAGAAGTTTTAAGTTGCCCCAGGTACCTGTCTCCCCTGAGGCTGTGGTACCTCTCTGCTTCAGTTCCAGCTATCAGATACCAGCAAGTGTCCTTTCTCAGATGTGGTGTTGTTTTTATCATTGTTTCTACTTGGTGATCCCACCCTTTTAATATGAATCCCCAAAAGAATTCTGAAGTACTATCTGAAGTTCACAGGTATAAAACACTCAATACACTGCCCTGTCTTCTTTTAGATTTATTATTTGTGTGTGTGTGTGTGTATGTGTGTGTGTGTGTGTGTGTGTGTGTGTGCGCGCGCGTGTGCGCGCCGCGTACACACCTGACAATGCCAGAAGGGGACATAAGATGCCCTGGACCTGAAATTACAGCTAACTATAAGAAACCCCACATGTCCCCCCATGGAGGGATACTCCATTAACCTAGAGGCAGGAGAGACGTCCTAATCCCTACTTCAAATGACTTGACAGATTTAGATGACCCCTCCTGGATGGCATCACCCTACATGTGGAGTGGGGAGGGATGGGAGAGGAGGGTGGCTGGGGTGTATGTGAGTAGGGAGGGAGAGAGGAAGGGATGGAGGGAGAGTGAACTGGAATTGATATGTAAAATAAAAAATAAAGAGAAACCTGAAGATGTATGTCATAGATGAATTGCATGTTAAACAGTATAAAAACAAACAAAGAAACCCTACATGTAGTATGGGGAACAGACCTCAGGTCTTCTAGAAGAGCTCCAAATGCTCTTACACGAAAATACCTGAATTAGATAAATTGCATTTAATAACAGTAATGATAATAGAGAGCCTACGGATGATCAAAATTACATATTAAGTAGGATGACTTTAAACAGAAACAGCATAGTAAAGGTTATGACCTGAGTAAGATGTCATACACCTGTAATATTCCAGCACTAAGGAGGCTGAGGCAGAAGTATGAGTTGAATGCTAGTGTGCGCTACATTGAAAAATAATGTCTTTTTTAAAAAGTTATTTATTTTACAGTTTGACAAAAATATTTATGATCAGACCCAGAGATCTGGCTCAGGGATATAGAATTTACCCACCAGGAGAACTCATGTTTAGTTCTTAGCACAAAATAAAATGAAACAATAATAGTAACAACAGTAACAACTAGGGGTTTGCAGGAATGTATTTTCTCCAAGAGCCACAATATTTACAGCTATGTGGCAGCTATGGCCTAACTGGTTCAAAGAAGACTGGGAAAAAAAAAAAAAAAAAAAAAAAAAAAAAAAGATAAAAACTATTTCAATAATAAACCAGGTTTTAATTTGGTTAAACCAGCACCAAACTATTAATACTAATTAAACCTTCTCCTTGTTCACTGTCTGATAATGAATTGATATTTTTTTGGTTTAGTTTTATAGATGTTAATGAGAATAATAGTAGTATCTACTGGGTGCATAAACTTTTGTGTGTCCTCACTAGACCTAAGCCATCAGACAGTGCATAGACATCTAATAACCACCCATCCAACAGCATTTTGTCTGCAGATAAGAATGGACTCTGGATTTTCCTTCATAGGTCTAAGGGCATGATTAATTCAGAAGCATCTGTCTTTAAACAAGGATGCATACACTTCCAGATACTCACAGTGAGGAAGCTGAAGTGAAATACTAGTTACTGGAAATATTTTATTTTTTATAAGATGACTTCATCAAGGATGAAAAATATATCACAACAAGACATTTCCAAAGACTATAATGGCCTTCCTCAGTCAACTTAAAACAAGGCTCTGCTGTTGACTAGCTAGCTTGAGCATAAGACACAACAAAAAATAATGACCTTGCATTGTAGCAGATTGTGGCAGACCTCACTATTCAAAATACTTAGTAACCAGATTCCTGGCTGCTCCTCACATTCATGCTCCCCCCTTCACTTTCACTTCCAATTTCATAAGAGAGGAGGAATCAAGTCTAGAAATGGTCTGAGAGATGCTGAAATGAAGCTTCCAACACCATTGCTACTCCCTACCTCTATGTACAAAGTGACAGGCTTCAGGTACTCATCTAAACTCACTCAGAAAGAATAAGGAAACCCAAAGATTTGATGGAAAGTAAAATTACCAAACTATTGAAGCAATGATCCAGGAAGAGCAGGAGGACGGTCTGCTCATGGAGGGAGAAGTCTCCATCAGTCTCAGCTAATGCTGCTTTCAAGATGCACTTAAAAAAGAACGGGAAGTGCTCTGGCTTCTTCTTAAAGGTCTGAAAGAATAAAAGTTCACTTTGAGTCAGGGTGGGGAAGTACTGTGGTGCACACCTCTAATCCCAGCACTAGGGAAACAGAGGCAGGCAGATCTCTGAATCTAAGGTCAGCCTGGTCTACAGTGAGTTCCAGGCAGCCAGACATACACAAGAAAAAAATTCCCTGACTGGAAAAACAAACAAAAAACAAATAATCCATTTCGAGCTCTTGGTTGCATTTTATTAGTCACTGTTGATCTCTTACACTGCCCAATTTACAGATGGAACTTAATCCTAATTACTCCATAGGAAAGTGTGTGTGTGTTTGTGTGTGTAGATAAATATGGATGTGTGTGTGTGTGTGTGTGTGTGTGTGTGTGTGTAGGCACTATCATCTGAGGTTAATGATATTCACTGGGGTCTTGGAATGCATTCCCTGGGCAGAATGAAGGAATTCCTGCACTGTTACTCCTCTATTTCAAACTCTAATCACTAAAGTAGTCTCTATATCAACTGATGAAATTACTATCTGGCTTTAAAAAAAAGAAAATTCTCTCTTCCTTTCTATAATCACTTGTAGCTATTTCCTAAGATCCCCAGGATGCCTTATAATACCCAAAGTTAACCTGTAAGCCCTATCTCCCCAAGCACTAGGTACCTTGCTAGGATTTTAGGAGTTGTAGTTCTTAGAAAATCTAAAATCTTTAGAAAATAAGAGCAAGGCCTTATAGGAAGGTATGGTGGCCATATGGATTTGTCCTTAAATAGCCCTGCAACATGTGTCTAGGGGCCACGCAACTGGAATGATCTTGACCAAAGTCCATCTTGGTCAGTGTTTAATATTTAAATAAAGTTCTTTTTAAATTTGGCTCAAAATGGTGGAACTGGTTTTTCTCTGGTGAATCTCAGGATCCATACTTTAACCTGAGTTCAATACTTAAGAGAAATGTCCATGTTTTAATCTTAACAATTCTAAACTTAATCTTAAACAATTTCTCACTTTGGAAACCACTTCAGCAAAACAGAAGACAACTACCATGCTTTTCTTGTAAAAACTTTCACATATTTAGTCTCCAATAGCTACCAATATAACTTGCTCTTTGACAACTCATTGTGAGTCATTATAATTCATGTTATTCCCTGTTTCAAATATAACATAGAAAAATAACTCTACATTCATATTATTTAAGTCCTAGAAAATCAGCTAGAAGTATTACACTTAGGAGAAAATGAACATGACCTTTCAGGCATTCATTCTTTGTTTTATAGGACTTTATCATTGGGGAATCTCCCATCCTAAGGGGATACTGCTATCAGTAAAAGATTCTGCTACTCTATAATGGCATAAGTGGGCCAGAGTGAGAGCTGTAAAGTAATTTCTTTATTGTTTTACCTCCCAGGCTGGGACATTTTCTCTGAATTTCTCATTCACCATACAGCAGATGGACATTAAGTAGGCCTTGCTGGAAACTTCTGGAGAATAATTCATCCAGAGATAATTTTCAAGATATTGGCTGTAAAGAGTTAAGAAAAATGCAGACTATTTCATTAGTTATCACCAGGCATTGAACTGCATCACACACCTGAAAAAATAATGAAAGATTTTAGTTTGCAGAGCAAGGATGTAGGAAGGAGAATAGTTCTTGCAAGCAGAATATAGAAAATCACAAAGAATGGATGTTGACATAGGTGAAAGATCAGGAATTATGAGAACAAGAAAGGTTACTATGGTGATGGGGCTAATGGCTATATGCTAGGCTGATCTTGTTAAACAGGGCTAGTTACTGAATCATCAAACCTTTATGGAATAACTGAAGGCTCTAAAAGTACAGCCAAGAGAAAGCCAGAGTATGAAAGAAGTTTCTCACAGGTCTTGGTCCACAACAAGGAAATAGGTCCGCAACCCTGGAACAAATGATTCCAGATAACAGCCCTGTCTGGATCACTCCTGGCCAACAGACAGTCTGGGGACTTTCTAAGTCATTCTATGGTTTATCCTTTGAATAAGAACAGGTCATACCTGGGTGATCTCTCAAACAAGAGATCATACTTTGTAATCAATCACCTTGTGCCCCATGCATGTATGCTGATTTGCAGTCTTCTCTATAAAAAGAGAGCCTAAACCCTTTGGGGGGTGTGCAGCTTTCCCCGAGATTGCTGTCACCCGAGTGCACTCGTTCAATAAATACCTCTTGCTTGTTGCATCTTCTGGTTTTGGTGTTTGTATCGCAGAGCTCTCCCATAGGCCCATCGGGACCCCAGAATTAGGGTCTTACAATAGGAGAATTTCTAGCTCTCCGAGAATAGTCTGAAAACCCTTATTTACAATTTGCCATGTCTGTCACAAACTCCCATGCAATCACAATGGTGATTCCTGACTTGCAGAGACTGTGGCTCCAGTCAATGACAGCACTACACTTCCCAGCAAGAAGACATCAAAGGACAGTTACGGATAAATCTTTATTGGTAACGACTGGATTTAGAATCGCCTAGGAGACATATCACTAGGTATGTCTATGAGAAAGTTCACAGAGATATTTAAAATGAGGGAGGAAGACCAACCCTGAATGTAGACATCTTGGACTTAATGAAAAAGTACAAATGGTACTGAACACCCGCCCTCATTTCCCTTTTTCCTGACAGCAAAGGCAATGTTGTGACCAGTCACCTTGGGTTCCTGCTGCAATAACTAAACCTGCTTTTATCTCCATGCTTCCCCTACCATGATGTGGAGCACTGTACCTTCAACTGACAAATCAAACCCTTCCTTTCTTAAATGGCATGAAAAACACTTTGTCACGACAAGAGAAGCCACTAATCTATTAACATACAAAAATCAACCAACACTAAATATTCATTCCCTAACCCAAAAGCTCACACAAGTAAAAGTAAAATCATTTCACATATTAACTCTAAACCAAAATGAATGTCAAGGAAAAACAAAACTTTTTTTTAAAAAACTTAGTCAGAAGCAGCTCTATAAAATATAGTTTAAAAAGTAATTCAACATAATTCAGTTTTCAAGGTAATTGACATTTTTCCATCTGGATACTAAAATTTTTATTTTTTAAACTTATGGATACATGAGCAAACAAATCTAAGTATTTCTGACTTTCCAAATATAAATTAGTCAGTTTTTATTGAAGTATATACAACACAAATTATTACAATGGGCTAAAAACACATTCGAGCATTAATGAAAAACAATACTTTACTTTGCTCCTGCATTAAATCACTAAACAGGCATGCCCAGGCATGGGGATTTTATATTCTGTTCTAATTCTGTGTTCTTCTGTACATTAGGAGCTCACCTGCACTGATATTTTCTCTATGAGCCTACCACTAGAAATCCTTCTTGGTTAGTTTGCAATAACTTAGGAAGTTAGATAAGAGTTTACGTAAATGTTGGTCAAAAGAATCTAAGTTAGAGACTAGCATTCTATCTAGTATGTGGGTAAGGACTCATTTCCTCCTTTATGTGAAAATTCTTCTTAAATCACGTCTTAGAATTTCTGTCAGCTGTAATTTGGTGCCAGTCACTCTTTAGCTAACATTCATTTCATCACAGTTCAGCTGGATATAGAATTGTAGGTTATGTTGGCATTTTTTTTCTATGTGTGATAATGGAGCAATTCATTTCATACCTTCTCTATTACTACAACCGAGAACTACAATTGATTTGTCGTTTTTTGCTAGGAAGAACTTTTGGTCTGACAGATTTTAAAATCATTCATTCTAGATCCCATATTTCATATTTTCCATGTTTATAATTTTCTAATTAATTTCCACAGATAAAATATCTGAATTCACTGTCACAATCAGAAAGCTGAGTGATGGATGCTAGTGCTCTGCTTGCTTACTCTATCTTACACATCTTACCCTGCCCAGGTAATGGGCCTGTCCACAGTAAGATGGGTTTCCCACACCAACCAACATCTACTCAAGAGAATCCCTCAGACATTCCCACAGGCTAATCCCATCTGGACACTCCCTGACAGGAGACCTAGCAGCTTATATCCCAGGTGATTCTAGATCCTATCAAACTGACAACACCATCAAACCACTTTCCAGTATTTAAAAATGTTTCACTATCCTTAATGCATTCATTACAATCTTTTTGTTTCTTGACACTAGAAGACTAATTAATCTTAACTGCATACCAATATATTCTTAATTTTTATCTTTTTATCTATTTTTGCTATAATTTGGTTTTGAGTGTCATCCAAAGGATGATGCATTAAAGGCTTGAACAATAGTTTGCTGTGCTGGAAAGTAGCAGAACCTTCAGGAAATGGAGACTAGTAGTATAATTAAGTCACTGGGAGAATTTACCTGAAAGGAATTCTGGGGTCCTAGCCCTTCCTGTCTTTTACTTTACTTTTGGCTGCCATGAAGTGAACACAGTTCCCACCATGATGTACTGTACAGTCTTTAAAAAACATGCTCAACTTACCACTGGCAGATCACTCTAAAACTACCTGCCAAAACAAAGCTTTTCTAACTACTTCAGGTATTTTGTAATGGTAATAAAAAGCTAACAGTTTTCTTGAAAAGTGACATGGTATGGTACTTATCTAAAGGCTGGAAAAGATTCATTTCCTGATCCAGTTTTCTCCTGGAAAATCTAGAAAGATCTTTCTAAGATTATTGTGTGAATAAAATTAAATTGTGTTAGAGTTCTTAGGATATACTAGCTAATTAACCATAAACTCCAGTTTCCCTCTTAAGCTCATTTACATAATGCCATGTTTTCAATGAGCACTGAATTAGTGTACATAGGTATCCTATGTAGCTCTCTAACAACTTGACATAAGTGACAGTCATTTGGGAAGAGGGATCTCAATTGAGAAAATGCTACACTAGATTGGCCTATAGATAAGGCTGTGCTACATTTTCTTGATTGGTGACTGGTGTGGGTGGGATCAGCTCACTTTGGGTGGAATCATCCCTGGGTTGGTGGCCCTGGGTGCTATAAGAAAGCAGGCTGAGAAATCTATGAGGAGCAAGCCAGTAAGCAGCACTCCTTCATGGCTTTTGCTTCAGTGCTTGCCTCCAGGTTTCTGCTCCATCTAAGTTCCTGCTCTGACTTCAGTGATATGGAAGTGTAAGCAAAATAAGCCATTCCCAACCCAAGTTGCTGTTGGTCATGATTTTTCATCATAGCAATAGTAGCCTAACTAATACATAAATTGATACCAGGAGTGAGGTATTTTTAATGCTGACATGACCAAGTTTTGGGGAGGATTGTAGAAGGACTTTGGAACTTTGCACTAGAAAAACCATTAAGTATTTAAAGCTTGGTGAGCTATTGTGAGAATTTGGAAGATTAAAGGATAATGCTGAAGGCTATGAAGATCATGGAATGGCTTGTGAAGTTTCAGAGGGAAGTAAAGACTCTATTGGTGGCGTTTGATATTCTGAATTAAGAAAACTGTAGGTCTGGTCAGTTGGGATGAAGAATCAGCTGCGATTAACAAGAGACCAGTACCACTGAAGTAAAGCTTTGCTTTATTGGCATAATCGATGCTGGTTAGCTGGAGCTAAGAAATCAACTATGACTAAGAAGAGACCAGTATGACTGAGGTGAAATCTGGGATGTGTTTGCTCAGGCTCAGCACAGAGAAACTATAGTCCAGAGGTAGTCAAGTTGTACCTTGGGCTGGCAGGCTAAGTTGGTAGTGTAAGAGTCACTCAGGTGGTACCAGTTTTGAAGATATGAAGGGGTCATGGAGAGCAGCTGAGGATTGGCTCTGTGAGAGGCCAGAATAATAGGGATTAAGGCACTAATACAGAGGCTCTTCTGATACAGAGCAGAATTCAAGGAAGTATATAGGGAAGTAAAAAAGTATTGAGCTTTGGCATCAGGCACTGATATCTCAACTCTACCAATAACTTAACTGCACCATCCTGAAAACACCTGTGACTTGTTTGTTCCAGTAATTAGAGAGGATAATGCCTCTACTTCAGGGTGATATGAGTGATGTGTATACAAAACATTTAGCACTCTTTAGCTTATGGAATGTTCTGTCTGTGCTGAATAGTACTACTGTTTTTATTTTTACATGCTAGTGAAACCTAGATGTAGCATGCTGTCTTATACCTTCGTAATTAAAAGTTGTATGTAAGCAGCACATAGTGCTGCATGCTTTTAATCCCAGCATTCAGGAACAGAGGCAGGTGAATCAGAGTTCCAGGTAAGCTTGGTCTATACAGTGAGTTCTGGCCAGCCAAAGCTGCATAGAAAGATCTTTTTCTGTCTGTCTTTCAGAGTCAGGGTTTCTCTGTGTAGCTTTGAATGTTCTGGAACTCACTCCATAGACCAGGCTAGCCTCAAACTCACAGAGATCCAGTCTCTGCCTCTGTCTTCAGAGTGCTGGGATTAAAGGCATTGGACACCACTGCCAAGAGAGGGATTTTCTCAAGAAAACAAAAAACAGACAGACAAAAACCAAACAAACAAACAAACAAAAAAAAAAAAAAAAAAAAACAAAGCTGTTCTTGGGCTAGGGATATAGGTCAGAAGTATGGCATATGCTGAACGTGTGCAATGTTTAGCAATCTGGAAAAATACTATATTTTCTAGTGTTTGAAATGTTATGTATCAGGAGCTAGGTTGGAACAATGGTGTCTTAGTCACAAAATTTCAGCTACAAAGAAGAAAAATGGTTACAGAATATATCCTCATTTATTCCCACAGACCACTTGTAACTAGTGAAAACAATCTCAAAATAAAAGTTACCCTGATAATAAGGTTATCTTTGAAAACAAAGGAAATATTGAATAAGACCATCATAAAATATACAGTCATGAATTTAGATTAAAACATGGCCTTGGACATGCTAAATGAAATCTGTATCCATGAGCTTTATTCCTGAACCCTATAAGAATATTTTCTTTAATGCAAATATAACACTTTACTTACATGGTCATCTTTACCAACCATCCATGTAATGACTCTTCACTCACCTAAATTCCAACAGCATTATTTTTCTGATGGCAAACCTAAAAACATAAAAAAAAAAAAGTAACTTTGAAATAGAAAATAGAAACACTTCAGAGATCCTAATTCCCATTCATTTGGAATCTTTTGTAATTAAATTAAATGACAAGTCATATTTTATAACATCAGATCACAGCGGCCAAAAGATTACCTGGGTCAACTTAAAAAGCACAAACACTCTCACCTCATGGATACATCTACCAAAGGACCAAATGCAGAGATGAGATGGCTCACATACTTTTGAGTCTTGACTGTGGGAAATAGTAGATATCTCTCTTTATTATACTCTTCTTTTATAATAGAAGTATGTGGCTTTACATAAATAAATGAAGCTTTATTAACAAGGTATTGCTCCAAAGGCAGTTCAAATATCTAATTTTATTTTAATTATTTTCTAATATTGGAAATAAAGCAGCCAGCACAGAACACTGCCACTAGGTGGTAGTTTCTAGATTTGAAAATTAAATTTGTAACTCCTCAGACTTTTACCCTGTTAATATCCTATTCCACTGCTTTCTGATCTCTTAAACAGTTTCACCAAGTAAATAGTCACAGAACTTTTAGCAAGAATGAGATTAATGTTTTTAGTGTGCAAAATCAAAAAGCTGGAGGAACAATGACAAAACATTAGATTCTACAGTTCAGCAAGGCTACAGGGTGGATGTCACACATTCAGTGATATACTCTGGAGTGGTAGCTTAACAAAAGGTGTATATATATGATAGAAAAACCACCCTAGTCAATAGACTCCAGATCAGAAGAGTTTTGGAAATATGAAAAGCTACAAATAATAACCACAAATATAAATACCTTGAAGTAGTTTGTATATTTTCTAAGTTAGCAATGTTTACTGACAACATGAATTAAGCATGACACTATGCTTATAACATAACATATACTTTATAAACACATCCAAAGTTGAACAATTTATGTAAAACAAACTAGGTCCATTGATGCTATCAGCAAGCACATGAAACTGATAAACAGTGGGCAGACATGGAAATTGCTTCATTACCATAATTCTTAGAGGATGCAGCTGTATGAAAACAAGGGGTTTGGAGTTGTACAGCATTCTCACAACTATACAGAAGACTATATAAAGAGAAAAATATATGCTAAAAGGGTTCTGCCATCATGAATGTGTGGTATGTATGTGTGAGCATACCTACAGTGTATGTGGAGGTCAGAAGACAACTTTATGGAGTTGGTTCCAGGGATTGAACTTGAGCCTTCAGGTTTGTGTGGAAGTGTTTTTACCTGGTGAAGCATTAGACTGACCCAGGTTTGTTTATTTAAAGTTCAAAACAACAACAACAAAATGAAGACTGTAGTATTTATTTTTCATTTTATTTATTTTTTTCACTTACGAATTAACACGTTAGAGGAAGTAATGAACAGTGGCTTCTAGAGTGCTAACAAAATTCAAGTTTTCTCTGTGGAAAAAGTACAGTCTATAAGGGCATACTATATCCTTTTAGTGTCACGTTTCATAATAAAATAATGTGTCCATTTCAAATGAAGATAAACATAAAGTATTCAATCAGTCACTTTTATTTTTTCACCATAAAATATACCTGATGAATTCATGACAGGATAAATAATGGTATAAGTTAATAGATCCTAGAAAACAATGGATGCTATTCCTTTTAAATAAACTGTACTGGATAAGAGCCAAGGAAAGAGGCCAATGCCTCAATTACTAGGAAATGCCTAAGCAAGTTCCTCAACCATATGTAGTAATAGTGTCATGAAGTTCTTGGAATAAGGGTAAATGTATGCAAAATGTTTAGAGCAAAGCCAGTGCACAGGAAACACTTAAGCAGTAATGACTCCTGTTTTAAATGGAAACTGCATAAAAATACAGAAAGAGAGGCTTTCCAAAATTGAAATAGAAATAGCAAAAGTGAATGAATTATGTAATAATAAGTCATACTAACCATGTACTAGGCAAAAAGGTTTTTAAGATTTAATTTTGAGATCCTAGAAATATCTATTTTTATACCATAAGAATATTAAGATCTGAATAACATATGAATACCATGACATTAAAAGTATCTTATGACTATAAACAAGTCTATTCTGGTAGTATATTATAACCAATTAATAAATATTACATCAAGCCATTCCCTAGATACTGAATATTACGTACTGCTCAGCAAAATAATGTCCTTAGGCACTTAGTCTAAAACACTACTCCTTTAAAGATTTTAAGGTATTTTGCAATTTATGTTACAAAAAAATTCTTAGCAAGCTCCCAAACCAACCATTAAACAAAACCACTCCTCTATTCTGACACTGCCTTATTTTTGCCTTCAAATTATTTAGAAATTTACTTCTTTAAGACTAAACATAAAAAATACCAAGCAAAAGATTCTACAAAATTTGCGCTTGCATGGTGGCACACAAATGTAACCCCAGCACTCAGGAGACTAAGGCAGCAGTACCACAAATTCAAGGTGCAAGATTAGTGAACTTGAAATAAATCTATGTGCACACGCACACACGCACGGATGCTCTCTTTCTCTCTCTCTACCTACCTACCTATCATCTAGCTATCTCTATTTTCATACTTCAAAAACCAAATAAACTGATCTGACCCTGAAAACTCTAAGGCACATAAATAATACACTACGCATCAATACCAGTACATTCTTGCCACCAACACCCCAATGAGCAGTAGTTTCTTTTAAAAAAAAAAAAAAAAAAAAAAAAAAAGATCCTTTGCAAGCTAAGAGCAGAACTGGACATTCAGACACATCCCACATGGTCTACATAATCCCAACACCACAGTTACTCCCTCCTACCTTGATTTGACGATCTCTTTTTCATATATTTCTTCAATTACCTGTTGCCAAAAGTATAAAAAAGTTTAATATGTCAATCACTTTGCTTTCAAATCTAAACTGACAGTTTTCAATTACTGATTCAATTATTTAGTATAAAATAATGTGGTCTAAGAAAGAACAAATATTTAAATAACAAGACTCTTTAGCAATGGCATTATGTCTCAAATATAAAATAACAGTAAAGTAAAATTCATCTACATAAACTCACAGCTCTACAATATTCTTTAAATAGGATGTGTTTGTAACATTTCTAGATAAATAAATCTTATAGTCATATTTTCAAACCTAATTTAAAATTATTTTAAATGTTATTAGACTCTAAGACTCAGTTTTCTAAAAGCCAGCTGGAAATTAAGTTAAAAGAGTGAGCATATGACAGAAATAAATGGTAACTGTTACATCCTACTATCCACATGAATATAATAACGTAATGATTTCTATTCATCTGAGCTAGGGAACATAGATATCAAGTTCTGGGGTTAGAAGACTGCCTCAAAACAGCACTATTGCAGGCTGTGACCTTACAAGTGCCCGACCTATCTAACGTCAGTTCCTTTACCTAAGAAATGGACCCCAAATACAGACTACTATACAAGGTTGCCATGAATAAGATAGGGCATGTAAATGTCCACTATAAACCTGGAATGTGATAGACTTTCAGTAGGAGTTACCTTAGAAACATAGTACAGATATTAGGAGTACTAAAGTGTTTTAATGCATGGGAGTAGTTCTACTACTGTTAATGCTTCTTAAATGTTCAGAGTGTAAATGTCAAATGTTTATGGAGGAGGATCGGTGATGACTAAAGTCTAGTTTGATCTCATTTGTTTGTTTGGTTGGTTTTTTTCGAGATAGGGTTTCTCTGTGGCTTTGGAGGTTGTCCTAGAATTAGCTCTTGTAGACCAGGCTGGGTCTCAAACTCAGAGATCTGCTCCCTCTGCCTCCCAAGTGCTGGGATTAAAGGCATGTGTCATCACCACCCAACTCATTGTTTTAAAAACAAACAAATAGTAAAATTATCCTGAATGGGCATATATAATTTCATCTAGAACTATCTAACAAAGTAAAATGACTGACGTATGAATTTGAATCTCAAGAAAAGCTTACTATAGCTAGATCCAACTCAATTAATCTGATAGTAACAGCATGACATTTGTTATTAATGGAAAATTACTCTAAGGACTCCTGACCCTTCACAAAAAAGTAAAAACATACAAACATCATTTACTGAGATCAGATTCCTCTGCTAATGATTAAAATTAAATCATGTATGCTGAATCCATGAATATCCTCCTGGTGAATAAAACATGACTACTAGCAAAACAAAAATACATTTACAAATAAAATATTGAAGCTCAAAAAATTCAGTAAGGTTCTTAGTTAAGTGTAGCTTTAACAAAGCCACCTAAAGCATCACAATCCACACCATCAGAGATTAAGGTCTGAGTCTTCATCACTTGTCTAGTGCTTTGCAATATCAACATATACTCCACATGAAGGCTTGGCATTTTAAGACCCTTCCAGGAAGAACCCTCCAATTACAAAATCTGTTGTTCACTTTTTTGACAATTGCTTTCATGAAACCTAAGTCCACTGACTAGTCCTGTCTTTAGTCATCTATTCTAGACAAAACAGTTTCTACTCTTTCCACCCTTTTTAATCATTTGCCTCAGTCTAGCAACATAAAATCAACCAGAAAACAAAAGATTCTATTTTTAATGAGCAGCCAAACCTTTGTATAAATTTTTCTATATATTCACAAAAATATTTGTTGCATGCTCACCTGTAATAATAAAACAGTAATAAATCATCACACATACAACACATTCACATTTTTGGAAAAAAATTAAAGGAAATAAAACAATATGATAACACTGGTTATGTCTATGTAATGATTTTTATATTTTTATGCATAACTTCTAAAGATTCCAAAATTTCTAACATAAGCAATTATTAGTTTGATAATGTAAAACACTATTTTCAACATAAAAAATGTATTAAAAGCTTGTTGAATTAATCCTTAAAAAGATACCAAGAGTACAACTGTTTGTAACTATGTTGTAAAACAAAACTACTTACTTTTATATCAAAGGGTGATTTCTTCTTGATATGCGGAGCCCAGTATTTACATGCTAACTGAAAAAAAAAAAAAAAAAAGATAAACATTAAATTCCAGGTTCACACCACTGAACCACTTAGACATGTCTCTCAATGAGAAGCTGTTCCTTAACAAAGCAGATCTAGGATTAGAGAATTGGCCAGTTTTAAAGGTGCCATATAGACATGCAATTTATCATCCTTGGCTCCAATCCAATAAACCAGTGATGTTTTGCATGATAACTAGCTACCATTCAAAATACCAAAATGTCCTATTTTTAAAACCTCTGCCAAACAGTATGGTTTTTTTATTATCCAAGTAAAAATGTTTTTGGTCCATTCATAAGGAAATCCAGAGTTCAAGAGATTTAGTGAGCTGCACACTATTTGTCAGCCAATAGATGATTAAGAATTAAAAACCAGTTTCAAAATATTCAGGAATATTGGTATGTAAAGAAATAAACCTTTAAATAATTACTATATACCCAGACATAAGTAGGCAGAATCTTTAAGAAACTGTGGTATAAAAGGCTAGTTATTACAGAGGATACAGGAATTGGTGTTTTATATTTTAGCAGGTTAAGCTTCACTTAGATATTGGAATACACATACATAATCTCTCTAGAAATTTAAGTGGATTTTATACCTGCCAGGACTAAGGCTGTAGAAATGGCTCAGCAAGTAAGAGCATTTGGTCTTCCAGAGGACCTGGGTTCCATCCATCCTACATACCATGCTGGGTGGCTTACAACTCCTGTTCTGGGGGATCTGACTGCCCCTTCTGTTCTCCATAAGTAACTATGCGTGTGCACCCGCATGCACAGACACACACACACACACACACACAGCAATCCCTCCAGCACACAATTAAAAATAAAAATTTAAAAAACTGAACAGTTCTTACTGACTTTTTTAAACAAAAAAAAAAAATCTCTTTAAAAAAAAATGGAAATTCTAGCAAGCACAAAGATTTAATCGATTTCTGAGTAGGAACTGCATTGTCTGGTATACTGGTGGTACTTAAATGTTTGCTATATAGACAAATCTACAGATGAAAAGATAAACGGAAAAGTGAAGTCCCGGCTGAAATGTTACTCTTCCATGAAGCCTTTTCAACATTACCTAACAACTACATCTTCTTTTTAGTTTGTAAACAACTTCAATGTAGTCTTACCTTTCTGTAGTATCCTCATTGATTAAAACAAACAAGGTGGTACCTATGTGTTCTTTGCATTTACAACTCAACCCTAACAATCAACACATTTCCTGCCTACTTTAAATAACACTTCTTCCAAATTATCAAACACACTTCAACCTGATAGAAAACCTCACTTCTTCTCCCCATAATTTCCCATGATGTCCTTATCCCCCATCCCCCAGGGAACCAACCACAAAAGCATAGAAATCTTTTCATCAAATCATGCATAAGAGATTTGAATATAATCTCTTGGATGGACCCAGATTTTACATATTAAAAATAAATACTGCAGTTATGTCTTCTGACTGTTTCTGACTTTAACTGCTTCCTGTGGAGACTTGTGTGCAGATCTAGCACCATGTCTCTTTTCTTTTGAGTCTTACCTTTTCCTTGGAATTTAAGCCACAGTCTCACACACCACCTCCTGCCCACTCCTTAACTGTCCTGACTTATGCAAAATACAAACTTTCCATTCTCCATTTAGTACATCTAAGACAGCACAAACTGCGCAGAAGAAACTTCATTGGAAGGCAAAGGGGAACGCAAGTAGAGTAGCATAAACATGTGCTGTAACAGAGTCACAACTTTGCTAAACTTTAACTTCATGATCATTTGTTCAATACATAAGATATGACCCTTCTCTCAGCTCAGAAATTAACTCACACAAGAGATAATGCATCTAACTCCAACACAACTACCCATGACAAATTTCCATTTGGAGATTTTCTTCAGCAAATTCCTTAGATAAATACAAGCAATTTAAATTATGTATTCAAATCACTTCCTTCACATTTCTACTCTGTCATTTTACATATTAAACTTTAAGTTTCTTACAGTCTCCTTCCAAAGACCATGAAATGCAAGGATAATCTCAGTGAATGCAAAGATAACCTGTCTTTGCAGCCTAGATAAAAGCATATGGCAAGTCCCACATACTAATTCTTGCTATCATTACCACTCAATACTGCTGAGAATCTTCATTCTCCTCACTGCATCTTAATAGCCTAGTCCTTTTGTTCATGGATTCACATGTCCACTAGTTCAACAAATACATACTAAACATATTATATGTGTCTAGTACAATGCAGGTGTTCAGGAGTGCATGGAGAATAAAATAGAACTAGTTTCTAGCTCAACTTTCACAATCTAATACAACAGAATAAATACGATGCTTAATAATAATTTTCTTCAGATACCCCATTCCATCCTACAGTTTCAAGTATCACTTTGGGTTAATACCAATATGCTTTATCCTCACATTCAAGGGCCTTTTCAATATATTCAACAAAATGCCTATTAGGCATATCATAATTAATATAGTCAAAACTGTATTCTTGATATGCCAGAGCTACTAGCCTTTTCCATCTCAGTATATGCCAAAACATCCACCCAGCTGTTCATGGTATTCTTACTTAGTATCTTTCCTCCACAATCTAGTACCAAGGCATAATGTCTCAACTTCAGAACATAACCAATCTACATTTATCTTTAATAGCGGAAGCTCTCCAATCTCTCACTGTGTATTAACACTGTCCTTATCCCTACTATTACTTTTGCTCCCTTGTCCCCACCTAATTTCCACATTTTAATAAGGTGATATTCTAACAATATCACTCACCAGGTGGCAGTGTAAAGCCACCAGATTTAGAATAAAATCTAAACTTATTTGTCCTCTCAAATTGTGTATGATCTGGTCCCCATATATTGCTTTGTACTCATCTCATACTGGTAATTCTCTTCCTTCTTTTTATGTCTTTGTTTTGTTCTAGCTGTTGTAGTTTAGGACAGGGTCTCATGTACCCTACACTGGTCTCAAACTTACTATGTAGTCAATATTGGCCTTGAACTCCCATTCCTCCCTCATGCAGGGAATTAAAGGAATATACTATCGTCCCTAGTCCATTTCCCCTCTCAGTTCATATATTCCAGCCATCTTTATGTTCACACTTTAAGGTGTCAGCAGTTGCTATTGCCTGGACTGTTTCCATGTTCTTTCTCAAGTTATCTGCATTTAACTTTAATGTAGTTTAAGAAGTCGGGGATAGCCTTTCTAATGTGACGTAAAAAGATGAGAGTGAAAAAAAGAAAAATGGGTAAACTTGGGATTCTATACAGTGGGAACAATGTCCAACAAGTAAGATAAAATTTATCATGGCAGGCTGGGGAGATGGCTCAGAGGTTAAGAGCACTGTCTGGTCTTCCAGAAGTCCTGAGTTCAATTCCCAGCAACCACATGGTGGCTCACAACGCCCTATGATGAGATTCGGTGATCTTTTCTGGTGTGTATGCATGCATGCCAGAATACTGTATACATAAAAAAGAGTTACCATGGCACATTTAAGTAACCAAAGCTTATAGCGGTGAAAGCACAAAGCCCGAACAGAAGAGAGTGAGGACACTCAAGCATAGGCTTGATCACACAGCACTTTCAAAGATTTTAGTCATTATCCCAGGGCCAATCAGAACTGTTTCTGAGGACATTTAGGAAAACAGGTGATGTGGGCAGCTTTACATCCATGTGCACTCTGAAGCAACCTGAAGAACGGACTGCAGGAGAACAACAGGAGGAAATCTCACATACCAAGAAGCCTTAGAGTGGAGGAGCGGGCAACTTAGGGTGAGAGAGGTCCAGAAATACAGACAAATTAGCCTGTCTACATGCAAGAGTTAAATGAATGGAAATAGCTTCTAGGCTTCTGCCTTGACAAAGTCTGCTGAAGCCGGAGAGAAGAGGGTGGGCTTAAAAACTTCCGCACTTACTAAAGAACTTACTAGAGAATAATTTCTAAAGAATTAACATAAATGTGAAAGGTTTTTCTGTGGCATTTCCCATGTTTAACTAGTAACCTGGAAGTACACAAGATACCAAAGACAATCCCAACGCCGGTCCTCGGGGCCTGGGCACCCCTCCTTCCACAGGCGGGCACGCCGGGGCTCACCTGGGTGACGAACTCGGCGTTGATCTGGGACACCGTGGGGGCCACGATTTTCTTGGGCTGCGCAGGGGCCGCCATCGCAGCAGTCGCCTCCGGCTCCGGTGCCGGCGTCCGCAACGGTGACTCCCGAAAGCTTTCAAGCAGCCGATGAGATGTCTACTTCCCAGGTGCAAGTGACGCCCGGCCCGTTCAGACTCTAGGAACCTGTGACGGAATGCCGGCGTTCCTCCGGAAGCAGAACTAGTGGGCCCGGAAGTTAGAGTAAGCGTTCAGCCTGAGCTAGAAAGCCAACAACTTTTACCTGTCGCTTTATCGCCCCCTAATGGAAGGAGGAGAGAATACACTTAGCGTGCAGGATTGGGGTCACAGGGATGGGGCTGACAGATGGTGTTGGATGCTGTTAGTTTTAAAGGTGGGAGTTGGAAGAACAGGACTTAGGGTTTCATTGAACGCTAAAGACAAATGTAATATAAAAAATATTCTCTTGGAATTCGAGGCATTCTGTGACTTTTAACAGCCGTCTAGAAATACTGATTGTCATACAATAAACAGAGTGTAAAATTTGATACATTTTGAAATGATTGTATATCTACTAAAGCATCACCAAAATCATGACAAAGAACTTATCCAATGCTCTTAAAAGTTACTATGTGCATTCAACCTTACATCACGTCTTCTCACTCAGCTTTCTACCAGCATTGACCCTCTGGATCACTGTTCATTAGAGAATTTTATTTAAATTTTATGTAATTTTTTAAAAGGAAAAATGATGCTATTTTACATAAATTTTTAGAATATTCATTTTTCTTTGTTCACTCAAAATGCATGTGTTGTTGCTCATATTAGTTACTAATTCAATTTTATTGCTAAATAATAGTCAAATTTTCAGACATCACAATTCATTAATTTAGTAATCTGTTGATAGGTACTGAGAAGGTTGCTAGCTTTTGATTACTATAAACAAACCCTCTACAAGTGATTCTAAGTCATTATGGGGAGATATATTTTCTCTGAAGTAACACACTAAATGTCTAGGTCATATGGTAAGTGCATGTTTGTTTACCTTTTTAAGAAACTCTGTCTTTCCAAATTAGCTCCTGTACCTCACTAACATTTGAGACTTGTGCTGTCTTCTTTAACCCACCAACATTTAAGATGGATAGCTTTAAACTTTTAATAGGTATGTGGTACATCATATTGTGGTTACAATTCATGTTTCTCTAAGGACTAATGATGTTGAACCAATTTTTTATGCTTTATGCATATATTTACTAGGAAAATCAAGTTTCATAATTGTTGGGTTTGCAAACACTATTTACACATCCATACACATGTTAAACAGTTATCTCTAGTAAGTTCTCTTTGGAGATACATAGGCAGGAGACTAGAAGCTTATTCTCTCTCTTTCAATTTATGACATATAATGCCCTGCCCAAAATGATTAGTTTGAAAAAATTAGCTGTTGTAGTTTCTCTCCCTCCATCTTTTTCTATTTATATATAGAGGCATAGCTAAAATCTGCATGATTATAATATTAAATGCAAAGGAGTATGAATATGTAATGACCGCTGACATATTACTTTCAAATGTAGCATCTATAAAACAATAAGGCAGGTTATCTAATGATTTTGACTATGAATCTTGATAATCTGAAGCTGTTATTTCTATACTTTACTGTAGCTACCACATAAAGCTCTGGGCACAGATCGTGGTGGAAGGGTGTTAGGAATAAGGAGTGGGGTTTGAGTTATTAAATGTCTTAAAATCTAGAGGAAGATAGTTGTAAAGATAGTGTGGAACCATTGGTTGAACACCTTGGGGAGAAAATGCCCCCTTTTGTGACAGGATTTCTCTGTAGCTTTGGAGCCTGTCCTGGAACTTGCTCTGTAGACCAGGCTGGCCTTGATTTCACAGAGACCTGCCTATGTCTGCCTCTTCATTATTGGGATTAATGGCGTGTGCCACCACTGTCCAGCACCATTACCAAGCCCAAAAATCTGACTTCAGTCTCTGGGATGGAAGAAGAAGATGCCCTTTTGAGTGGTGTTTTACAGAGGTTAGAAGAGGTAACATTGGGGTAGGCATGTCCAACAGAAGTGCCACAAACCTAAGGTTGAAAAGAGTCGAGAATGATATCTAGAAGGAACAAATAAGGAAGACACTGGAGAGACAGTATAAGCATAAATCTATTCAAAGTAGTTGGAAGATATGCAGAACCACAAATCACACAGAGAATACAGGGGTAAAGTGAGTTTTAATGAGAAAAATGATTCCATTATACAAAAAAAAAAAAAAAAATCTGAGGTAGCAGGGGGAAAAGCAGGTAACATTTTCCAATTTGGCTACTTGTTATATTCACGGTTTATCTCATGATCAGGTAGCCAGAAGGATATTAAATCAATGAGCTCTGGTTATGTATTGCTTTCTAGAAAGCTGAGAGAATGGCTGTAATTTTTAATACTCAACCAATCTATGACAAAATGTAGTATCATAATCTTTCTTCTTGCCTCTGTCTTTTTAAAAATATACTTGTATGTGTATGTATGTAGAAATGCGTGTGCAGGTGTGTGTGGAAGCTAGAAGAAGGGACCAGACCCCCTGGAGCTGGAGTTACAGGTGGTTGAGAAGCATCTGACATGGTGCTGGGATTCAAACTCAAGTCTTCTGGAAGAGCAGCAAGTCCTTTTAACTACAGACATTTTTATAGCTCTGCCTGTCTAATCTGTGTTGTGGGATATTTGATTGCACTGTGTTAATAGAGTTAACTTTGAATCAGAGGGTGGAGCTAGCTACTAGTTAAAAATAATTAGTCATAGAGACTACAGAAGACTCAGGGTATGGATAGAAAGGCACAGGAAGAAGTAAGGAGGGACTTGGAGATTGGCAGACTTTTTGTCAGCCACCTCTTCCATCTGGGAAGTGGGAAGAGAAGGTCACGTGGTTGCTCCTCCACAGCTTCATTGATCTATGATGTTTTCACCCCACAATCTGACTCCTGAGTCTTTATTGTTAATAGAACAAATTAGACAAATACAACAAATCTCTCCCATCTAAATTGTGACAGAAAGATTGGTATAGTGTAAAATATAATGTATAATCAATATTTTTCCTTTTTATACATTTCCTATAATATGTTTTTAACTAAAAAAGCAGAGAAACCCTGGGATCGGGAAAGAAGGGCTTCAGTGCAACAGCAAGACCAGAATTCTACAAAGGAATTGGGCAATTAAAAGACTTTTACTGATCAACATTAGTTGGGATAGTCTATTGTTGTAGGAAAAATATAAGTTGACTTTAAAGTCAACTCTGTCTGTAGGGATGGGTAGAAGGACCCATGGGGCCAATGTTTGCACCAGGCAGGCATTTATGAGGGTTCTGGTTCCATTTCTCTTTGGCTCTTCCAGTTCCATTTTGACCTGATGAGCATTCAGCTCTATGTGTACCATTTCCTTCTTCAACCTGAATCAAGTGCAGGCATCCACTCTGGCCATCTCCTTAAGTCAGTGCTTACCCCAGAGCCAATTTGGTCTACTCAAATGAGAGACAGAATATATTAACAGGCTTGGAAAGATTAAACCAGACTGATGGGCTGCAACTAGACTCAGCCTGCCCCAGATACATTGCAGGAGAGATGTTGCTGTAATCAACAACACCCATCCAGTAACTATTGAGAAGGCAGATCCCAAGAATATCCTGGAGTGCCCGTGGCAGGAGGAGTTAATACCAGGCAATATAAAACTAAGAAGTGAATGAGTGAAGAGGCAAAGGGGGTATAGGGACGCAATATATTTCATCAATTTTGATCATAAAGAAGGCTGAAGTGTGACAGTAGCCAGAGTAACAAAGTCTTCGTGACCTGTTTGTATGCTCTTGCATGTTTGCATGTGATCATACATGTGTCCTATGTATGTGAGAGTGTGTCCTGTGCCCATATAGGTGCATGTTAAGTGCAATGGTCAATATCAAGTGTCTTTTTCTATCGTGTTCTACTTATTTTTTGAGACAGTGTCTCTCACTGAATCTGGGGTTTGCTATTTGAGCTACACTGGCTGGATAGTGAGTTAGTCCCCATGATCCACCTCTTTCCATAACAGTCTAGAACTGGAATATCTCCCTAAGGCTTAAGTGTTAATAACAGGTGCTTACCTTGGTGCTATTAGAAGGCAATGGGTAAGGATGCTGAGACATTTTAGACTACCTTATATGCCATACTAGAGTCTTCATGTAGTAGCTGATGGAAGCAGAAGCAGACATCCACAGCTAAACACTGAGCCAAACTCCTGGAATCCAGCTGCAGAAAGGGAGGAGTGATGAGCAAAGATCGAAACCAGGCTGGAAAAAACCACAGAAATATCTGACCTGAACAAAGGGGGAGATTATGGACCCCAGTCTAAAGGCTGGGAAACCAGCAAGGGACTGACCTAGAACCCCTGAATGTGAGTGTTAGGAGGAATGGGCAGTCTATGGGGCCTCTGGTAGTGGATCAGTATCTATCCCTAGTATACAAATAGACTTTGGGAGCCCATCCCACAGAGGGACACTCTCTCAGCTTAGACACATCAGGGAGGGCCTGGGCCCTGCTCCAAATGATATGACAGACTTTGAAGACGACCCATGGAAGGCCTTACTCTCCCTGGGGAGCAGAAAGGGGATGGGATGGGTATTGGGGGGGGCAGGGGAGGATGAGAGGGTGAGGGAACTAAAACAAGCTTATTAGACAAAATAAGCTGAAGTGTGAGAACCATCAGAGGCTTGCCAGTCTAGCTGCAAGATACAAATGTGCTGTGTATCCCACTTAATAACTATTGGTCCACTGTTATTTCAAATTGTTTCCTTGTCTTCTCTAGTGTTAACAGAATTCCACTTAGTACTGAAATTCTAAGCTCTTCTAATTGGCAAGCAATCACAAGATAGGAATTAACTGTTCTCTCTTCCTGAAGCCTCTAAAAGGCAAACACCATTCAAAATCATAAACAGATCTTAGAACATCATTTGTAACAATGGATTCTTATAAGGTTCCTTGACTTCTAAGCCTAAAGCCTGTTGTTGATATGCCCTAAAAGATCTTTCATTCTAATAGGTTGTTTTAAATAATATATAATGGAATTTCTATTTCCCTGAATCAATTTTAAGGACTTTTCTCCTACAACCGTTAAGGAAATAGAAAGGAATAAAGCTTGACTCAGCTATTTAAGAGTATGAATGTGTCTAATTTAAGCTAATACTGGATAGACAATAAAGATGCAGAAAGAATTTTGGTAAAGCACTGGAGAAGGCAATTCTATTAGTACAAATCTGAAGAGGAAAGTCAAAGAGAAGGGTAGGAAAGTAGATTTAGTAGGTAGGTCATATGACAATCAATGGAATTAACATATTCTTTCAGAAGTGATATCACAAATAAATGATGTACATGAGGCCAGGGAGATGGCTGAGCAGTTAAGACCATATACTCCTTTTGTAGAGGACCCAAGTTCAGTTCACAACACCTGCATAAAGCAACTCAGAACCACCTAGAAATCCAGTTCCAAGGGATCTGATGCCCTCGTTTAGCCTCCATCTTTGTTTACACTCACATGCACATAGCTGCATAAAATATATACAATATATAAACAACTTGTGATGGCACTGGATAAGAGTCATCACAACCCAAGTGTTCTGAAGAGAAGACATGGTCCCTGGCTTCAGAAAATATCACTTTTCCAGACACACAGACAAGGCACTTATAAAACCTCGTGTTGTTGCTACTTGAAATGGTCTCAGAGAATAGAAATAGGAAATACATTAGTGGGCTATGGGAAGATTTATTTATAAATGCATTTATAAATTTATAAATACATGCATGTAATTTATATGTTGTATCATAATGAAAGTGTATATGCTTTCATTTGAGACAAGAACCAAAACCACTGTCAGCAAGGTACTCAGTGGGTAAGTTCATCTGCTGCCAAGCCTGATGACCTGAGTTTGATCCCCAGGACATACATAGTGGAAAAGAACTGACTCTTGAAAGTTGCCCTCTGCCCTCAACATGTGTGCCCTGGCATGTGTACACACATGGATGCTGAGAAATAAATGTGACCAACTTCAAAATGAAAAATCAGACATGGATGTTGGAGAGCACTGGCTGGCTGCTCTTGCAGAGGATCTAGTTTCAGTTCTCAGCACTCACCCAGCAGCGCTTCACAACAATCTGTAACTCCAGATTAACTGTAACTGCACTCTTCCGGCCTCCAGAACACCAGGCACATACATGGTTCATGCACATATATGTAGGCAAAACATGAAATAAAACTGAATTTTTAAAATAACACTAAATGCCTGAAACCAACTTCTGTGAGATAAATCTCCCCCTTCCCTTTTTTAAATTTAAATTTGAAATAAGCTTGTTTTACATGTCAATCCTAGTTCCCTATTCCTCCCCTGCCCCCCAATCTCCTATCCCATCCCCTTTGGGCTCCACAGGGAGGGTGAGGCCTTCCATGGGGGATCTTCAAAGTCTGTCATATCATTTGGAGCAGGGAAGGAAATCTTTTTTCAGAGATGAAGTACATGATTAGATAAGCATGTAAGCTCAGTGTAGAAAGTGGTACTGGTAGCTTTTTCCAATAATTTGTGATTTCTCCTTTTTAAAAAAGTGCAAACTGTAACTTGAAACTTTATTTTTAAATTATTCTGAAATTTGAGTTCTTCAACCATATCTACTTTCCATCAACATATGACATATATATCAAAACCACATGTATACATGTATACACAGTATACATGAAGCAGTAACTGCTTTAGTTCAGCTATCAAACTCCTTCAGTAAATAGTCATGCCAAAACCCGGAATCACCCAAACAAAACAATTCTAGTTCTCTCAAAAGATATTTATAAAGTTTATTTTTTCCAGAAAAATCAAAATAATTGACTCAACAGTAAGTACAGTTCTAGCATGCAGCAAACCATCATTTAACATGTTTATCTTAACACACATTCATACTTTATTTTCACTTCTATAGTTCCCATTAGAAGCTTGCAATGATAGCATTTTGTTACAGGTACTTCAAATAGCACTACAGTACATCTCTTGACAAAATTTTTACAATATTCCAACTTTCAATATGAAACAGCTTTAAAAGGCATGAGCCAAAACAAAACAAAACACAGAACCCCAAACAAAACAACAACAAAAAAAAGGTACCTTATTATTTACTCAGGCAAAGATTAATAGTCATACGAGCAACAACACTCAACTCTCCCTGTTTGGGTGGGAAAGAAACACATAAGGCATTCCCTTTCAAATAAAATTATATAAATAACATAGGGAAATGCCCAAATCCATAATTTCGCACATTAAATAATTCTTGAATCTTTACTCTTGGAAAACATGAACTATTTATGCATTGTGTTTTGCAAAGACATGTCCTTCAAGAGTTCTGTGCAAAGCCAATTCTGTGAACCACAGCTTACTTGTGCTGAAAAAACACAAATCAAATCTCAGAGACGAGTTATTCCTTGAAGCATGTGGCTCTCCTCTTTAGATGACCACCTCAAAAATAGGCACATCTGTATATCATCTGGGTATTTACTCATACTATCACATTTCACCTCTGTAAATTAAACCCTTATTTCTTAAGGTTCACTAGGACTGAAAACTTTTCCCTTTCCTTCCCCTCTTGCACCATGATCAGAACTTACACTTACTCCACTGCCCACACTTCCAACAGCAGGCTTTTCACTATATGTAAGTGTGCTAAATACCTGCCCATTTCTTTTCACATTAGAAACAGTACAGTAAAGCTTTTTATGCCTATGTTAGTCAATGATTTTACAAACTGCCACAAATGTGAGGGACAATCTGTGACTAAGATATGTCTCTCACAGATTAGGATTAAATGAAATATTCTTGTCAAATCATGCTAGTACTGTTTAGGAAAAAAAAAAAAAAAAAAAAAAAAGGATGCCCTGAACTCTATCAGCATCTTATTCCTATACAGGGACAATATCCCTACGGACTGAAATAACAACAAAGATCAAACTAATACTATAGTATTAGTGTCTTTCACAGAGGAACGAAAACTAAAACTACATAGCTACTGTCATTTGATCAAATTTAGCAGAATAGACTTACTTAAGTCATGGGGCCATGAAAAGGTGTGCACCTGAACTTTTAGCCCTGGGCACTGCTGTCAACCACTAATGAGTAAACAAATGCACTGCATTTAAGTCTCTAGAAAGGTACAACTGCAGATATATCGGAAAAACTCATGGCACTTGGGAAATACTCTTGTTAATGTAAATGATATTAGATGGTAAATAAGCATGGGTGCAACCCACTTGCTTCCTAATTTTAAATTTCTTACAGAAAAACAACAGCAGCCTACATGAGGAGGGGACACTTCTGTCCTAAGAAGGCAAAATTACCACAGTCTCAAAAACTCACTATGCAAAAGTAAAGCTGCAATTTTCCCCACCCATTTCCATATCCATTGTCATTTTATCTTTTAACGTGTAAGAAGTATGATTTGCAATAGAACTAAGTGTTCATGTAAAATAAAATATGCCAGGTGATTGGCAATTCTGGCCTCATTTTGGGAGGTATGTATATACATAAAGACAATGTCTTAAGGAATAATTCAACAAATAAGGCCAAATTGAACATGATAGATTCGTAACTTTTAATACAACCTTAGGTATCTAGTTATAGCATCAAACCATTCTATTTCTTTTCAAGTCATTGGGCTGTTTCTAAAACACTGTAATTTTATTTAACTTACTCCTTATTATGCAAGACAAGGAGCTGTCTATGATGTCATTCTACCTAATACAAGCTTCTGGCAAAATGTCTCAAAATGTATTACATCATCAGAGATCACAAATGCATTAGTAGTTTTGTGTTACACAACTGGATCTAGAACACCCACTTTCTCTTGTGGCCGTTCTTTGAAGTGAGTGAGCTGATGTCTCTTCCAGTGAGGTGCTTGTCTGAATGTTTTGCCACAGACTGAACATTCAAACGGTTTCTGCCCTGCATGAATTAAATAATGTCTTTCTAGTTTGGATGGAGATCGGAAATTTTTACAACAAACACTGCACTGGTAAAGGAGCCCGTCACTTCTTTCAGGACGGCCTAAGTAACTGTAACAATGACGGCTCTGCTCTGACTCCAAAAGTGTGTTAGCCAGGTAAGACTGCCTGTTCCTACAGTGGGTACCAAGAAGGAAATCCTCTGGTTCTGCCTTGACTTCAATTCCTGATACCTGATTGGACTCTGAGCCCTCATACTTTTGGAAACTAAGCCCATCACACTGTTGGGAAGCATTATAGCTAACATCTTCATTTGGATGAATGAAAAGTTTGTTCACATTTCCAAAGTCCACTTGCCAAAAAGAACTATAGGGAATCTTTTCAATATGAGTTAGTTTATGTCTTTTTAAGTGAGCCGACTGTCTGAAAGATTTGCCACACACATTACAGCCGAAAGGCCTCTGTCCAGTATGGATTAAATAGTGTCTTTGTAGTTTAGAGATAGAAGGGAACACTTTCTCACATTTATCACAGGGACACATTTTATGTCCAGCATGGATATTTTCACTTGAGTCTGAGAAGCCACACTGAAGCATGTCACAGTCATTAAAACATCCCTCACCTGGTGAACCACGGAGTGACAAATCTTTACTATTCACGGAACCATCCATAGTTAATATGCTTCCTGTTGTAAAGATACCTTGCAAACCTTTACCCATATTTTGGCTCTGGAATTGCTTTTGCCAAGAAAATGGCAAAGTTAGTGTTTTCTTCTTCTTTTTGCTAGCTGCCTTACATGATCCACGTCTGCCAAGGGAACCCACAAATGTTCTCTGAGTTTCTTCCGTGTTCTGCTCACCAGAAGGACGTTCGCAGTTTTTCAAGCAGTTACTTTTATATGTTCTTTTCTCTGATTGAAGGTTATCTGCTTTTTTACCCCCAGCACGTTTAAGTTTAGCCAAGAGCTTTTTAACAATGGTCTTATAGTTACAGCTTCTTTTGAGCCTCCTTGGAGCCCTGCCACCTCTGGCAGGAAGACACTTGTGTCCATTGAGAATCTGCTCTGACTCAAAACATTCTTCACACTTGGAACACTGAAAAGGGACGATATAAATAGAGTGGACATCAAGAGGATTATTCTCCTCAGATTCACCCATATCACCATTTTCAAAAGCATCCTGCTTTGCATTTAATTTATTGGGTAGTGGACATGATTCAGGACTCTTTACTTTTAAAGAAAGATTCTGAAAAGTCTTATTCCTAGTGTGGATTTGTTTATGCTTCAGAAGTTTGCTTTGAATCTTAAATCCTTTCTGACAAAAACAACATTGAAAAGGTCTTTCTTCTGAATGTGTGAGTTGGTGGATTTTTAAGTGAGTTGACTGTCGGAAAGATTTACTGCACAGGACACATTTAAAAGGCCTCTGCCCAGTATGAATAAGAGCATGCCTATCAAGTTTTGACTGTGATGGAAACATTTTGCCACAGATTGTACACGCATGAATATGCTTTCTTCTCTTTGTAGTGCTGTACGTGGGATCAGACTTAGAGCATGCGTGTAGTGCCCGTCTTTCCTCTGCAGTAAAGGTATTATATACACCATACACGGGCTTCTCTTGCTTAGTCTCAAGCAATCTTCTGACTTTAACATCATTGTGATAGGATTCATTGTGCAACTGCTGATGCTTCACAAATGTCTTCAGATGTTTAAAGTGGCGTTGGCAAATATTACAACTAAAAGGCAGATTGTGAGTTAACTGGTGCCTCTCCAGATGAACTAGCTGTCTAAAGTTTTTATGACATACATCACATTCAAATGGCTTTTGACCAGTATGAATGAGATAATGTCTAGCTAATTTTGATGGTGTTTCAAAGTGCTTGAGGCAAATATTGCAAATATATGGCCTGTTCCTAGGTAGTTTGTTTGCTACACGTTGTTGAATCTTCAGCATTTTTAAGTTGTTTTCAGCCATCATATTCTTCAGTAGCATACTCTGACGAGCTCCATAGTGTTCTTAAGCTCCACAAACATCTATAAATTAAAAAAAAAAAAAGTATTAACTTTAAGATGTGTACAAAAGAAAATAATTTAGTTGTCCTTAGGCAGCAAATAATTTGGTTGCCCTTAGGCAGAAGATTAAAAGTAAGGGAGAATGTGGACTTTCTTATGCTTTCAAGTAACTTAAAAACTATCTTAGATGAATTCTATAGAATCATAGAACTAATTTTAAACAGATACAATTCTTGAGAATATCTAAAGTTCTATTTTTCTACTTAATAGGCAATATTTAAAAAGAGCCAAAATTGCTTTCTTTTTTTAAACATTAAATGTCCCTTTTAGTTCCAACTTTCTTCCCTAGATGTCTAAATGAGTTATTCTGAAATAAAAAAAGGAGAAGGAGACGTAGTGGTAACATCATCAGTAGTAGTACCTGATATTGTGTTACATTCCTAGAAGGCTATCAATCACAAACTAGACAGGAAGGATCATGAGTTTGAGGCCAAAATGGGCCATCCAGAAATTTCAGGTACGCCTCAGCTAGCGAGGCACTGTCCTAATTATAAATAAATATTTTTAAATTGATTAAAAGGTAAGATTCAAAATACTAAAACAAAGACATATTTGCATTGAATTATAGCACATATGGTAGCCATGCTCTAAGCATAGAACATTTTATTTAATTACATTTAGATGGCTGAACCACAACATTAAAACTATTTCTTTTCAGTGGGTTTGATAGCACATGCCTTTAATCCCAGCACTGTGAGTCAAGGTTGCCCAGATTTACATAGAGTTCCAGGATAGCAAGCACTAAAACAAAACAAAACAAAATAAAAATTAAACAAATATTTACTCTCAATAATCTCTCAAGATCAACAAGGATAATAGGAATAATATTCACAGTAGACGAGTTTTAATCCTAAATTTGCCATTGTCTAATTTGTGTGTCGGGAAAGGGGGAATTCGAGATTCTTTAAACTGGGAGCAATGTCCTCTCCCACACCAAGCAGCTATAAAAGTTACTGGCAATAATGTATATGCATGTGTCAGAAAACTGTGAAGCACCATAGAAATGTGAGATATTACTGAGCTCAAGATTAACCAAATTTTAAGTTGTAACTCTTATCTCCTTAATAATGCTGTAGGTTAAGATAAACATACTAAATTTAGTTCATGTCTCCCTTCTGCTTTGTTGAAGGCTTCCAAAAAAAAAAAAAAAGGCACAAAAGAACAAGGTTGACAAATTGCAAACTTACATATGTATTTATGTACAAAGAACAGAATGTTGAGTGTGGTTCCTTCATCAGGCAATATTCAAAATAGGTCATTCTTGTCTAAGATGTACTCTTTACAATGTCTCTGAGACACATAAAACTTAACAAACATTTCACAATTCTCACATATCATTGTCCAGAAAAGACAATTTTCTTCCCTTTATTACTATTCCATTGGCCTTAACTAAGCCAGCAATTAAGCCAAAAACTAAACAAACAAAACAAAGATACACCAGTTCTTTCGTTCTAGTATATTTTATATCTCTACAAAAAACTCAGAACTCTTTTGTCTCTGACTTGGCAAACAGTCAACGTATGTGTTTCTCATCATCTCTCCTAGAAGGCACCTTAAACACAAACTCAAACACACTCAATGTGTAATCTGAATAAGAAACAAACACAACTTGAGAGACTATTTTGCACTAGTCACTTATCACAGTGCTTTTCAAACTATAGGTCCATACTCATTAATGGACTGTAGAGTCAAGAGTGGATGATGATCAGCCCAACTTGTTTAATAGAACGTAAAGTACTAGAGTATATATCATGTAACAATTATAAACATTGTTTTCTGAAACTTCAGGTGGAAGAAGTTAAAAGGTATGTGAAAGCTGTTCCTTACATCCTTATTCATTCAATACTAAACAGGGGAACCTAAAAATCAATCAATCAATCAACCAACCAATCAATCACTGTGTTCAATGAGGGGTAACAAAGATCAGGGACCAAAGGCAAGAGTACTAAAGAAAGCAACAGAGTTCTGTTTTCTTCCCCTGGGCCATATTACTTTAAAATACGCATGCAAAATTATTGTATTAGTGGTCAAGTGGAAAACGTCATTTAAATAAGAAAAGACAATCAGACCATAAGTCACTCTATTAATTTATAAAATACATCATATAACCTAGCAACAAACAGCTGTTGGGGTTATAGGTATTTTTACTTCACTCAGCTAAAACAAACGAAACATTAAAAGTGAACAACATGCAAAAATTCCTAAACATGTTGGCATAGAGTTAAGAGCTAGGAGAACTAAAATTATCATAAAGCCAGTGAACTGCAAAGAACTTAGCAATTTATTTAATTCCTGCCAGGCAATGAATTATGAGCAACAAGTGTGTCAAGATGGTTAATCAGGACAATGAACCAAGCTTAAACCATCACACCTTTATTCACTTACTACAACAGTATAAATGGGACAAAAGGAACCAGTTCCTCAGTGGTCTCTTAAACAGAAAGATGGCAAGTGAGCATTAAATGGATATAGTGCACAAGGGGAAAGCTTCTCACTAAGGGCTCCTGACTCCTATGGGCCAATGTGCCGGGGGTGGGCTGGTGAGGCCTGGGAGAAGTGGACTAACTGCACCAAGTACCAAGTCTGGTGTGGGACGAAAGCTTTACACCAAGAAGCAGGTAGGTAAAAACCTTATAATTGCCACAGTCAAGCCTCAGGGTTGGGCCTGGAGTAGGGACTTCTCCATTCTTTTTATATACTTCTCCTTTCCCTGGGTGACTGTTTCTATAAAACAAAAAGTCCCACACTAAAACTACACAAGCAACTACCTGATTATAAATATCAGAAACTAGCCACCTATAGCTACTGTCCCCAAAAGGGTTTGTGACTGAGCAGCTATCACTAGTATTAAGACCGAATACTCCTGTCACTTGCTTTGGGAAGGCACTTAATGAGAACCCTACCTTGTCAAAATCATTTGTGGCAAGTGATGATCTCACTTCCTATTTATAAGTAAAAGGTCAGGGATTTCCACACTCCAAGCACAATCCCTCTGTGCACTTAAAAGTTTAATCCCATTCAACTGATTTTCTTTTCTCTCCACTGAACTTGTCATCATTTAAAAAAAAAATACACTAAGGCTATTTTATTTTTTAATGTTAAACAATACAAACCAATGAATGTGTTCAATCCAGGTATCATCATGAGAACAGCTCAAACAACATTAAGCCAGGTAACTATAAAATCTGACATCAATAAAATCCAATGTTGTCTCGGGTCTGAAAGCACCGCTGTTTTAGCAAACACCATTGAAAGGACAGCTCAAATGTACCTCCACAAAAGTAAATGAACAAGAAATGAAACACCCGAGAAAAACGTCGACTTCCAGTTGGAGAATTATCTCTGGTGACATTTACAACAATCAGTCTTGGCCTCTTTCTACCTTGCTCTGCCTTGGCCTTGAACCATCACCTTTCCCTAAATAGGAACTGTTTTCATCCTAATCTCCCGCAAGCAAAGAGCATTTCGTTGTCCAACTGAGTGCAGGGGCTGTAAAAACCCATGCCTGGCATGAGCAAGGGTAAAAGCTCCACTGACTGCAGCCAGAAGGTGGGGAGCAGGGAAGAGCTGAGTGAAAGATGGGAAATAAGTGATTCGACCCCAGGAGGATGCGGGCACGGGGCTCGGCTCTTTTGAGTTTACCGCTCCCACGAAGCACACGCAAGGAGCCGAGGTCGTGGCACCCTGTTCGGTTCCCCGGGAACCTCGGTGGGCTCGAGGCGGGCCTGACCCTCCCCGGGGTTCATTCCACCTGGCACGCAGGCTCCTGGGGTCCTCCACACGCACCTGGAGCTGGCAAGGGCCCGGCAGCGGCGCATCTCAAAGCCAGAGGCTCGCGGAGGAAGCGGGCAGCCCGTCCGCGGGGTCGGCGCGGCAACGGGCTGAGTGCGCAGGCGCGGCGCGGAGCGCTCCGAAAGCTGTCCTGCCGGAAACAGCCTCTCGCGATCTCTGGGTCCGCGCTCCCTCCTTACGCGTTGTTCGCCCGGTACTGCTATTTCCGTGGAAAGAAAACAAGACTCAAGAAGGGTGCGATTCCCATCGTACTCTTGCCAACCCATCATTATGGAAATCCCAGACAGGACTGACTGTAAAGCTCGGCTCTTAATTAGAATCGAGGATCAGAGTTTGAAGCCCACTATCTTTTCTAAGGTCTGGGCTGTGCATAAAAACTCCCTGTAAATTAGGTACATTCTGGGTTAGGACTTTTCTCAGCGATTCGTATTTATGTCGATACAGCGCTGAGGTGCAGAGTCCTGGTCTTAGTTCACACAGAACCCGGTTCCTCGAGGAAGTGATGGGTGGTAGTCTCCATTGTTACTGCCCATCCAGCCGGTTCTGTGTATATTTGGGCGTTTACAATGTACAGAACTCTTTGCCCAGCATTTTGGCTCTTCTTTGACAATTTAGATAGGATGCACTTGGACAAAAATGCTTGTAAAGTACTCAATGTACATTATAATTTTATACTAAATATAAAAGCTTTATGAAATGATAGGATCCTGTTAAGAGGGAAGAGGGACTTAGAGCTGTTAAGGACCTCAGTGGCAGACATCTAATAATTGACAGAGGTGGGATTTGAACTCAAGTAGTCTAATACCAGACTTGCACTTTCAGTTCACTCCTTCCCGTCATAGCTGTCTCAGCATATTTTGTCACACAAGTAAGGACCAACTATTAGGGTACAGTTTCACACTGGAGTGGCATAATATTATCACTGAGTAAGATGATACGGTGTCAAAGATTTAAAGCGCAGACATTAGAGAAGGAATATTATAGATTTTTGCAGGTTTGGATTACAATTATCTCATTTTAAGAGTGGACAAAATGAAAGATTACAAACTTTTCTGGCTAGAAACAACTTTTGGATTACTTCCCAAGGACCTCTCTCTCTCTCTCTCTCTCTCTCTCTCTCTCTCTCTCTCTCTCTCTGTGTGTGTGTGTGTGTGTGTGTGTGTGTGTGTGTGTGTGTGTGTGGTGGGGAGGTCAGTTTCTAACATTGATAAATTTTGCAGAGGGAGAGGGGAAAAAAAAAACCAGTTGAACTCATTTTTGAAAAACCAAGGCTACTGGATGTGGTATTATGGAAAAATGCCTACAGGAAATAAGCTTTTGCTCCTCATCTGGGAACATGAAAGGGTTTCATGCTCCTTCCTGCAGAAGTATACATGGAGAAGGAAAAGCTTTGGGTGTCCTGAATGCTAATCCAAAGGTGGTATGTTGTGAGTTCAGGTAATTTGTGGACATTTGCTCCATTTTTCAGGTTCTCCAGAAAGTGTAGCCCATTCGAATCATTCAAACTAATGCATCCACCACTAATCACACAAATTCTTAGGAGAGATAGCAAAATCCTGAGAGGATGCTACCTGAAATTTCAGATTAATGGCCATTGGGATCAGTTTCTTATTTCATTTCCTGAAAGTCTGACTATATGGTATGAAGTACAGTTAGGGATTGATAAACCAATCTTCAAGGCCATATACCCTTTATGATACTCTTATCTGTTTAGTCTGAGAACTATCTGGGGAGATTTTGGTAGAGTAGGGAGAAATTAATGTAAACAATAGTCACCAAGGAAAAGTTCATGGAATAAGATTCAGTTTACAATTTGTAGTGGGTAGAAGATGGGTAAATAGAAACTGGGGCAGGAATGAGCATGGAAGGTAAGAGGTAAGGCTGAAAACAGGTCACGTGATAAAAATGGGAATGATCATGATTTAGTTTTATTTTGTTTAGTGACTTTTCTCTGCAGCTTACTGGTGTTATTTGAAGTTATTTAACCTTTTTTTTTCCTTCAGTTTCCTGGAGCTGGAGGGATGGATTAGTTTTTAGAATGCTTACATGAGGATCCAAATTTGGATCTCCAGGACCCTAATGAAAAGCCAGAAAAAACAATGCCTATCTGTAAACCCACCACTGGGGAGGCAGACACAGGAAGACCCCTGGGGGTTGCTGGACAGCCAGTCTTACCAAATTAGTAAGCTGCAAGTTTAGTGAGAGACCCTGTCTCAAAATAAATAAGTTGGGTGCAATTGAGGAAAACTGTTGAATTTAGCTTCCACATACATGTGCACACACAAACTAATATTCACATACACACAAAACTCAACTTCATTTCTTTAGTTGTAAAATTGGGAAATAATCATTTATCCAATGATTATCACATGGAAAAACATCAAGGATTCACTTCTGAAAATATGAATATCAACCAGGCCTTCAACAACTGATGGACAGGTATAATGTGATAATAGATCATATGTGCAGTGTGTATGGAAGATACAACTGAGATCTTAAGGCTTCAGGTAGAGATGAATTCTGAGTTGAGCCTCTAGTCAGCCATTCATTCATGCAATTATATTTTATCAAGCATTTCCTGCACACCAAGCCTATTCTAGGAGTGTGGTAGACTTGCAGACAAGCAAAAGCAAAATCCATCACAGTCAACTTTATATATACTACTAAGGGAGGTAGAAAACAAACAGTAAATTATAAGATATGTTGAACATTGATAAGAATAGAGGAGAAGACAAGCAAGAAGTCAGCTATGAAGTTGTGTGGGCAATGTGCTGACTGGTTTCAACTGTCAAATGATACAACCTATAATTGCTCTAAAGTCTTAATGAATTATCTAGATCAGGTTGGCCTGCAGACATGTCTTTGGGGAGGGAGTTTTCTTGATGGTTAGTTTATGTAAGAAGATGCAGCCCATTGTGGGTGGCACCGTTCCACAAACAGTATAAGAGAGAACACTAGCTTAAAGTAAACAAGATTGCGTTCATTCTCCCTATGCTTTTGACTGTGGATGTATGTCACTAGCTGCTTGAGTTCCTGCCTTGACTTCCTGGAAATGATGAACTAGAATTGAAATTATAAGTCAAATAATCCTTTTCCCCTTATGTTGCTTTTTGTCAGAGTGTTTGTCATGACAAAACAAATGAAACTAGGACAGGAAGGACTTGACAACATCTTAATAGGTAGGTAGGTGGTCAAAGATGGCCTCACTAAAAAAATTTGTGAATTTTTTTATTAGTTAAACCTAATAGAAATTAGAGGTAGTGCTATCTTTAACAGTAAGAACTTCCTTCATAGGCAGTTGGGTAGAGACTATGCAGCCAAGTATAGAAGACAATACAAGAAAGAGTGACAGATGGGAAACTCTAAGTAGATCAGAACTGATGGAATATGAAGTGCAGGAAGGAGAGGGGAGTAGCAGCAGTGTGACTCATTTGGCTAATACCTTAGAACAAGTGTTGCTCCTCAGGTTGCTTGCAAAAACCTGGAAAAGGCCTTCTATACTGATACTTTCTTGTTCGCCATTATTTACAGATGGCTTGAATTCTAGAAGCAGACTCAGAATCGTGAGTTTTAATGTTTTAAAAGTAACAGGCCTCAAAGTGGGTGGTACCCTTGAATGAGTTGGTACAGGAAACCACTTCATGAACATAACACCAGTAGCACAGACACTGAGATCAACAATTAATAAATGGGACCTCCTGGAACTGAGAAGCTTCTGTAAGGTAAAGGACACAGTCAACAAGATAAAACAGCAGCCCACAAAATGGGAAAAGATATGCATCAACCCCACATCTGACAGAGGGCTGATTTCCAAAATATATAAAGAACTCAAGAAACTAGTCACCAAAGCAAATAATCCAATTAAAAAAGATAGAATAGAGAATTCTAAATAGAGGAATCTAAAATGTCTGAAAGACACTTAAGAAAGTGCTCAACATCCTTAACCATCAGGGAAATGCAAATCAAGGCAACTTTGAGATACCATTGATGGGAGATGTCATTCTGTAACTATGTTTCTCTTATTGGTTAATGAATAAAGCACTGCTGGCCAATGGAAAGCAAGATAGGTGGGACTAGGAGATAAGAAGGATGCAGGAAGTAGTAGGGAGGAGTTTCAAGATGTAGTCCCAACAGGGTAGTACTCTGGGCTGTCTCTCCAGTAAGATAAGACCACGTGGATATACTTAGATTAATCGAAATGGGTTAATATTTAAGACAGAGCTAGCCAATAAGAAATGCTAGTAACAGGATAACAGCTTTATATTTAATACAGTGTCTCAATGTTTTATTTGGGACTGGCCCAGCAGGGAGAACAGGCCTGTGCAAAAACTGCTTATAACATAATGGTGCCGGCAATGTGGAATATGGCAACTAAGAACTTCCACTTAAAACTTAACAAAAGCTTTAAAAAGGGTTTTTAGAAACAAAAGAACCGAGACAAGCAAGGCTTCTTAGTAACATTTTTCTCAGTGGGACTGTTTTGCTAGAGACAAGCAGAAATTTGCACTGCTCCTTTAAGGGAGATTTCCTGACTCAGCATAAGCAGCAAAAAACAAACAAACAAAACAAAAAACAAAACAAATAAAAAGCCAAATAACAACAAAAAAAATGCACAGCTTTTAAGAAGTGCTAACAATTCAATGTTGTGTATGAGAAGCTGATTTAAAAAAAGAGAGAGAGAGAGAGAGAGTAGCTGGGACATTGTTGGCACATGCCTTTAATTCTAGCACTCAAGAGGCAGAGGCAATCGGATCTTTGTGATTTCAAAGTAAACATGGTGTATGAAATAAATTGCAGGGAAGCCAAAGTTACACAGGGAAAACCTGTCTCAAAACATAAGTAAAAGAAATAAAGTAATAAAAAAGCCACATAAAGATGGAAAGCACAGAGAAACTCCGGATACCGTATGCTATATATTGTCCTTAAATTATTTGACTGCTGAGGAAATAACAACAACTGTTAAAACAAATGCTGCTGGATTATTTCAATTTATATATATATATTTTAAAAATACTTTGACTTCAAAATTTAAGTTAAAGGACAGGTTACTGGGGAAAAGGATTTCTGTTTTTGTTTCCACAGAAAATGAAAACCTGTGGATTCCTTCC